GAAGCTAACTAGCACTACATAGCAATCCTTATTAGTATAACTATTGCTCTTAGGGGCTAGCGAGCCAATAAATCGTTCTAGCGGTAGCACGATAAGAACAATTTTCGATAACTTCCTATAGACGTTGCTCTCGTCTACCTCCTATTCTACCTTAACCACCTACTTAAAACGGTTTCCCCAAGATATAGCTAATCGAGAGTAGAGTTACAAATAGTTAGTGAATTCACTAGAAGATCGCTAAGGGACTTAACCCATCGAGCAACAATAGCGAGCCGTCTAAGTAGCTTGCACCCACACTACCACGCCCCTATTATATAGCAGTTTTAGACTACCTTAACCTCCCTCTATTCTAGAACCCTACTATTTTATAAAGGCGTTTTAAACATAAGGGTATATCGAAACTAGGCTTATATATTTACTATCATTAAAATACCTAAAACAATCTAGCTTTACGAATAAACTAATCGAAATATTATTATAAGTAAATTACTTTCAGAATTATAACGATTGACTTTCATATTGTTGTTAAAATAGTTACAGATTATACCCCTAACAGTAATCTATTAGTATATGTTTCTTCTAATACCTCTAGTATAAGCAGCAAATTATTCTCTATTATCTATAAATAGCCTTACTCCTAAGTACCATAAAGGCTATAATAAAAAGAATACTTCCTACTTTCTATGCATTCCCTATATTAGTATCTATTAGGGCTATTTTAGGTACTAATCATATTCATAGATTAGCTAAATATACTAGGTGACTAAGCTAACTTAGTAATAATACTAGAACTAGAAATAACTAGTTATTCTAGGATCATAATAACGATTTGGAGCCACTATAATCTAATCTCTTAAAGCTATTGTAGCTAGTTGTTAAACTCTATACTATTTTTTAAATAGTAAAGGCTTACTATATAGGATAAAACATAAGGCTAGGCGTGAATAAGAAAGTATAGATCTTAGATCTTTATACTATAGTAACTAGTAGTTTTATTACCGATTTGGTCATTAGAATATACTAGTTAATAGGCTATAGATAAATAGCGTAAGTAGGAAATAGTGACTTTATACCTCGAGGTATTGAATTATTGCCTTTTTACTACTAATAGAATAGTACTAAAGCTAATAATAATCGCTTACCTATATCTGAATAATACTAGGTATCGTACTAATAATAGTTAAGGCGTTCTTAAAAGGGTATATGCTATAGCTATACAGGACATCTATAATAGGTCTAGTTAGGCTAGGACAATAGTAATAACTAAAGAAAAGCCTTCCTATAGATTATTTCTATAGAATTAAATTAATATTAATATTTTTTTGGACCTCGTTTCTTATATTTCAAAATTACTTTATATTTTCTATATACTTCTAGTACAACTACTCATTAAATATATTCAAACGCTGTTCCTTCGACTTTACGAGATAATAGTAGTTACTATTAAAAGCCTCTACTAATTCTAATATTATAAACGAATTACCCCTAGAACTATAATAATTCGCTAAATGTTTTCTTGAAGATTATACTACTAAGGAAATAGATTATAGGATTAAGATAATTAGTAATACTATACTACCTAATAGTCTAGTGTTCCTCTCTTTGGATCTAGTAGCTCTTTAATCTCTTTTTAATAGAGTAATCTATTATTATATCTACTAAGTATTGATATATCCTCTTAATTTAGCTAGTCTATAGTAAAGTACCTTTCGTTACTTAAAAGGGGTTATTAAGATATTTATTAGCATATTATTAGCAAAAAAGCTTATAAGAAACTATCACTAAAGGAAGTCCTTATAATATCTTCATATGCAATAAAAACTACAAATAGTACAAAGGGAATTTACTAAATTAAGTATTAGGCTATTTTATAATACAACCTCAGAATAATCGTCTAGTCTTCTAATTAAAAGAGTAAATAGGACATTAAATTTATAGAAAACATATGTAAATTGTAATAAAGTCAAGCGTAACAAGTAAATACAAAAAAAAATAATCCTTAGTAAGGAAAATAGGAATTAGTAAGACTATCAGATCAGAGATGGCTTATGTTTCTTTTTAAACCCCTAATAAAAACTAAAGGTGCCTGAGTGGTATATGCTACGCTATATACGACCCCTAGAACGGCCGTGGTACATATAAATAGACGCTATAAATAGCTATAAAAATTAGTAGGTAGAAGAATTATAGGTTTTTTATATTATAGCTTGGCTAGGGGGCCATAGGCGCTTACTAGTGAGAAACAACGAGGGCTCGACTAATTATATGGCTTAGATTATAGATACAATTCTAAAAAAAAAAAAGTATAAGAAACTACTTGAGTAGTCGGTCCCCGCCCCTATACTACCTAATACCTTTCGACTAATTAGGCCTAAAACTAGGGTTAACCTAGTTTGTAAGGGTACATATATAATAGCTATTATAAACATGTAATGTAATACGTTGTAGGCTAATTATTATACCCATAATATTTTTAAGTTATATTTATAAATTATATCTACATAGAGCCTTAGGGTCATGATATTTTTATATAGTATATCTTAATAACATCCTAGTTTTCTTAAAAGATAGAGTAAGACTTAACAACTTAAGATAGTATAGGCTCAATATCAAACTAAAAATATATGTTCAATAAAAATTTTATTTATTATTAGCCTAAGTAGTATTTTTTATAGACTCTTAACGTATTAACGCTATTATTTCGTAGGAGATACCGAAAAGCTGAAGTCATTAGGTTCTATAATTCCTATTGATGATTTATCTATAGATTGTGTTTGCCCTATTATTACATAACGTAGTAAAAATAGGAAAAAGCTGGGCGCGCGAGAATTAAAGGAGTATTATATCCTAATTTAATAATATTAACGACTACTACCCTATAGCGTGTTGGTTCTATAAACCTACTTACTGGAGTAGAAATTAATTACATTTTTATAGGTAAAATTTTTATAATTATGCATTGCTTTAAATATAGAGGGAATACCTAGAAAGGGCCTACTTCACCATTAATGTATTAATTAATTAATAGATCACTCTAACCCCAAGTCGTTTGTAAGCTAACTAAAGCTCTTGTCTAATAGGGCTATTAGTTCGTATATATATTTTCCTTTTTATTTTATGATGTACTAGAGTAAGAAAAATAATCTAGGTAAGATGATACTCTTAAGTATAGAACCTTTCAAACTAGTTTATTAGTAGATTATAACTATTTTAGTACTACGTGTCAAAGACAAATAAAAGAAAAGTCCTAGTTTTAGCTTATGTCTTTATGGACCCAAGCTTTACGACCTATATATAGTATAGAGCTCTAATAAGCTACGTATTTCTAGAAATATATAACTATTCTATATATTAGGAGCTAGGTTATAACTAATTGGTCCCCATTTATAGACGATCTAATTTTAGACCTCTTGATAATTATTTTATACCTACAAGCTGATATTTATCACTAGAAACACAGAGGTAAAAGAAAGCGAATGAATGAAGTAAGGTTAAAGGGAAAAGAATAGGTAGACGATTATTTCTATTAATAAACAATCCTATATCCCTTTATTAGAGAGTATATACTAAACTTGATTAGTTTATACAACGTGTACGATTAGTCTAGCGATACCGCCTAATTTTAATAACCATACGTCGGTTTAGGACTAGAATAAGACTCTGGGCTTTTATTTGTTTTTTTTGTCTTTTCTGCACTATTACATTCATGCTGCGGGTGGTCTGCCTCATGGAGAGCCTAGGGCTCCCCGTGCACAGAGACACCTAGGTGCTGCGCACCATTCTCGCTGTCGGGCAGGCCTGATTGCACTCCCGCATAGCGGCTGTACATAAAGCAAGCTACATCGGGCACATGACTACTACTACTACTACTACTACTACTACTACTACTACTACTACTACTACTACTACTACTACTACTACTACTACTACTACTACTACTACTACTACTACTACTAGGACTAAAATAAGTAGAAATCAAAGGTTAAATTCTAAAAACTGTGGCCTAACGCGCTCTACAATTTAGTATACGCTTAAACTAGGATAATCACCTACTGAAATTGCGTCTGATTTAGCTATCTCTTATAGCACAGACTACTGTATACGTGATCGATTCTATCAACGCGTAGACGTTAAATACGCCCTCTTATAGGCCGCCCTAAAGACTTTACCTAACCTAATTAACGATATATCTTTTGTCTCGCTCGTTTGAACCCGTAGTAGAGCTATAGGGTCCTTACTATAACCGTATCTATAAATCTATACTATAAAACTATCCGTCAAGTTTTGAAGTATTATAACCTTAAGAAATACAAATCGAGGTTCTAGATACCTTTAAGTGCTATTACTACTTGAAAAAGGAAGCGATTCGCTCGAATTTAGGGGAGATATAGGTCGTTTAGAAATATGATCTTTTTAAATGATTGTTCGGTTTAGCGTATATCTAATTCTGGTAATCAATAGGTCTTTCGCTTCTATTCTAAGGCATACTAACGTGATATTATATATTTTAAGCCTTATATAAAGGATATTTCATGAATGGTTTAGGCTAGAATCTTGATTAGTAGGCGTATAGAGTTGATGATTATAGGATGCTAAGTCGCCTTATAACGGATATACTACGAAATCACACCTTCATAAGAACCTAGTAAGAGTTAAGGGGATAGATAGTAAGACTAAGATAGATATCTATTCGAAACAAACGTATTCAAAAATAGAAAGCTTACGACTATAGAAGCCGGACATAGCTCAAAAATATAGCAAATGCGGACATTCAATGCAAATCCGCCATGGAGCCTAGAGAATGTCCCAGATGAGCACTAGACGGCGGTCTATGGTGTACACCAGCACAGTTCCGACCAGTGTGTCGGCCAAACCCGTCGATGCAGAGCCGATAACTGAACGCCTTGGCTGCCAGTCAAAAGGACGAGTAGAACCGGAGTGAGTACTGGGAAACCAACCCTTGCCCCGTGAACTATTGCAGGATAAAAAACAAGACAGACGATGTTGGTGCGACGAATGTTGACATCGCAGAACAAGTGATGCCAAGGTTCCTTTTGGGTTGCATTTTTCAGTGCCTCCTCAACGGTATCGGCTTCTTCCCAACAATGCCCTTCTTCCACATCAGTCTTTGTGCGCACTCTCACGAGGAATTTGGCTGCCTCTTCTTTGCGGTTCTTGCTGTCAACCAACGAGGGCTGGAGGCAAGGAATACCGACGGGACGAGAACTATAACGGGGACCAGGGCCTGAATTGCGACTGATATAATCCAGGCCATGGGATTTGTGGCATGACTTGAGGTTTCGTTGATACCAGAAGTCATGATCTGTCCGAATTAGATTGAGGTTTGAATCGAGGACACCAAGGCGCCCGGACGCGGGAGTAATCTCAGACTGGCAGGTTGTCGCCGTATTTTCTGCCAGCCCTACCGCAATGTAGACAATAGCCCTCCCGGCGACGAATTGACCAACCATATATACAGTGCACAATAATGACACTCACCATGCCCATGATGCAGAGAATCCACACGGTTTTCTGACGACGGAGATTATTGACAAAGACCGGCGCAGATAGCGTGTATTCGCCGCCTGTCCTAACCGTCGCCGGAAGTCCCCAATATTCTGCACGCCAGCGAAACTGCTAATGTCGAACGCGAACAGCGTATTCAGAAGAATCGCCACCATGGGATTCAAGTCGTGATGTTCAGTACTTCTAACCTAGGGGAATCCTATCCCCAGTGTCCGGGCTGCTCCGAGCCCTGAGGACGGGCCTCATCCTGGGTCCGTAGGAACCCCACCATAGCCGTTGTACGCGCGCTTTCCCCACGCCGATCGTGGAGAGACCACCCAATTATACATACCCGTTATCGTCTCCCTTGTAGCCGATGTACGCGACGGTGGGACAGCATGTATTTAAATAATTTGACCCTGTCACTCTGTGCCGGTCCAAGTCCCATAACTAACCGCTCACAATGGCTGCCAAACGTCCCAACTTTTTAATTATCGTCGCCGACGACCTCGGTTACAGTGACCTGGGGTCGTATGGCGGGGAGATTCGCACCCCGAACTTGGACCAATTGGCCGCGGATGGGGCCCGATTCACCAACTGTCAGTGGTCATGACCCGCATCGGGCTCAATAGGCTGACCGCATGGAATAATAGACTATACGGCTGCCGCATGCAGTCCGACGAGAGCAATGCTGCTGTCTGGCACCGACAGCCACATCGCCGGGGTGGGGGTCATGAGCGAGCAGAAGGGACGTGATCCCGAACGTTGGAACGTTCCGGGCCACGAAGGGTTTCTCAAGTTTGTCTTCTTGGGGCTTGGCCTCGACATCATCAATCGGCGCTGACCAATGTGACTAGCCACGACGTTGCGGCGCTGTCGGAATTGCTTCAGGACGGTGGGTATCATACGCTGCTCAGCGGGAAATGGCACCTCGGTCTTCTCCCGGAGAACAACCCAGCCGAGCGAGGCTTTGATCGGTCATTTGCCTTGCTTCCAGGGTGCTCAAATCACTACGGATACGAGCCCCAATTCGGTAAAGATTACATCAACTTCTTCACCCGGATCCCTCCGCTGTATACCGAAGACGGCAAGAGAGTCGAGATTGAGCCCAACATGAACCAGGACCCGAATGGCTTCTTCACGTCCGATTTTTACACCGACAACCTCATCAAGTACCTCGACGAGCGGACGCCCGAGAACAAGGAGAAACCGTTCTTTGCATACCTGCCATTTTCTGCTCCCCACTGGCCCCTCCAGTGTAGCCGTGAGGACCGGGAGCGCTACCGGGGTATGTATGACGACGGCCCCGATGCGCTCCGGTTGAGGCGACTCGAGTCCCTTCAAAAGCTCGGGATTGTGGATCAAGACATCACGCCCCATGAGGTGATTGCACCGGAGGCGATCAAGAGATGGCAGGACATGGACACCTACGAGCAGAGAGCCTCTGCCCGAGCCATGGAGTGCTTTGCCGGCATGGTCGACAACATGGACCAGAACGTGGGCAAGATTGTTCGCTACCTGAAGCAGATTGGGGAGTTTGAAAACACCTTCATCATCTTCCAGTCTGATAACGGTGAGTCGACTGGATCCTCATCATCTTCTCTCTGACCTTTGTCCCAGGAGCCGAAGGGGCTGCGTACGAGGCGCTGCCCACCATGGGCGCCGATCTGATGCGAGTCATCCACACGTACTGTGAGTGGACCAGAGACCCGGTCGATCTGGAGACGTGCTGACTCTGGCAGATAACAACGACATCGACAATATCGGCAATCCCGACTCCTTTGTGTGGTATGGCACCAGGGTAAGTTTCCTTCCCGGCAATGGCATTCCCCTCCGGCTGAAAATCGGTACCAGTGGGCCCAAGCCTCGACTGCACCATCCAGAATGTACAAATATTATAGCACCGAGGGCGGAATCAAGGTGCCTTTCAGTGAGTCCCGCTGCACTGCTTTAAAACCAGCATACTCACCCGCTGGCAGTTGTCCACTACCCCAAGTTTCACCAGAATCAGCAGGGCGGCGCCCTGGTCAAGTCATTCTCCACGGTCATGGACATCTGCCCCACGATCCTCGATCTGGCGGGCGTCCAACATCCAGCCGCCGGAGCAGGGAATGGGAGCTATCGAGGACGAGCCGTGGCTTCCATGCGTGGCCGATCCTGGGTCAGTTTTGGCCTCCAATCTGCACCCGAAGACGCTGACCCGGTGATCCAGGTTCCTTTCATGCAGGATAATAAGAGCCTTGGCACGACAGCAGCCACGTCCATCCATGGAGATGATGGCACCATGGGATGGGAGCTCTTTGGTCGGGGAGCGGTGCGGCAAGGCCCGTACAAGCTGGTGCACGTTGAGCCGTTTGCTGGGGGGCGGGAGGACGGGAAGTGGCAGCTCTATCATCTGGAGAAAGATCCCGGGGAGGTGGAGGATCTGTCGGACCGCATGCCGGACAAGGTTCAGGAATTGACGCAGATCTGGGAGGAATATCGGCAAGCCACCGGGGTGGTCTGGGGCATGCCGATCCGGTTTGTGGGGGAGGAATGGGATGGCTGTGACGATGAGGGGATCATTGGGGGGGATGCGATTACGCAGACCCAGGCGTGGATGCAGGTGCGGCAGGGGGAGACGGCCGCGAGAAAGTGCCCCCCGTAGGCGTGGGTGGAAGTATCTAGACATCCTCCCTACGACCAATGCGGATAGCGCAATCCGGGGAAAGTGGAGTGCTGCAAGGGGCGGTACGAAGCGGGTACTTGGGATGTCATACATTGGACTACGACGTCAGCAGGTATCTGGCGGGTATCGGATTCCCTTCCCCCTCATCCAGTATGAGGTCACGAGTGCCCCCTTCTTCTGCTCTTTTATCTTCCTTCCTTTCTCTCTCTCTCTCTCTCTCACTGACACTTGCAACTCCCATTACCAACCATCTATCAAATAAATAGTACATCTTCCTCCCTCTCTCTCGTTCCATTATCTCCAACTAACTAACTTGACCCTAGTGACTCGTTCCCACAAGCTGAATGACCGTGACCACCAGGTAGAGGGCATCATCGCCCCCAAAGACCAGCTGCCCCGTTACTTTGCCAAGTCGGGTCCAACCGATGCGGATCCACGTAAGACCAAGAAGGATGGTGGCGGCAAGGGCAATTGGTCAGTGTGCTGTGGCCTCCCCCGGCAAGCAATGAGACTCACAACCCATCAGGGGCCGCTCCGGAGATGAAGTCCAGGACTATGGCTACACCTTCACCAATGCCAGGCGCCGCTCCAACAGCAGCACCCAGGGTCTGGCCGATTTTCGCACCAAATTCGAGACCGTCGATCCGGAGCCGGTCTTTGAGGAGCAGTTCCACGGCCCCTCAGATGAAGCCCTGGCGAACGAAACCACCGTCACCAAGGTGGACACCACCAGCAGCAATGGTAGCGAGACCGACAACGGGGGAATGCGTCTCTAAGCTCGGGGGAGAGGGACCGGACCGGCGAGGCGCCGGATGATACGGCCGTCCCAACCTGAAAGATAGCTTGCAATCAATAATATCACTTGTATCACTGCCTATCCTGTCCACCTGATTCCATGTAGAATGATTATGGTCTGCGACTAAGATTCAAGATATTCCGTACATGTGGTTACATACACATCCCGTCCCTTCGAGGAAACGCCTGAAACTGCCCTCCCTCCCATCAAACCCAGGTCAATCGCGCCCTCGCATCCCCGGAGGTGGCGTCGGTGGCACGGGACGCGGAGGATCGCGCGTCGGCAGAGGCTAGGAGATTTTGATACCAGAAATCGAGTTTGCCGGTTTCGATGTACTGGCGGAGAAGATCGTCCTCCCGCTGGAGGTCCAGGGCAATGCGAGCCCGTTGCTCTGGGCGGAAGCGTGAGACCAGAACCTCCGATTCAGACTCACTCATCAGAGCCTCGGCCGGGGAAAGAGGTTGGTAGAGAGATGGGCCGGTCATCTCGCGGTTTTCTGTAGACAATGTTAGGCTCATCCCGGCGACAACATAACGACACCACTCACCCAAGCAGAGGCTCAGCGTGTAATGGAGAGCGGTCTCGGTGGCAGACGAATCGGAATTGCCGTTTGCTTCCTCGGCCGCTTTCCCTCGAGCCTCCCAGTCATCACGGATCATGCACCGCCGCCAGATCAACTTCCGCAAAGCCGACTCAAACGACACATTCTGCTGAGCGTAGCGTCCGCGCTCCAGAACTTGTAGTGCTTGGTAGAAAACTTCGTGGTGGGTCTCGCTGTCCTTGTCTTCAGAAGTCCGCGCAGGATCCATAAGCGTCAACAGATCCAGGAGGTCATCAGCGCCAACCACCTGTCGGTTGATCATCGTGGTGAGAGCTTCATTCAGGATCTCGTGAAGGGAAGGTCGGTCCTCCGAAAGATAGCTCCCGAAATAATCCAGGGCCAGCTCAACTTCTGCCTTCTTGTCAATTGCACCTTCAAACACCGGCCGGATGTAGTTGTAGAGATCTTGCTGGATCACATCGATCGCGGTGTGATCGTCAAGACGCTGGATGTCTTCCCGTGAAGCAGGATGAGGGTCTTGAGTTTGAGACCGCTCCCATGAAGCGAGTCGACCGAGTTTCGCGAGCGAGATCTCCACCTGGTGGCTCCAAAGGTTTGTTTCACTGCTGAGAGCCAGTTGCTCCAAGGACGCTGCAGCGGTATCATAGTCATCCTCGCCCACCACGTCGTTGATCCAACTCAGCCGTAAGTAAGCTGGACTCTTCCGTAGGAAACGGGTCACAAAAGGTTGGTATTTTCTCATGGAGAGCAACGCCCCAGGGTGCCCCATCGAGATTTGCCGCGAGAAATACGCGTTGGCCCATGGTTCGCCGAACGTCTCAAAATACTGTGAGATTCTTTGCTCAACAACGCCTTCACGGTCCCCATTGGGGGCGGCATCCGCGGAGGAGCCTTGGTTCTTCATTTGATCCTGAAGCTCGATCACGAGTTCGACCAAAGCCTCCATGTCCCGGAATCTTTCTGCTAGACTGAGTGCGTCCTGGAGGTGCCCAATGCCCGCCAGCTTGAACAACTGCCACTTGCGCTCTTTGGTATGCGTTTGCTCAATGGAGGCGCTTTCATCCACGAGTTGGGGGTCTTCTTGGGCAGCTAGCCAGCGAAATCTTTCACAATGCATCTGGCCGAGTACGCGCAGATGCCGGGCACTATTTCCCGCAATATTTTTCAAGACCTGCGCGTCCGGCCCGTCCGCATTTGACGCCCGTTGCTGAATCCACGCCCGGCAGCTGTCGAGCTCCCAGTCGAGCAGATGCCCTGTTTCGGTGTAACCGACTGCTTTCGATGTCCAGAACTCGGGGAGATCCTCATAGCCATCGGCCAAGACACCATCCTCCAGAAAATCCTCGCCGAGTCCATACAATCCGGCGTGTTCATCACGGTATCGGAAGGCGGTCTCCATAATCGCCAGTGAAATCTCACTGGCCTCCAGTATTTGCTCTGACAGCTTCCGAGCTTGTTTCGAAGAGTTGCCTCTCCGAGGTTTGATCGCTTTCATGATCCATGGAATGATGTGTTCCATTTGAAAGGAATCTTTCAGGAACCATTGGCGTACGGGGTCAGTTTCGCCCTGCTGGGGATCAAGCCTTGTTTTGAACCGATCATTCATCGACTCAATTACAGTGTTGAGAAAAGGCTTCTCGCCTTCTCCTCTGAAAGATTCTCCAACTTTCCACATGGCTTTCTGGGCAGCGATCTTTTCGGCAGCCCATAACAATTCCCATCGGGCTGGGCGGCTGAGAGGGTTGCCTTTGCGACATAGTAGGGAGATCAGATCATCGAGGGCTTTCGCTCTTAACCGCAAGTTCTGTTCGATGGAAATCGCTGTACGCGGAATGAATTTGGAGTCTGATCGCATCGTCTCATGGCAAATCTCAAGAGCGGCTTGCTCGATTTCAGCAGGAGAGAAGTCAAACCCACTCTCGCCTGCAAGGTTCAAAGGGTTCTTAGCCATTGTGCCAAAGAAAATTGCCTGCTCGAGCTTGTGCTTGGCGGTCGCCTGGGCCTCTTCAACATCGCCCTCTACCTGATCGCGAGGGAATACGGTGACGCGAAGAACGCCAAAGTTCCGAACCATGAGGACACAAGCGCCATACGAATCCCCACTAGGCTCGTCTTCTGAGCCACAACCGAGGATTTCGTAGTCTTTGCCCGATCGCAAGTGAATGGTGTCCTGCAAAGACAGTGATTTGTTGGAGTCCAGAAGCAATTGCGAGCTGGGTGTCTCCTCCACACTCGTGAGCGACAGCATGATCAGAGACTGTCCGAGTAGGATGAAAGCGGACTCCTCAGACCGGGGAACAAATATCTTCGGCTTGAATTCGTTCAGCCCCGCAGGCACACTGTGAAGGTCCACGGGGTGTGTTGATAGAATCCGACATTCACTCCCGGACAAACAGATCTGGACCAGGAAGAGTCTCTTGGATTCTAACCATTGAGGAGAACCAACAACCAAGAAAAGCCGCCATGATTCTTCAGAAACCGGAGAGGTGTTCTCATCGAAGGCCTGCTGCTGCGCAGGAAAAGCAAAATCCATGACCTTGAGGTCTAGTTCACCAGTCGTATTCACATGATTCTGAGCGATCGCGGCTGCGATATCGTCCTTAGCATCGTATCGTTTTTTCAGGGCGTTGCCATGGTTCCAGTGCGTATCCCAGATTTCGAGCAGACCAGTCGAAGTCACAATAACCACATCTCGCTGGCCTCGTTGATGGCAGGCTCCCGTTCGCACGGCGGTGACCTCTTTTCTCCAGGAGCCACCCCCGAGAACATTCTTGATTCCACCGAGAAACCCGCCACCCCCAGAACCGACTGTGCTGCGAAGGAAATTGACAAGCACAGAGGGTTTCCCTTGAGAATCCCTCACGGTAATGTGCGCCACTCGTCCGGAAGAAAATGTCGCAATGATTCCAGAGGGCTCGCCGTTCATGATATCTATGGCATGTTCACCAGAAAGCAAGCCAGAGATCGACCCCTGAATACCATTTTGCTTTTGTCGAGACAAGCCCAGCGACGCGATGCTGGACACCGTTTCCCAGTAAATTATTTTACCAGTAGAAGGAATGAGGACGAGAAGACCTGGATGTCCTCCTGTCACGGTAGACAACAGGATGCCAAGTGGAACTGGGCCGTTGTGGTCTCTGCATGACTCGGGGATCGAGACAGTGAATGTTTCCGAGGAGGAGGGGGACGAAGTGGGTGCCGAGTAGGGCCATACAATTGCATGGGAGCGCGTCAGGGCCAAGGCATGGCCGTGGCCAGGTCCGAAAAAACATCGAAGAGGCTCTAATGGTCAGGGTCAATAACAGCCAACGACGGCATAAGAACGGTAGTTACCTGACTGCAATCCTCGAATCTGATCCGGCAACGCTGGAAGTTGCTCCACGGTGTAGTAATCTGTGCTGGACTGTTTTTTCGACGGGCATTAGCCAATGTTACTTACAAACCTAGGGCGGTAAGTGGAAAAGAAAATTCACAGAGGCCACTGACTAGAAGAATTGCACCCTCCTTGTCATTCTTGAGGCCCTCAGTCTGTTTGCTGCCTCGGAGAGGCAGGTGAAACTCCGTTTCCATCGAATCCGTGGTCACATCGCCAGGGCCACTCAGTGGCAAACCAGCTAACTGGGCATCTGACGGGGAGTCATCTTTCTGCCGTAGCACCGAGCGCTGTCGTTTAGCCTTGGGCGGCTTGACGGAATCGTCCGAGCTTGTTCGCTGGCGCCGACGAGTGCTGCGTGCGCCAGGAGCAGCTGCTTTGGGGACGAACATTTTCGCGAACAAGCAGCGGAGCTCAGCAAGCACGCGCTGGCCGAGTTCAGGCCAGGTGAGGTGGGGAAGGAGGGAGGACGGAGAAGCGAAAGCAGTTGCAGGAAAGGGAAGATGTAAATAAGAAGCAGCAGCGCGCCCATATTGCCCGAAGGCGGTGAGCCAGGTATGGCCAGCCCTCCCATCCCTCTGTCTCCTCAGCACAACCAACCATGAGTTGAATCGTCTACTAGTTGCTCGACTAACCACTCCCACCATGTCCCTTCCCCGTGTTCTCTCCAAACCGTCACGGGTAGCCATGCGTTCGGCAGTCTAGTCCACATGTCTCCTTTTAAGTCCCGCCGCCTGGGAGCGGCCATCGCGATGTGGCGGCGTCCCTCATTCACCCCAGCACGTCTTACCACCTCAGGGATCTCCCATCGTGGCCTATCTACGGCTTTGTTCTTTCCTGGACATGGGGTACAACGAGTAGGCATGGCAACTGCCTGGGTGGACAGCTTCCCCCACACCGCGACCAGAATTCTGGATGAGATGGATACCATCCTAGGATTCAAACTCTCGCGCATCATATCGGACGGTCCCAACTCCGAATTGAATCGCACTGAACATTCACAACCCGCAGTCATGGCGGTGTCAGTACTCATCCTCCGTATTCTGGAGCATGATTTTGGATTCGATATTCAGTCGAGCGTGGACGTGACTCTCGGGCACAGCCTGGGAGAGTTCTCCGCGCTGGTCGCCGGCGGCTACCTCGGATTCGGAGATGCTCTTCGATTGGTTCGGCGCCGGGCTGAGGTGATGGCTCAGTGCACACGAGCGGTCGCCAAGCAATCGGGCGACAGCTACGGAATGGTGGCACTCATCTGTGAGCCCGACCACCTGGAGAGTTTACTGAAAACTGTCCAAGACTTTCTCAGTCTCGGAACGCGTGAGGACGATTCCAGCCACGCAGTGCCGCCAATCCAACAGGTGGTAGTGGCCAACATCAATTCGAAGAATCAAATCGTACTCAGTGGCAGCATTGAAAGAATCAAAACACTTCTTGTACAGCTCCGTCAATTTGGAGGACATGATCCGCGCGCCGTGAGGTTGAAAAGTGACAGCCCGTTTCATAGCCCCGTGATGGCACCAGCGGCAGAATATATGAGAAACGCCATGGAGAATATCGATGTTCGCTTCCCCGCATTGATTCCGTGCATCTCGAACGTCTCTGCACAACCGTTTCAGTCCAAAGAGGACCTTAAAGATCTACTTTCCCGACAGTGCATCGATACTGTCCGATGGTGGGACAGCATCCGCTACCTCCATCAGGATCAGGGAGTACGCCGGTGGGTTGGCATTGGACCCGGCAAGATCGGACGAAACTTGGTTGGCAAGGAGGTTGGCCGCGTCGACACCAAGGGAGGCGGCGTCTGGGCGATTTCGGATCCTCGCGAGGTGGAAGAAACCATCCTCGCCTTGGAGCGGACGGAGCCCAGGACTCCAGAAGGCTCGCCCCCCATCCATGTATAGCTATGATACCATGATTTTATTTATTTTCCCAATTCTCTGAATCTATTCCATGACGATGATACAAATCTACATAACCGCAATGCCTGGCGCCCACGAGTCTCCAATGCGCTTGACATCGGCCGCGAATTTGGGATTGAATATCTGCTGACATGTAGAAGAGGGTTCGACGGTGTGACCTGGCAGTGGTGTATGATCATCGGGAGAGTAGAACGGGTTCTGTAGCAGTTGGATATAGGCGCTCTGCAATGCTCGGAAGGCCTGTCAATCCTGTCAGTGAGTGCGACAGAATCGCTTTATAGGAGGGGAAACCAACCGGCTTCAGATCAGAGTCTCGCAAGCCACTGATCGCCGGGCTTGCTGAGCTCCCGGTGCCCTCGTCCTGGCCAATTAGATCCACAATGATCAAGAGCTTCACTCCCGTGGTGGTCAGCCAGCCATAGGCCGCCAGTCTCTCGTCGATCGCCTGCAGTAGACCCAGATCCTGATCCACAGAGGTGTGTTTCCGCCGGATCTCAAAGATATCCAGGCAGGAATTCAGCAAGAAGGAGAACTCAATGGTCGAGTCCGAATAAGGAGGGAAGAGGGAGACGTGGAGAGGGTTGTCCTGGGATGGGATGGGTATTAGCAGAGGTTTTTCTGGTTGTCCAGGAGTATACATACGGCTTTCCCGATCACGCCGATGCAGGCGATCTTGGGGCCTGCCATGGTGTTCACATCAGGTATAGCTGATGTAGTAAGTCGGGGAGTTCAGTCAAGTCAGTTCAATGATACTGCCCCAGGCCACCGCCCATCCGCCGCCCAATGACCGTGCCCTTAAATTCCATTGACAAGCCACTCACCGCCTTTACCGTACCGTCACATAACCTCCAATAAACACGGGCAGATTTCATGACATAAGCAGTATGTTACCACATCCTGACCTGACCTACCTTTCTCTCGTCCTCCTGGTCTTTCCCATCATCGCCCGCCACTTCTTCCTGCTTCCCTCCCCCCCCAAGCTCAACTCTCCCCTCTCCGAAGCCCGTGCCCATCTAGGCCAGGTTGCAATAGAACCCGGTCGCTGTCATCCGGGGGCTTCGATTGACCTTCCAGCTTTTTCCCACCGCAGGAGGTGTCCCCCACAACCATGCTGCCCATGGCGAAACCGGCCATCTCGGGCGCCCTGTGCGGTAGGCTTCTTGTGCCATTCGAGATCCCTTGCAGAACCACTGCTGACATTGGACCCAAGCGGCCCGCCCACGTCTAGCCCTGGCCCTGGCCCTCCCCCGAGCCCAGCCCATTGCCGCCCTCTCAACTTCGTCAATCAAATCCGCCACAGCACTCGAACGCCAGTCACAGTCTGGCTCGCAGCTTACAGCTTCTGGCAAGGCCCGCAAGGAAGTGCCATTGCCTAGTCAGGAGAAGAAGGAGGGTGCCATGCAATATGTCCTGTTCGTGCTCCTGTTGGCTGATTCGACCTGGCCCGTATACTGACTGCCTGGCAGAACCACTCTGGATCAAGTTGCCAACTGGGCCCGCCAAAGTTCTCTGTGGCCCATGACCTTCGGTTTGGCATGCTGTGCCGTGGAGATGATGCACCTCTCCACCCCCCGATACGACCAGGACCGCCTGGGAATTATCTTCCGTGCTTCCCCCCGACAATCTGATGTGATGATTGTGGCCGGTACCTTGACCAACAAGATGGCCCCCGCTCTCCGCCAGGTCTACGACCAAATGCCTGAGCCGCGCTGGGTGATCAGCATGGGCAGCTGTGCAAATGGCGGCGGTTACTACCACTACAGCTACTCGGTGGTTCGAGGCTGTGACCGGATTGTGCCGGTTGATGTTTATGTCCCTGGATGTGAGTAATCTCCATCAATTCTATCGAGTGTGACTAACTGGATCAAGGCCCTCCCACATCGGAAGCCCTGATGTATGGCATCTTCCAGCTACAGAAGAAGATGAGACACACCAGAATCACACGGATGTGGTACCGACGCTAGACGTGCCTCGGGACCCAGGACTGAAATTACCATGTCATACCTTCTTTTGAGGATCATCAGTCTGATAGCCCAGCCCCTTGTGGAGCCTTTTGTGTCTTATTACGCTGTATATCAATATCAAGCTTTCTCCTTTGTTCCCTTTTCTGCGGCTCAAACGTCGTTCTCCCCCATTCCCCGAAAAAGCACTCACATCTCTAGGCTGTTTTAGTCTGATTCTTACATATGCCGACATGGCAAATCAATATATTGACATGGACTACTTTAGGCATTTGTTCATCCAAGGATCTTCTATTGGCTTGAATATGGGACAATTTCTGCGCTAGCTCGTATACTGCACACCGATTTCTGCTTATATGCAGGGATTTTCTTGCTTCGTTCTGCCCTTTCTCCTGTCTCGTCGATTCCACTCTCATTTAGCCGTTGACCATCACACCGCCGTTGGGATGCAGACATTGGCCAGAGATATAGCTACTATCTTGGCTTGCCAGAAAGACGAAGCATGTAGCAACCTCACTAGGCTGTCCTGGTCGGCCAATAGGCACAGCATGGAACTCTTCCATGGCAGACGTCTGCATTGTCGATGGAATCAAGGGAGTCCAAACTAAGAGCTTTGTGTGAGCAACCAACTTCGCAAAGGGGATATTGGAAACATACTGGGACCAGGGCACACGCAATTGACTCGGATGCCTTTTTTTATTTGCTGGTTAGATAGAGCTCGTGTGAATGCGACAATCGCGCCCTTGGTCGAGGTATAATCCAGGAGATCACCACGGCCGATGTACGGGTTGACCGACGCACAGTTGATGATCGTGGAACCCTTCTTCATATGGGGGAGAGAATATTTGGCCAGATAAAAGAAGGGGTGAATGTTGGTGTCGAAAGTTCGTTCCCATTGGGCCCTGGTTCCCAGTCAGTACCTGCAGCGAGGGCGTGTAGTCCAGATGAACCTACTCATCCAGCTCCCCAATGTCGTTCAGCATATTCTGGAAAGCAGCATTGTTCACCAAGATATCAATGCCGCCCATACACTGAACCGCCGCGTCGACGACCTTGCGACAGTTGTCCTTGTTCCGCAGATCCATTGCCAGGCAATGGCATTTTTGGCCGGCCGCCTCGACTTCTTTCTTGGTATCCTGGGCGTCTTTTTCCTCCGAGGGTAAGTAAACAATCATGCTTGATGCGCCTTCCATCGCATACAGGATGGCAATGGCCCGCCCAATGCCCGAGTCGCCGCCGGTGACGACGGCTCGTTTGCCCTGGAGCTTGCCCGCGGCCTTGTAGAGCTGGTACCCGCCATCCTCTGTGGGGATATAGGAGGAGACGGGCTTGGGGTCCTCCATGTCCAGCTGTAGCCCTGGCTTGTCCATGTGTTGAATGGGGATCTTGTGTCCTAGTCCATGTTAGAATGCGTCTCCGACGGTGTTCCAGGGGAGTGATATGTACCTGGTTGAAACTGGGACTTCGCCCCGCTGGCTGGTCTCTCAGTGTATTGGACCATCTTGGTGGTCTGTCGGATACCAATGAGCTTTTCGAATTGTAGAGCGAGGTCTATCTCTCGAGCATGGTCGGAACGATAGCGATTCGGCCAAAGCTTTATCTAAGGTCTCTCGGGGAAAACATGTCACCATGACGCCTCCCACCGCGTTTCCATCGCGCCTATTGTAGAGACGCTGTCTGTTTTAGTGGGAGAGCGCGCTCGGAGGCCAGAGCCGCCAAAGACCAATTCACCCCAATGCTGCCTCTGTCTGGTCTAGGTGCGGGTTGGCGATCCAGCGCAAAGTCGGTTTGGGTGGTGGCTGAATGACGGATGCAGTGGCAGTCAAGCCCCACCTCATCACGGTGACGTGGGTGTGCTGTTTGTAACAAGTCCCTTTTACAGCATGTAAATGTACCTATGTGCGTAGTTGATTTGATGGGCGTGATAGTATAGTTCTGTTTCTGCCTCAGGCGTCCACGGCTCCATATCTGCTTAAGTAATCCCTATCTTATCCACTTTTTTTTTCTTTCCTCTGCTCTTTCCTGAACTAACACCACACTCCCTCCTTCTCGTCCTCCATGGCAAAACGACGCTCGGGCAGGGCATCGGCCCAACAAGAGATGACGCTCCCGTCTGTTTTGTCGTCCCCGTGGGCCTTTCTTCGTCCTACCACCGATCTCCATTCCACTGTGACCGATTCCGCCAAACAATTCCTCGATCCCTTGGCGGCGTCAATCGTAGACGCTCAATTCACTCGTCGACAGATCAACAAGAAGCGCAAGAGGTCAGAGTTGGGACCGGAGGATTCGCAGCCCCTACAACTCAAAAACCTTTACGTGGACGGCTTCACCTCGAATCAAATATGGGAACAAGCGACAAGGATCCTGGAGTCTGCCGGAGGTGAAATCGAGCGAGATATCGCTTTGATTTCAAAGAATCAGCAGCCATCCCTCGATATTTCGGACCCTGAGGACGCAGAATCGATCAGCGACAGCCAGAACAGCTTGTCAGGTGTCTCCGAGGATGAGGCTAGCATCGATGGGAGCATGGGGACTGGCTTGGAGTCTGACTTGGAGAACTCTCATCTGGACCTCGAGGATTCAGAATTGGCAGACGAGATGGCTGAACCTTTGTCCGAAGACGAAGAAGACGACGATGCCTCGGCTGCTGAAGAGGACCCGGGCACCTACGCAGATGACAAATTTGGGTTAAATGATGGATTCTTTTCTATCGATGATTTCAACAGGCAGTCCGAACTGCTGGAGAGGCAGGATGCTATGGGGGCACCAGAAGAAGATGAGGACTCCAGCGATGAGATTGATTGGCATACGGATCCGCTCCTCGCTGGAAACGCTTCAACTATCCGCGAGAAGGATGGACGGAAAAAACCAAGCAGCCTCGAGGACGACGAGGATGATAGCAGCGAAGAGGAAGGGCCAACGTTCGGCAATGCCGATCTCAATGCCGATTCGGGCTCTGACGACGATGAGAATCTTTCCGACGCTGCTGGGAATGACGCTGCTGGCTGGGTTAACACCAGCGATATCAAATACGCCGATTTCTTTGCTCCGCCACCGCGCAAAGTGTCATCCAAGAAGACGCGCGCACTCCCGAAAACTCAACCCAAAGAGACCATTATGGATGAGGATATCGACCGAGCCATGGATGATGTTCGACGCGATTTGTTTGATGATGAGCCTTCTGATCAAGGCGAAGAAGACGACATGGACGAATCGCCCGACGCTCAGGGCGAGCGTTCCACTCACGAGAAACAACGCGCACGTATTGCAGATGAAATTCGTCGCCTGGAAGCGGCAAATGTGGCGAAGAAGGAATGGATGCTTGCTGGAGAAGCCCGGGCTGTGGAAAGACCGGTCAATTCTCTTATCGAAGAGGACCTTGATTTCGAGAGAGTCGGGAAACCGGTCCCGGTCGTCACAAATGAAACCACCGAGGACATTGAAGAATTGGTCAAGCGTCGAATTCTCGCCAATGAGTTTGACGAAGTGCTTCGCCGTCGGCCAGGCGCTTCGGATACGCGGGGTGCCAAGAAGAGTCGGTTTGAGCTCGACGATACCAAACCGCAGCAAAGCCTCGCAGAGCTCTACGAGACCGACCATCTCCGTGCTACGGATCCGAACTTTGTCGATGCGAAGGACCGCAAGTTGATGCGGGACCATGCCGAGATCAACAACCTTTGGAAGGAGGTCAGTTCCCAGCTGGACACATTGTCCAATTGGCACTACAAGCCCAAGGCCCCGCAAGCGAACATCAACGTTGTGACCGACGCTCCCACCATTATGATGGAAGAGGCGCGTCCGACGGCAGGCAGTGCTGCTGCTGGGCCCACGGGACTTGCGCCCCAGGAAATCTATGCGCCTGGAGACGACGGCCGAGTCGCGGGCGAAGTGGTCCTCAAGAATGGTGCCAGTGCGTCCCGGGAGGAGATGACTCGGGAGGAGAAGGCCCGGTTGAGGCGGCAGCAGAAGAAGAACAAGAGCAAGGAGAAGACCCAGTCCGCCGGCCAGCGGCCCAGCAAGGCGGCCGAGAAGGAGCAGCTGGTGTCGGATCTGAAGAAGGGCGGCGTCAAGGTGATCGACAAGGAGGGCCGGATGACGAATGTCGATGGGGGCAAAGTCAGTGCCAGCGCAAAGAACCGCGCCGATACCCTGAAGTTGTAGATAGACATGTAATGTATATTTGTTTCTTCTGAGCGCTTTCATGGGTTTTCATATTATCATCTATCACATTACATACTTCTATCTTTCTATTATTTATTATCATCTCTCATACCCGGCCCTCTTCTGGAAGCCGGCTTGACCCTGATTGTATAGAGAAAAATGTTTTCGCGATTGTAAGTGCTGGCTCGTGGTTCGTCCTGGATTTCTTCGATGAGGAACACCTTCTTGACCATCTTCATGAACCGGAGGTCAGCACGTCGGCGCCGTTTGAAGCAGAAGTAGCACACGGAGTTGGGGCCCAGGAGCTCTTGGAGAGTCGTGATGAGAAGGGGGAACGCTGGCTCAAAGTAGACGCAGTCGGCGGCCAGGATGATGTCCGGGTGCGATGGGATGCGGTCTGGTAGGGGTTCCCCCCAATTTAGCACGCTGGCGTCTACGGTCGAGGAGAGATGGTTCAATTGAATGTTGGCTTGCATCAGGGAAAGCATCGGCTGCTGGTCGGTGATGTAGAGAGACGTTCGTCCAATCTTGCATCCGTGTGCGATTGCGAGACCCACGAGTCCACCCCCGGCTCCGAGTTCAACGCTGGCGAGGTGTCAGTAGCGGCTCGCACAACAACCACCCCCAAAAAAAAAGGGAGAAAAAAAAAAAGAAAAGAAAAGAAAAGAAAAAGGAAGAAAGGAAACGGACATGGTTTTATCGCCCAAGTCCGAGGAGTGTCGACTGATGATATATTTCGCTAGAACCATACCGGCCGGCCATAATTGCCCGCCGCAGCCTTCCTTGAGATCCTCTTTCAAGAGCAGCGGTTCTGGCAGGAGACCGTCGAGGAAGACGCGGGTGGTCACCGCCGCTCTGTTGTCACGCCAAGGAGCCAGAGACTCACTGATGGCGAAAGATTCCGGGTCCGAGTCAGTAGTAGTAGTGTCCATGATATGTCCTATCGTCGTGTTTGTTGCAGGATGAAAAAGAACGATGCGAAGAATTGTCGATCTGCCGAGATTTTCATGCTGGGGCCGGGATCGGCCCGGCAGAGACATCCCGCCCTTCGGTGCTGTAGGTGCATTCTGGATTACTTGCTTGGTTTCTGGGGTATCTGGGAGGAAATGAATTAGTATTAGTATCGTTGTTGTTATAGTTTTTTTTTTAAAAAAAAAAAAAAGGGGGGGGTGAAATAAAATAAAAAAGAAAACAGAAGAGTGGCCTAAGTCGATGTATATATCGCGACCGCACACCTGGATAGACCCTCCAATGCCCTCCCGCTTGAACCACTACTGTGTCCCAAGAGAAACCCCATCTTGCTATTACTCCCATGACCCAACCACGTAGACACCAGATCCTGATTCATTCGGGAGTATGCATATCACCGACGGACCAGACATCCATCCTAGGACATCCAGCTGGCCCCGATCTACACCACCACCGACTCCACCCCCAACACTAGACGATTAATTCTTTAGCCTACCATGTCTATCTGTGATTTAAATCCCGATTCAGTCCTGCAAGGCACGGTGCGCAAGAAACCCAATCCACTGCCAAGGTGAAGCTGGCACTCGACCGGATGACATCACCAGCGATCATGACGACGTCACCGAATGCCCGGTCCGTTCTTAAGGCGCATCAGCTGCCATGCTTTCCCTAGATCTTGACTTTTCAGAGTTACTATCATCCCACAGTCCACCAATCCATCATCACCACCAACATCCATCATGACCACCCTGCACTGTGAGTTGAGAGGCATACCGTGGCGGAACCATCCTAACCACCGACCCAGATCTGCCCCCCGTGAAGCCCTCCGCCATCGCGATGGGAACCATCTTCACCCACACGGCCTCGCTCGGCATCCTGGCCCCCGTGTTCGGTGACACCTATCACCGTGCCCAGGCCGCCAACTCCAAGGAAGAGTTCATCAAGTCCAAGGAAGCCGCGGGCGCCGCTGCCGCGTGGGGAAGCTCGCTGGCCGGCAGCGCCGTGCAGACCTACGGTGTCGCGGCCCTGATCAACGCCACGGGCACGCTTAGCTATAAGGGCGCTGCCTACCTGGGAACGCTGGTGTTCATGGCCAGCTCTGCCCCGAGTGTACGTTGACCAAAACCCCAAACCGTCATGCCTGCTAACTCCCAGGCGACACAGTTCATCAGCCAGATCTTCACCGAAAAGAGACCTCTCGATACCGTCGCCGTCGGTGGAGTCGCCCGGGTGTTTGAGACAGTCGGTCTCAGCTTGTTCCTGACCTGGTGGGGGACTCGCACCCATCCATTTGACTAGATGAGCCCCGCTTTGTCTATCTGGAGTGATATCTGTACAGCTACGGTCGGATTTCCTCGATGTTGTGTAACTACATGTACACGGATTCGATGCCCGTTGCGTATTCATTTTAACCACCTTGCGTAAATCACCCCGGTCTCCCTTACGATCGGCTCGGTAGATGTGGACCGTCTCGGCCAATTGGTTACAGAGCGGGCACGGTAGGAAAACCAATGCATCTCAGATATGACTAGAGGCCAAGTGCTGGTTTGCTCAATCACTAGCAGAAAAGCGGGAACGTACAGTCGAGCCATGCCATTGAAGCACACAAAACTCCTTCCCATACGAATCTACAGTACAAGGAGACACCTGCACCTACATTGACAGCTGAAGACAGAGAGCACTCTCATTGCAAGGCAATAATGAACAAAGAGTCGATTGACAATAATGCTACCGTACCATCTAGGACAGATCCAATAATCTCATCTAATCAAGCAAACGTGCGGCAGGGGTACCTGTGTCTCACGGTCAGCGGCGGACTCGAATCAAGTCACAAGGAGACATACACTTCGGGATAGCCCTGTTCCGAATTGATCTCGTACTTGGACTTGGGTTGTGAGGAAGAGTTCAGGTTGCAGGGAGTTGGGGGCAGGCCATTGGTGCCCAAGACACCCTGGATGCTGTTCTTATCCTTCTCAAACAGGGCGGCCAGACCGCGCTCCTCGCCCTCTTCCTTGACGCTGACCAATTGCTTCTCCCCGGCCTCTCCGATCTTCAAGACATCCTCCTTGGGGGCTGCCTGACTTCCGACCGTGAGAAGACCCACGGCATCGGCTTGCTTCACTGTGCTCAGGCGGGGGTAGTTCCTCCGGGTGTCGCGCTTCCAGTAGGGGTTGTCGGCAATATCACCCGCCGGAACGGTGACGGGGTCATCATAGGCCAGAGGCGGCAGAGATCCTGGGGTGGGCAGACGGTACTGCGAGTTCAACGGGATACCGGTTGAGCGGTTGGGGTCGATGGCGAGAGCACGACGAACCCGCTCCCAGACGCCAGTGGACGGGACGGTGTATTTCTGCAAAGGGAAATGGAGTGAGATGTGTCCCGAGTGGAGACAGGGTGGTTTCACCAACCTGAGTAATGGACACGACATGCGATGCCGACTTGGCGGCTTTCAGGACATCGCGAGCCATGATGAATCGGAAAGACTCTGACCTGGACGGACGAAGTCAGCACATTGAACTCTAGGACCGGACCAAATTAGAAGCACAAGGTCTATGTTGCGGGTTGGTGGCACACCTACCTCCTGAAATGGCGAGAGACTGTCCCGGTGTTTGAGGTCTGGGAGTCTTTGACGGTCCCGTCGAGTGAGGTGTTGGAACGGGAGTGCGGTCCGGAGCGGAACAACCGTATCTCCGATCAATGGATTACACTATGTAGCATAGTAGGACGAACTACCTAACCAATCCATACTACGAGGTATCTACCGTCTTGCTGTACGGACCCCTGCCGTTTCTTAGACCTTGCCGCTGGCCACCAGCTTCTGCACTGCATCCACGGTCGCATCCGGACCACCCGCTTCACGCAGCAGCACCTTGCCCTTCTTATCCACGGCAAAGACTCCGCGAGTCGTGCCCTTGGGGGCTTTCTTAAACCCAATGGCTGCAATTAAGGTGGCGCGCGTGTCGCAGAGCAGCGGATAGGGCAGACTTTGCTTGGTTTGGAATGTGGTGTTGGCCTTGGGCGAGTCGGTCGACAGGCCATAGATGGCCAGCCCCGTCGAGGTCAGGTGCTTGTAGTTGTCGCGGAACATGCACGCTTGCTTGGTACCTGGTCACATCGTCAGTCACCAACCACGAAGAGATACCACTGCGGGAAGAAAGAAGAAAGTCATACAGCCCGGAGTCGAGGCTTTCGGGTACGTAAACAGGACCACACCCGACTCGCTGTCCGCCACCAGTTGCTTCAGAGTGGTCTTGGTACCGTCGTTGGTCTCGATCTCGCCGCCAAAAGTCTCGAGATCGACCGTGTCATGCACATTAGGGGCTGGAGACGCGGGGGTCGGGTCTGCCTCCACCGGCTTGGGTTCTGGGGCCGACTTGGCCGGCTTGCTTCTCTTGTCAGGCACGGGCAGCGGCGCAGGAGCCTTGCGTTTCCGGAGTTCGACCATGCTGGGGTGATGGATGCGTAGGAGTCGACGAGGATCTAGAAGTATAGACTTGGAAGTACTACAAACAATAATAGTACCTCTGGCCAGTCAGCTGACTGGCCGGGGCGCTGACATAATGCGACTGCGAACCCACCCGAGAAAGCCCGAAGCGGCCCTGACCCGGAAGAAAATCCATTTTTCTCTCCTCCTGATTGATTGTCATTACTCATCTTCTTCGCCACTGCTGCGTTTTCTGGCAGGTACGACTTGGATTATTATTGTTGTTTGCCTCTTCTTCTGCTTCACTCTTTGCGACCTCCCACCCCATCGTTTTGTTACTCCCAGCGTCCCTGCGCCATTCGTGTCCCTGCAAAAACATTCACTAGCCATGAAGGTCTTTTCGTCCTCGTGTACGTTCGACTACTCGTGGGACGAGGTATCCACGGCAAACTGGAGGAAATACTGCCCATGGAATGACAAGTCACCGCATGTCGTGGCAGTCGACACGCTATCTCGAACTATCGACGACACCACCGGCATCGTGAGTCCGCTCTCTGCCTGATTCTCGCCTATGACTGGCGTCGCGTGCTGACTCTTTCTCCTAGCTGCGAACGGAACGTCTCATCACTTGCAACCAGTCCGCCCCGCAATGGGTCCTTTCGCTCTTCGGCGGCAGTGCGACTTCTCACGTCTACGAGATCTCCTACGTCGATCCGGCCTCGAAGAAGGTCACCATGTGCTCCACCAACTTGACATGGTCGAATGTCCTCAGCGTCCGCGAAACAGTGGTCTACCAACGGTCATCGACTCAGCCCACCACCACCACCGACTTCCAACAGGAAGCCAAAATAACCGCTCTGTGCGGCGGGTGGCAAAATATCAAGAACAAGGTCGAAGAGGCCAGCGTCGAGAGATTCCGAGAGAATGCCAAGCGCGGCCGAGAAGGCTTTGAAACCGTCCTGGAGATGAGCCGTCGCGTGTTCAGCGAGCAGCGGGATCTCGAGAGTCAGCGCATCCAGGCCTGAACTCGCCGCTGATCTTTCACGAACCCACCGTCATTCTGTCATTCTTTGCTTCCAGCGATTGCATATCCCGGTGTCTCTTTTTCTGCATATTCAAAGCCTTTGGGTTGGCGTTCTTTCTCCTTTACTTGTTTCTCTGATGGATGCATTCCTTGCGCCAAAGACCACTCTTCGCTACGGATACCATTTTCTGTTTTACGATGTGACACGTCTCCCCCAAAAGTCTTCGTTGCCTGTTTCTGAGTGCCCTCCTGTTGTTTTTCTGTTGAACCATCGCTTTGATATAGATCAAGGAATAGATGCATTCAGACATAGATCTTAGATCTCTCTCATGTTCGTACATCGTAAATCCCACACCTCTAGTCCCGATTCAAACCTGCCCAACACCGAAACACCTAGGAAATCCCCCCCCCAAAAAAAGAAAATGTTGGCAGCATCCACGACTGCATGCTCGCTGAAGGCAAATGTCACGACCGTCAACCCAGGAGGCCTCCGAGGACGACCCGGCTTACGCCCGCCACTTCATTCTTGACGCCAGTCCGGCTGGCATCTTCAAACTCGCGCACCGCTCCTGCCACCATGATCTTGCGCAGTTTGGCATCTGCCTTGGAGAAAGCTTCCCCCAGGGCCACCGTGCAGATGGTCGGGCTTGACACCAAGGTGATGAGTCTGCTATAGCAATCGATCAAGACATCACAAAGCGTGGCAAAGGTCTCAAAGAAGTCCGGCTCAAAGGGCAAGGACGGCGTCAGGAGATAGGTATACTCCTCGCCGGGAAGAAGGTCTGCAGACTCCGTGAGAGGGAACGAAATGCCTGACCCAGCTGCGGACGTCGGTGACGTGATCGGGCCCCCCGCGCGCTTGAGATCAGACGGGTCGCTGAGCTGCATGGGGAGACCGATTTCGGTGGCCGAGCTGGCGCGCCGTGTTTTGGTACCCCCGTGTGCCGCCCGCTTGAACATTTGGGGGATGCGTGCACGCGCGAGACTCGATGAGGAGCCGCCATCGGGTGGATGCACCTGCTGGAAGGCCTCAAACTCCAGCAATAGCGCATTCAGCGCTCGGAGGTACTCGCTCGGCGAGGAATTGACGTCGAGGATCGAGGGCAGCGACAGGCCCAGCAGGAGGCAATTGACCGCCCGACGGGAAAGTTTGCGCGGCTCGAAGTAGGGCATGCGTCCGATATCGTTTCGGGAGAAATGCATTGTATTGAACCAATAGACCCGGCCATCATGGCTATAGAGCGGGGAGAGTTAGACAATGGACTGGACTCCGAGAATTAAGCACAACACATACGCTTTCCTCAGGTACTCCAGGGTGGCGATTCGTTTGGCAGCCATGTCGTGAATCTGCTGGTAGATCGAGGTTGCGCTCTGGGGGCCAAATGAGCCTCCTCCGCCGCTGAGGACGGGCGCGGGAGGAGGCATGTGAGAGTCATAGCCCAGGCCTGACTTGGCCGTTTCTTTGCGGGCCAGACTGGGGGCAAAGGAGGATGAAATGTTCATCATCGTTGGCGTGGGAGGGAGGGAGTGGTCGAACTCAGGAGAGAAAGTGAGAGCTCAGCGAACTTGTTGTTGCTTCCCCACTAGTGGGTCAATCACCACCGATCTGCCCCTTCTGCCCCTCTCCAGTGCTTCTCTTTGTCTGTCTTTCTTTCCCCCCAATTCTCACTTCGATCCCTGATCTATTTCCATGGACGACCAAATCCCGGCTGTCCCTGTGCCCGGCCAATGGCCCGTCGATCCCCAGGAGGATGTGCCTATCTCCGAGGACCGAATCTGGGTCGACGGCTGCTTCGACTTTAGCCACCATGGTGAGTAGTGGTCCCCGGATCTGGGAACGGACGGCTGGTCTGACCCTCCTTAGGTCATGCCGGTGCCATGCTCCAAGCCCGTCGCCTGGGCAAGGAACTCTTTGTCGGCATCCACTCTGATGAAGCAATCCTCGAGAACAAGGGTCCAACAGTGATGTCCCTGGAAGAACGGTTAGTCTTCCTGTCTGCGCGTGCGGATCCGGATTGGACTGACATTTGTGGCCCTCGAATCTAGTTGTGCCGCCGTGGATGCGTGTCGATGGGCCACTCAGAGTGTTCCCCATGCACCCTATGTGACCTACCTGCCCTGGGTCTCCCACTACGGCTGCAAATACGTGGTCCACGGGGACGATATTACGTCCGACAGTGACGGGAACGATTGTTATCGGTTCGTCAAGGCCGCGGGTCGCTTTCGCGTGGTCAAACGGACCCCCGGGATATCCACCACCGATCTCGTCGGCCGCATGCTCCTCTGCACTAAGAACCACTTCGTGAAATCCGTGAAGAACGTGCTTTCCGGGGAAGAAGGATCGGGTGCTCCAGACGAGCGCAAGAACTTCGGTGCCGACCTTTTGCAACGCGTCCGGGACTATGCGACGGATGAGAGTGGCCTGCAGCCGGGACCTCAGGTATGGACATGGGTTGGCTCCGCGCCCGCCAAGCTGGACCATGTGGTGGCGGAGGCCGGCGCATTTGAGACCCTCGTGGGGGGAAAAGACCCTAAGCCTGGGCAGCGCATTGTCTATGTCGATGGAGGCTTTGATCTGTTTTCCTCGGGCCACATTGAATTCCTGCGGAAGGTCATGCATCTGGAGGAAGTAAAGGGCCGTGAACGAGGCTGGTATGAGCCAGACCAGAAGGAAAAAGACTCAGAGAGCACAACGAAGACTATGCGCCAGCCTATATCGTGGCCGGTATCCATGATGACGACGTGATCAATTTCTGGAAGGGCTTGAACTATCCCATCATGAACATTTTTGAACGTGGCCTCTGTGTGCTCCAGTGTCGGGTAAGTTACTCCCCCTGCATATTCGAATTTTTTTTTTTTTTTTTTTTTTTTTTGGATCTGACTGTCTCGTAGTATATCCATGCCGTCGTCTTCTCCGCTCCCTTCACTCCGAGCCAGCCCTACCTCGAGGCCCTGCCGTTGGGCACGCCCGATGTCGTCTATCACGGGCCGACCACCTTCATCCCTCTGACGTATGACCCATACACGGCACCAAAGGAGATGGGCATCTTCTGCGAAGTCCCGCAGCATGCCTTCCAACATGTCAACGCTGGCGAGATCGTTGGCCGGATTATGAAGAGCCGAGAAGCCTACGAAGCTCGGCAGCGGGCTAAGCTGGACAAGGGGGTTGCGGAGGACTTGGTGAAAGCAAGAGAGCAACAGTCTGCCTAGACGGTCAAAGGTAACAAAAACGGACCCGTGTAATGATGATCAACTGTACATACAAGAGAGGCCCCATCAACTGAGGCTTGACGATTAGACATAAAATGTAATGCTATCTATTCACTCTTTCGCCATATCATTTGCGAGGGTATAGCATTGGATGTGAAGACTAATAGTACAATAATACCTACATGGACGCCCCGTTATTGATCCGCCGCAACCAGAACGCCCTTGCCCTCGAGCATCTTGGCGAGCTCGCCGTTCTGGTGCATGGACATCAGGATATCGCATCCGCCGACAAACTCCTTATCCAGGTATAATTGCGGGATAGTCGGCCAGTCGGAGTATTCCTTCACCCCTTCACGCAGCTCTGGGTCTTCGAGGACGTTGAACGCGACGAACTTCTTGGGATCCACGCCCTGCAGACCCAGGATCTGGATGCTGGCGCGCGAGAAACCGCACTGCGGCGTCTCGGGAGTGCCCTTCATGAACAGCACGACGGGCGCGGAACCTACGGCCTTGTCGATTGCCGCCTTAGTTTCGGAGGATAGCAGGCGGGCGTGGAGGACGGAGGGCAGACGGAAGGCCGGGGTTGGCCGCAGGACGGAGGTCGGCCGCGAGATCGGGCGGAAAGCCTGTTGATCGAGTTAGATGGACTCGCTCATCGCTATTATAGGGGTCAACGCACCGCAAAGGCTGCTCGGGAGAACATGGTAACTGGTGTTGTTTGTTGAACAATAATTGTTGTTGGAGGGAAAAGATGACGGAGAAGGAAAGAAGATGGATGAAGGAGTGCTTGTTTAATAATCCTTGCCCCACGTCATCTGTGCTTCCTTCACAACCAACCCGCGACGATGGATTCGCAATTGAGCGCGACCTCCCTCACTGCCCAGCAATGCCGGGACGACGGCAAAATCCATATTCTCCTGGCCGCGTCTGGCTCCGTGGCAACTATTAAGCTCCCAAATATCGCAGAGGCCTTGTGTCGCCACGCAAATGTCTCTGTCCGCATCATCATCACGGAGAGCGCAGAGCACTTCTTGTTGGGACAGAGCGCGGAGCAACCTGCTTTGGACAGTCTACGGCAGATCGCTGGGGTAGAAGGTATTTACCGGAACGAGGACGAGTGGACTACTCCCTGGCAGCGCGGAAATCCCATTCTGCACATTGAACTCAGAAAGTACGTTCCGGACGCTACGGATATCTAAGGCCATATGCTAACTGACTGGTCAATAGGTGGGCACATGTCTTGCTGGTCGCACCGCTATCAGCCAATACTATGGCCAAGATGGCCATGGGAATGTCCGACAACCTCCTTCTCTCGGTGATTAGGGCCTGGGATACCACTGGCATGGTGGATGGCGAGTTCAAGCCGCAGAAACCGAGGATCTTTGTGGCTCCTGCTGCGAACACTGCGATGTGGAGACACCCCGTAACTAAGAAGCAGCTGAAGGTCCTACAAGACGAATGGGGGTGGAGCAAGTCGAACCCCGAGGGCTGGGTGACCGTCCTGCCTCCCATCGAGAAGGCCCTGGCATGTGGGGACGTCGGGACTGGTGCAATGATGGACTGGAGAGCAATTGTCAACGTTATTCAAGATCACCTGGGTCTCCCGGGACCCATGGCGAGCTCGTGAATGTGTGATGCAAGCGTCCTTGCGAGCTACTTGGTTCACCGTTATCATTGAGTTGACCCCGGCTGCTCCGAGGATAGCGTGCTATCGTACAGACCAAGGGATTGCGCCGCATACTCGCCGAGCAAGCCCAAGGTGATCCCTCCCCCCGTCAGCAGACACCCGTTCTTGAACCACCACCAGCAATTCGGCACACTCTTCAGCTGGACCTTCCAGATCATGAGTCCCAGCGACAGAATAGCGCTGCCGCAGCTGCCTGCGAAGAACACTGGCCCACAGCCCACGGCCATACCTGCTGTCGCCAGCAGCGCCACTTGGGTTGCTGCCAGCCCCGTCAGCACAGCCTTGGTGTTGTGCTCATGGCGCAGGGCAATCGACTTGATCCCCGCGGCCACGTCATCTTTGATGTCCATATGTGCATATATCATATCGTACAGAACCGTCCAGGCGATGCAACTGGAATAGAGAGCACCCGCAGCGATGAGGGCATCCTGGTTAGTGAGCAGGTCCACGCCCAATGCGGGAAATCCCATGATCGCCCCCCATGAGAATGCAAGTCCCAGTACAAATTGAGGATAGTTGGTAAAGCGTTTTGCGAGCGGATAAGCCACCACAATCGGCAAGCTGGGAATCCCATACCAGAGGCATTGGGAGGGGAATTGAAGAAGAATGCCGAGTCCAGCCAGTAGTTGCGAGCCCGTGAACAGCACGGCTTTTGGTGGTGAGAGGGCGCCTCTTGCAATAGGCCGGAACTTGGTGCGCTCGACGTGAGGATCCAGGTTGCGATCCCATAGATCATTGATCGCGCACCCGGCGCCTCGCATGACCACTGCGCCGCTGAAGAAGAGCCCCGCCGTCCCGAGCACCTGTAGTGGAGTGACACCGACTGCCATTGGCGCCGCAAGGAGGGTGGAGAAGAGCGTGGGAAAGAAGAGGTAGTACGTGCCCGTGGGCTTGTCCAGTCGGATCAACTCAGCGTAGGGAATCCACGATTTCGGTAAAGATGCGACTATGCCTGTCGTCGGCGGGCTGTAATGCGTCGCAGGGTCTTGGGCCGTCGCCGCGAGCGGTGGTGTTGTCGGAGGTGAATGGGAGCTGCGCCGGGCACTCGGCAGGTTTGATCGTGACTGGGAGATATAGGAACATTGACTGTTGGTCAGCCTCCTCGACCGACGAACGGGGTCATGGAAAGCCGAGAGCCGCGCATGGTATTGTCTGCTGAGACGGGCCCTTGTCTGGCAACATTGGCGGCGAACAAGCAGGGAGGGAGAAAGGCACATGGTAGAAAGAGAGAGAGCGAGAGCAAAGGAAAGAAAGAGTCAGTCAGAAGAGAGCATCTTGGAGGTTCCACTTGGTAGTTTAAAAATCTGGTGGCCTGAGGCAATAATTCCCGTTGTTGTCGCGTTCTCGTTCGGTCCCCCGTCGCTCTTACCACTTCGCTCACCTCTTTTGCCCACCCTCGTCTTCTCTTCACTGTCTTCCTCTCCTCGATCACACGGCGTTCAACGCGGAGTATCTCAACCTAAGCTCAAAAAGCTGTCTCTGAAGCTCTGTGATCCCTCCATCGGCCCAAAACCGCGTGCCATTGGTCTGTTGTCTGTCGCATTGACTGGCAGCTCTGTTTTGATGCGTCCGCGCCTCGACCCTTTTCCTTGATGTTTGTTTTACATTTACCCTTCCAGGCGATGCACCTGCTAGCTTCCCTCGCTAGCCGAGAGGATCTCTGAGCAGCTGCCCCTCAATGTCATCTCAGCCAAACCTCACGGCGTTCAAGCCGATTTCTCCCACTCTGGACGTACAGAAGCTCATCGAATCGACTCCCAAATTCGATCACGCATGGAGACTTTCCGCCGATTCAATCAATGACAACAACCTGGAGGATTTTGAGAGGCTGGTGTTGTACCAGGTTGTGATACGCGGACGTCCACTAGTGGTGGAAGGTTTCCACAAACACTTGAACAAATCCCTCTTCTCAGAGAAATGGTTACGGGAGACCTATCACAAGAAGCGTAAGCAAACATTTCCTGTGGATTGTGCGCATGGCGTGTCGTATCCCTGATCGATTGAATAGATGAAGTTGCAAGAGACTTGTCCAAGGGAAGAAACATGCCCCTGACCATAGGCCATTATCTGAAGAATATGCCGGGATTGACCGATAAAATGACGGCATTCGACTACGCCAACCCGGATCGCCAAAGGATATATCTGAAAGACATTGATTGCCCCCCGGAATGGCGGGATTATCTGTCGGATGTGATCTCTCCTTCACTATTCTACTTGAACGAGTCGCGACAGAAGAATTCCTCCGGACCGGGGTCCAGTTGGACGCCGGTTGCAGCCGCCAATGATGACCCGATCGCCAGAGCGGGAGATTTGATGAGCAGCCTTCCTCCAGAGATGCGTGCGGAAAATCTGATGTGCTATATCGGACATGAAGGCACCTACACACCCGCACATCAGGAGATGTGTGCTAGTCTTGGCCACAACCTGATGGTCGAAGCCTCCGATGGATCCCCCGAGTATGGGAAAGCGACCAAATCGGGTTCGTCGATTTGGTTTATGACCAAGACCAAGGATCGCCATGTGGTGTCCGAGTATTGGCTGTCGATTCTCAAACACGACATCGACCTTGAGGATCATTTTGCTCAATTGGACGCGTGGAAAAATGCCCCATTCAAAACCTACATAGTGGAACAGAAGCCGGGCGATTTCATTCTGATCCCTCCGCTAGCTGCTCATCAGGTGTGGAATCGCGGCACCCGGACTATGAAGGTGGCCTGGAACCGCACAACGGTGGACACGCTGGAGATGGCTCTGGCTGAGGCACTGCCCCTTGCGCGGATGGTCGGTCGTGACGAGCAATACAAAAACAAAGCCATCGTTTACTTCTCGCTCGTGCGGTACTCGAAAATGCTCCACCGCGTTGATGATACCGTGGATGATCCCGAGGCCAAGCTGCTCTGGCGGGATTTCCAACGCCTCTTTGTCTTGTATACGAGTATTCTCTTGTCCGAGACCTTTTCGCAAAATGCCAAAAAGAAGCAGCCTGTTGAACTCATTGAATTTGACAGCAATATCACCTGCTCCTATTGTCGATGCAATATCTTCAACAGGTTTTTGACCTGCCCGTACTGCGTGCTTACTGGTCCCAACGACGCCGAAGATAACTATGATGTCTGCCTGGAATGTTATGTGATGGGAAGAAGTTGTGCCTGCATCTCGAGACTGAAATGGGTGGAGCAATTCAATTGGCAAAGCTTGATCAGGCTGCACGACTCCTGGAGAAGGCAGATTCTGGCCTTTGAAAAATGGGACGACGCCGGCCAGAGTCGCTCGCCATCTCCCCAGAATAATGCTACCGGCGACAGAGAGGCACTCAAGGATCGATTCCCGCCTTGGAGTGTTGCGCGAGTCAAGATGGGCAAAAAATCTCTGGCTGAGATCTGCCAGGAGCAACTGAAACTACGACCTTGGAACGATCCGAGCCAACCTGCGCCCGTGGCGGCAGCGAAGGAGAACAGAAACTCTACTGTGCCCGATTCTGGCAGTGGACGCTCTCGCAAGCGCCGGAAACTTCGGCCGTCACTCAAAAAAGATGAAGGTATCTGCCATGTTTGCAGAGAAGTCGAACCCGCTTGGAAACTTGCTTCGTGTGGGCACTGTGGGTTGCAATACTGCTACGGCACTTTGTTCCGGGCGTTTGATATCCATCCCCAGCAGGCTATGGAAAAGTACCGCTGGCTGTGTCCCAAATGCCAGAATATCTGCAGTTGCAGTGTCTGTCGAGAGGATCCCGCTACGATCCCATACGAACCTCGGTGCTTGTTGCCAGGACACGACACCCACAAGGTTGCGGATTTTCGCAGTGTCGAGTCCTTGGTCAACTTTCGGGTGTCGAACTCGCGGTGGCTGAAGCAGTCTGGTAGTGACTACTCGCGTCGTATCGCGCAACGCCAGCAGGAGGCGCAGTGGCAGGAACAGGAGGTCGCCGAGAATGGCAAGGAGTTGCAGAACCGCTCATTTCCGACCAATGGAGTCTACGAGCCCTCCCTAGATCCGGGGCTTGGGGGACTCGACGAGATCCCCGTCGACCCTGCGTTGTTTGCCGGTTCCTTTGCGAGTTTAGACAGTCCCGTGTCTGGATAAGATGTACTTTTATTTTGTTATTACTGGGTGTGATCCATTCCTGAATCTTGCGTCGATACCCTCAGGACGATATCACGATGAACATGTTCCAAAGTCATTTAATTTAATTCATGATTTGCTCAAGCACCTTTGTACTCGTACTGCAGATCCTTGAGAGAAGCGAGGTCGACCGATAGCATGACTTCCCGAGCCAGCAGAATCGTCGCCAGCATCACTGTACCTCATGGTGAGCCAATATCTCCCGATGAATAAAAGTACGCACCTCCGGGCATCAGATAGAGCATTGGTCGAACAGCCGAGGAGCGGCCGGCGACACAATACACCGCCAGCACGGCACAGACGACGATGTTAGCAGGTACCAGCGAGCGAAACCACGCCCGACGCTCATCCTGCGCGGATATAGGCTTCTTGCCCTTTCGATCCGGCTGGAGAGGGGACGAACGCATGATACCCGCTGTCGTTGCCAGTGAGACGATGCTGAGCAGCGCGAAGAAGCGCTCCGCCGGCGACGCCGAAAAGACAGGAGTCACAAATATGACCGCGGTGAGTAGTGGGATCACGGAGAAGACCACCTAGAAACGCTTTAGCTCTTGCCAGGCCGGATGGCGGGACCAGGTACATTGTACTGGGCGTTGCGCGTATCGTTCTGCGTCTGTAGCTGCTGGATCAACTGGTGCTGTTCCTCCTCGTCCAGCTCCTCGTGGCCATCAGAGTCCTCGGGATAGTGGAATGCACGGCGGAGGCGGACTGCAGCCATCGCTGTGGTTTGATAAGCCAATTTGTAGTAGTTGGGATAGTTTGGAAGTTGATAGTTGGGAGGTGTTTGTCTTGTTTGGCACTTTCTTTTCTTCTTCCATTCGCAACCAACTTCTTTTCCCTCCCACCTCAGTCAACATCCTTTCCGCCTCAAAGACAGTAATTGGCTATCTCCCACTGACTCACACACGCACTCCCGCGATGCTCCTCTCGCGCACGCTCGCTCGACGGGCAGCAGGCCTCGCGCCTCGCCGCCAAACCCTCCCCCAACTCCGCAGAATCACGCCCGCACCAGGCCCAAACACAGGGCCTATCATGGAACGGCGCGCAGACCGCGAGCTGCCAACAATCGCTCCTCGACGATGGGTAAAGACACTGCCGATTTTTGTGGTGGTGGTGGGCGCAGCGATGCTAGGCATCTTCAACTACCAAAAGTCCTCGAGCAGCGTGGTGAGCAGCACGCTGTATGCGCTGCGGACATCGCCGCAGGCGCGCGAGGTCCTGGGTGATGAGATTTACTTTGCGCAGCAGATTCCCTGGATCAGCGGCGAGATGAACCAGTTGCATGGCCGGATCAATATCTCATTCTGGGTCAAAGGCACCAAGGGCCAGGGCAAGATGCGGTTTCGCAGTATTCGACCGGACCGGATGAGCTTTGTGGGTTCTATTTGCTCCTGTTTGTGTCTTTTTTTTTTACTGACAATATATTCTGTAGTTCCGCACCGAGGAATGGAGTCTCGAAACCGAGGACGGCACGGTGGTGCAGCTGCTCGAGAAGGACAATGATCCTTTCCGACAGGATTAGACGGGCTGGACAGCCGCTGGGGATATGTATAGAACTGCGTTCCTGCATGGAATCTGGCGTTTCGGGGATATTTCTATGAGAAACTTTTGACAAATGTACCATGGGGGAAGAAAAGAGAAAAGGATATCATATTTTTGTATCATATACAAACGCCGCTCAAGGAAACAAAGATTGCACGATAGTAGTCAATAGTAGTACATGTAGTACATGCGGCCCATACCCGAACTCTCTCCTTCAATCAAGCAGCCGCAGCCGCAGCTTCGGCCGCGGGCTCTGCCACAATCGGGGCGACCTTCGGCCATGGCTTCTTGATCGCATCCTGGATTCGGACGACGCATCCCTTGGGACCACTAACGGTGCCTGGATCATCATTGTCAGAGGGAGACAAAGATAGCCAAAAAAAAGGGGGCAGACATACCGTTCACAACAACAATACCATTCTCCGGATCCACTTTCAACACCTTCAGGTTTTGGACGGTGTTTTGGTTATTCCCCATATTTCCCGCCATCTTCTTTCCGGGATACACTCTCGAACCACCACCCTGACTGGGGCCCGTCGAACCCGCCGATCGATGCGTCAAACTCACACCGTGACTGCGGTCCTGGCCGTGGAAGCCATGGCGCTTCATCACACCAGCAAAGCCTTTTCCCTTGGTGTTGGAGCGGGCGTCAATATACTGGCCATCCTGAAACCAAGCAGCATCGATCTGCTGACCGACAGGCGGGAGACCGGACTCATCCTTGACACGGAACTCGACAACGTGACGCTTGGGCGAGACGCCCTGGGAAGAGAAATGGCCTAGCATGGCCTTTTTCACGTTGCTAGGGTGTCTCCAGCCGGCACCAATCTGCACCGCAAAGTAGCCGTGCCTCTGCCTCGTCTTGTGTGAGACCACCTCGACCCGGTCCAGTTGCAGCACGGTGCACGCGGTGCGCTTGCCCGTCTCTGGGTCGTACACGGCTGTCATTCCCTTCTTGGTTGTAATGGCGCCTGAGCGCAGGGGCAGCGAATTGGCTTTGCGTCGGAGCGCTGCTGTTGATGTCGACTCGAGAACAGGCAGGCCAGGCCCGACATTGAACCGGCTGGGTTTCGGGGGATTGAGTGAGCGGATGCCGAATGGCCGCGCCGCTGTACGAGGCGCCAGCAATTGAACGCCCCATAGGGGGGAGGAAAGCGGCAGCAGCTTCCCTGGGAGGCGTGGCGGCATGATGGGGGTGGGCGATGGGAAGTTGAAGACACTCGTTCATCCCGTCGCCTTAAATTTTGGTCGGGCTTAGTCATTTCACCCAGTAACTTAACTAACTTGACTGTCTGTTTGTCCCTACTATAACTAACCGGCTCATTCATTTATTCTCCCCTTCATCCTCCCTCGTCCAAATACACCCTCAACTGCAGAGGCTGTCTGTCTCACCCAAAACCCAACCCGCTGATCCAATCTCTCTTCAGCCTCGTCGGCCAACAACGCTCGCAAACTCCGGCAGCCCGATCGGACCGGGTGGACCGAAAACGCCGGGACTTTAGAAAAAAAGAGCTTCCCGTCTGACTCCCACGCACTCTCTTTCTTCCTCTCCCGATTCTCTTCCCCAATCCAATCGACCGCCCACCCTTGCCACAATGGCTCTCCGACCCTCCCTTCTCTCGCGATGGGTCTCTGCGCTCTCGCCACCCACCCCCATCTCCCTGTCTTCCATGCGAGGCCTGACCGTGCGTCGTAGCCATGCAAGGCTTCTGCAGCAAGCTTCCGGGACAACGCGGCGGTCCTTAACCACCGCCATCCGGACTCCTCCACGAACAACCCCACTGAACCGACTCTTCCCTTCCAGACAAGGCCTCCGACCAGGCCGCCGCTTCAATTCCACCGGTCCTAAGCCCCAGACGGAGCAAGAGCCCACATCCCTATCGGCGCGGCTGAAGAAACTGTCGCGCGAATACGGCTGGGCCGCGCTGGGTGTGTACCTGGGCCTCTCGGCTCTGGATTTTCCGTTCTGCTTCGCGGCCGTGCGGCTGCTCGGCGTTGACCGCATCGGACACTACGAGCATGTGGCCATTGAGTTCCTCAAGTCGACGTTTGGATCTGCGTGGCCGCAGCTCACAAAGGAAGAGGGGCAGGCCGAAGTAGCCGTCGCTACGGAAGATGCCCAGCAGGGCCGGTTGGCTCGTGCGGATGAGCGTAACAGGGGAGCAGAAGCTAGTACGGTTTTCGTCTTTCGTCCATATTTGGTCAATATCAGCTGCTAACTCTCTCCCAGGTATATGGACACAGCTCGCTCTGGCGTATGCCATCCACAAGAGCTTCATCTTCATCCGGGTGCCTTTGACGGCGGCCGTGACGCCCAAGGTGGTCAAGATGTTGCGGCGCTGGGGGTGGAACATTGGGAAGCGGAAGCCTAAGAGCTCCTCTTGATCTCTCATGATTTTCTTTTGGTTGTCATTCTTTGGTTTTAGAAGGGGGGCATCTGTACAGCATAGCGAAGTGAGACGAGTACTGATTTGGAAACTTGTACATTATTCGCTTTTTATTTAGATCTAACACGGCGTCTGCACGCCGGTTCTCCGCTCATAAAGAAAGGGTATTTCTGGTCCATCTACAAGCAACGAGCATATCATACAGCCAAGCAACCCCGTAAACGTAGCCACTCCAAACCCCGTGGATCCCGATCTAATTCCAGCGCCGGCGTCGCGTCAAAATAGCAAAAGACAATATGGACCAGACTGGTATTCAAAACGAGGAAAACAGAAGAATCCGCCCTTTGATATCACTCGCCAAAAGCCCCCCCCCCCCCCCCCCACACAAAGAAGAGAATGGTACAACATAATGGGAATAAGCAAATGCAGATAAATACGCTCACATGTCGATCATATCATTGAATCGAAGGATGCCATTGGCTCTCATAACGCCATTGACACCGTCGGGCATCCGGTATGCCCACTCGGCGGCGACCCCCATCGCGCTGGCGGCCGACAGGGCGTCTGCGCGGTCGGGCTGCCCGACCTCATCGGAGGTGTCAGCCACAAGAACGAGGCCGAGCTCTTTAATGGTTTCCACTAATGCGGGAACAACATTCTGGAAATAGATTAGCAAGACATGGATTCAACTAGAAAGCAAAACGTACCAGAAGACTGGACCGGCAGATCAAACCCATGAAGTTGTTACTTTGGGCAATCCGCGCAGATTCCTTGATAGACATCGATGCCCGTCCACTACTATCCACAAGAGGCATCGAGCCCACGTTCTGAGCCAGATCCCGGATCTGTCCGAGGTCGTTGCAGAGAAGGACAGGATCTAATGTCATGTCAATAAAAAAGCCCCCTAAACATCGAGACAACTTACAGTTCGGTTGCTTCCAATTGAGGGCCGTGCAGATATTCGGGTTATACGACGTGAAGACCACGGACCGCATGAAGTCTGGGTTCTTTTCCCGAGCCACGCGAGCATGGTCAAAGACATCTGTCAAGATCGAGTCGGCAAAGCCATTGACATCCGCCAGTGAGCTCATGTCAAGGGTCTTCTCCTCGGCGACAGATGGATAAAGGATTGAGATGTTGATGTTCAGGTCGATTGGCAGATGCCGTAAGACTTCCCGAAGGGACAGGAAGCATGCTGCCAGGAGACGATGAGCCTGGGGCATGTCATGAACCGCCTGGGTATCCAGGAACTGCATAACTTGCTGATGGTTGATGCCCCGTTCCACGCCAATGGTCTGGAATTGAGCATACGTCAGGTGGCAGATGGGGATCGCGATGCCATGGTGGTTGATGGTGAATTGAGGATAAAGCACTGGTACACGATCCCGGGTCAGCTGCACGAAGACCTGCACATAGTCTCCCGACAGACTGGAGCCGGTGACCAGCCCATTATGTTCAGAGTCCAAAGCACTGGTGGCCTTCCAGTATGTCGCGAAGTGGGTGATCTCCAAAGGATCGCCATGGTACGGCTTGATGACCTGGAAATTAAACCGCAGCTGACCGATCGCGCGCAGTCGTGGGTCGAACAGTGGCAGGCTGCATGCACCGGTGCTCGACGATTCCGCGCGGAAGACGACCGGCAGAGCCACACTCTTGGCAATCACCTTGGATCCAAAGGTCGGGAAGATCTCGAAATCCACGGTAAAAGTGTCGAGGTCGTCCACGTGGAAGGAGATGGTCCGGGATTCGTCCTGGATGGGCAACATAATGGTGCGTGGAATCAGGTCAGACAGCTTCGACGAGATGGTCAATCGGGCCGCCGGGTAACGTCCAGCTTGATCAAATGCAATCGACCCCGTATTCCCTTGGTCGAATAGGATCTGGACAAAGGCCTTCTTGTCCAGGAAGTTGTGGCCATACCGCCTCAACGGGATGATCGGGGGCGGCAGCGAGAGGTCTGGGATACCGTCCGCGGTGTCCATCTCGGTAGATTCCTCCTGTTCCATCGGGTCACCCCTAATATCTGCGGCGCCCTGCAGTTGCAGACCATTGAGCACATCCATTGCCCGCTGTCCTGGGATGGCGCTGGATGGTTTAGCCCAGAGAAGAAGCATACACTCCAGATGACCTTCCCATGCGGCGTAGTACATCGCGGAGAGTCCCTTCTCGTCAGCCACATGCGGGTCCACGCCGAGCTCGAGGAGTGTGCGCAGACACGGCACGCAGCCTTCGCTTGCAGCGTGGAAGAGAGGCGTCCACTGATAGAGCTTGTCTCGCTGGTCCAGGTCGGCACCATGCTGCTTTAGGAGTAAGAATAGCTCTGGAGACTGTGAGGCGCGCGCCACCATGTGCTGTGGGTAGAGGCCCTCGGCGTCCGGTAGCAATTTCGCATGTCGTTCGAGGAGCATCTTGACAATCGGGATAGAGCCATATTGACAGGCAAGATTCAATGGAATGTGATCCGTCTTGACAATCGGGAAGGCGCCATGTTGGCTAGCATTTAAAGAAACTTGATCCGCCTCCTGAGTGGGGTCAATGCGGGCATTGTTGTATAGCAACTGTTCCGCGCAGGCAAGTTGACCCTTGACGATGCTGTGGATCAAGGGAGTGAAGTTATCGTGGTCCATCACGTCGACGGTATGTGGTCCAACGGCCAAAAGCTGCTTCACCATCTCCACGCGTCCGTGCATGCATGCGTAGTGCAACGGTATCCGGCCGTACACGTCTGACATGGAGATATCCACCGAGGCAGCCAGAGCGGCCCTGAACACAAAGTCCCGACCGGAGATGGCGGCCTCGTGAAGGCAATTCCGTTCATTAATATCATCCTCGGCGTGGATGTCCACCAGTCCACTTTCCAGGAGAAGGCCCAAAACATCATCGGAGAAGCCGTTAATCGCGGTCAAGAAGGTCCGGGTGCCACGATCGCGGGCATCTGGCGAGGACTTCAGTTTCACCAGCCATTCTCGCAGCGTTTGGAGATTGCCGGTCGAGGCAGACTGCAGGACCTGGAGGTCCATTTCATCCTCCTCCGCTCCAGCAGACGCCGCCGCACCAGCGGGCGGTCGCGCAGCATCAAACTGAAGGTTCTCTCCCTCCGCCCAGGCCTCCAACTCCAGTCGAGCTGTTGTCGCACGGTCCGAAAGATCGCGGAGCACCTCCCGGTTGAAACATGGTTGCACTTCTACGGCGCGGTGAAGATATAGCTCTTTCATACGAGACTGCAGATTGTATTAGCCAAAGAAGATCGCTCGAGGAGAAGCCGGTCGAACCTTCGAAGTTTTATCCCACTATTTTATGGTAGTCGTCAGTTTATAAATTCTTTTCGGTCAGGAGAATGCGTACGAACCTTTTTGAGAATTTTGGACATCCCCGTCTCATTGATTTCCACGAATTGCTAGAGAGACAGTGAGCTTCCAGGAGACATGTAACGAGATGCACCACGTACCTGCAGCTTGTTGAGGTCGCCATCGAACTGCTGAAATCCCTCAAACAGAGCGACAAAATTGGACGGACGCTTGGAGTTGGATGCGGACCGCGACTGGACGACGCGTTTCTTATCCACCAGCGTTTTAAGACGGAGGGAAAACTTGACATAATCAGTTTTAGTCGGGTTAGGTACCATGAGATGGCATACCTCTGATTCCTTCTGTAGATAAAACGTATTGACTTTCTCGATCTCCCGTTCCTGTACCACGCATTAGTCAGGGTGATAATGCGATGAAAGGCGTTGGAGGTTCGTACTAAACGGAAGAAGAAGACCTCCTTGTTCGCGCGCAGGGCGGCCTGCGCGTCGAGTGTCCCCGCCTGGGCCACATCCTCGGCCGTGGTTTGAGCCGGGATGGTTGGAGTGGCGCTGAGTTGCTTGATCAGCTGATAGAGGGGGTCATGTTAGCTGTTCGGTCACTTTCCTGGGTTGATTGCCGGGACACCCACCTTCTTCAGGGCCTTGTAGTTGACGAAGCTGGCGGCATATTCGGGGAGATCCAGCTGCCGGCGCTGAATTTGTTTCCCGAACTTCCTGCAAGAGGAGATTAGCACCATCGGCCGGGTAGAGGGAGGTGGTCAGTAAGGGAGAGGGAGGGGCATTGGGCTCGTGGCTGCAAGGAACCAACCCCGGACTGTCGGACAGAGAGCACGTACATGATGTGTTTGCCGGAGAGAGCGACAGCTCTCCCGGGCTCTGTAGGGCGGTGGCTGGCTGGTTGGGTGGCCGGGGGCTCACGAGCGACTGCGTATGGCGGACCCTAAGAGCAGGGGAGGGATATCTGGCAGGTGGGAGAGCGGGTGGTGAATTGGGCGACGGAGGAAGGGTGTGGGCGGAGAAGGAGAGAGAGGAAGAAGGAAACAAGGAGGGGCAGAGGACAGGTAGGGTGACAGGTGGGACAGAGTGTGTGGGACAGCCCGTGACAGTGTTGTGTGTCGCCTCGACACTGATAGTTTCCTTCGCGGTAGAGAAGGTAGTCTGTTAGTTGGTTAGTTATCGCGATGAGGTTAGAGTGGAGAGCTAGTTTGCACCAATGACAGTGGCCACTGCACGCACGCTTTCGGCACGTTTGTCTGGGTCCGGGTAATATCATCGGGGGCACCACCACAATGTAGACGGTAGTATTCTGGTACGATGCTATTCCAATTAACTGACTATACGACCACTATGTCCAGTGCATGCTGAAGAAAGACCAAAAAAAAAAAGATGTACATGCGCCCATACCATCAGACAAGATATGCAACTGTGGGTCCAGATGCGAGGGATATATCAGACAGAACAAACAAAGACAAACCCCATTACAAAAGCATACTAAAGAAAAATAGACAAGAGAACGTCCGTCGCGCCGGGATGGGCCCGTGGCCAGCGGGAATGTTCCTGCCAGCCGGGGCGGAAGGAAAGGAGTCGGCTATGATCAAGAGAGAGGTGTGCGTGTATGATGGATGAAAGGAGAAGGAAAGAGAGGAGGAGAGAGGGAGAGCGGGCACCTTGGGGGGGGGGGGGGGGGGGGGAAAGAAGGGTGAAACTTTTGGAATCGCTTAGAAATTCTGAGCAATGCCCGCATTCCCTTGTCGCGGGTATACTCCAGGGTTCTCGATGTGCGTGTTGCGTCGCGCCTGCACATCGCGAATCACCGGCTGGTAAGAGTCATCGCCATAGGCCCCGTACTGCTCGCCGTAGTACGGATTGTCCCCATAGTAGGCGCCGGACGGGTGCGCGCCCGACATGTGGCTCTCCTCCGACACCTCGGAGTGGTTGCCCGCTGAGTAGGCGGAGGACGCGTTCGACGGTCCGCGCTGGATGTCGCCGCGATTAGCACCCGTGGGCACGGCACCCATGGGGCCGACGCCCTCCACTTCCCCAGAACCCGGGCGCATGCCGTCGGAGTACTGGTTGGTACCTTCGCTGGGCGAGGGGTGATGGTAACCGGGACCGCTGGTTTCCGACATGGCCACGCCGCCCAGACCACTCGACAGATTGGTCGAGGCCTTGCGGCCGGCCGACGTCGTGCCCCAGCCGCGATAGCCGGACGAGGTGTCGCCCTTGGGCACTGCAATGCCGCCCATGCCGGGCAGGGTCGGGTCGTGGTTCGGATTGAAGGCATACTCCTCCACTTCCTTGCGGCGCTCTTCCTCTGCCGCCTTCCTCGCCTTCCGTTTGCGCCAGAAGAAGATCGCCGCCAGGATGATCAAGGCCACCGTCACGACGGGCACGACGACGGCGACGGCAATGGTGCCTGCGGCGGACAGGCCACCAGAGCCATTGCTAGTGGTGGTACCTGCCAGTGCTGGAGACGCGGTGGCTGTTGCAGAGGAGGTCGTGCTGGATGAGGTGGTGGGAGAGTCCGTCGACGTGACGATGATGGTTTTGGTAGTGCCATCGGAAGTGGTGGTCTCGGCCGTTGTACTCGGGGTAGAAGTGGTTGACGGAGTCGTGGAGGTCGACGTGGTAGTCGTCGTGGTTGAGGTTGGGGTGGGAGTCGACGAAGTACTTGACGACGTGGTAGTGCTGGTGGTTGTCGTCGTCGTGCTTGTTGTACTGGTGGTCGAGTGGGATGTCGTCGTTGTCGCGGGCGAGGACGAGGAGTCACCGGCTGCTCCGTCGGTGGCCGAGCCAGCTACGTTGCTGGCCGCCGCTGCTGCTGCCGCTGCTGCCGCCGCCATGTTGGAGGAGAACAATCACACGACCCAAGCCGGTGAGGAGAGTCCCCGATCAAAGGAAATGGATGTCTTTTGACAATCCCCGATGAGATATTCGGTAGTCCAGCAGCGACACGAGGGACCGTGTCACAGTCTTAGGAGAGAGGGCAAAACGGGACTCCGGTGCAGCGTCTGACGAGGCTGGCTGTTCAGGGGATCGCAGATAGCAGGAAGTACATCCAAGAGTTGCGCGACCGAGCAAAAGAAGCAAAGAGGGAGAAAAGAAAAGAAGAAGAGAAAGAAATCCCCCAAAAGAAGAAAAAAGGAAGAACCGAAGCAGTAATCAGTCCGTCAGTAAGAACCTTGGAATGCTCTCACAGCACACAGGCCGAATCGGGGTGGGCCATTGGGGGAAGAAAGAGAAAGCGTGGGAAGCGAAACGGCCGGAAGCGGTTGGTATCGTCGTATTGCGCCAGTACGGGGTGGGTGGGTCAGCCCATCGCTGTAACGCTTGCAGAGAGCTACGACGGAGGGACCATGCAAGCATCGAGGGCGTCAATAATAGTGGCAGGAAGAAGAGTAATAGTAGTACCGAATTGTCTGGTTGCGCCGATTCGGGACATCGAGGTATGTCTCGGAGAGATCTATAGCATCCTACGTAGTATTTTCCCCAATCATCCCACTGATGCATTATTATTCCTGGACACCCACCGGAGATATTACGCGAGAGCATAGGAAGACTATAATAATAATAATAATAATCATAGTGATGATGCACTTTGTGCTCACTTGCCACGTCAACCCCCATACACACTAGGGTATTGTCCGTGCTGAGTGAGAAAATAAATAACCAGCCATTCGGGTGGTGAGTGGTCGGGCCCCATCTCCAATTCCTTGATTAATTAATATTACTTACTGCTGGGTACCCAATCTTACGGCCGTTTTCCGGTTCCCCTACCGCATCGCGTAGGGTCCGGCCGAAGAACCGGTCGGGGTGGAGTCAGGGCAGGGAAAAAGTCAACATCCCCACGGGCTCGACTCTCAAACAGCGTCATCAACATGATGAGGAAATTCGGACAATCGTGGCCTGATCAGACCGAAAAAAAAATATGAATTCCAGGTGTGGTGCTGCTTATATACAGTCCAGGTACCATTGTGGTAAAGATGTCAGAAAGAAACAAAGAAAGATCCGACCAAGTATCTATTTACGCCGTAGAGAAAACGAAAAAAAAACCCCCAAGTTGGACACCGTTCAAGCACCGTGGGATGGAGGGACCAAGACGAGGAGCACAAGCGACAGGTCATCAGTAGTTCAGGAGACAAATACAGAATTCAAACAGTCGTCACGGTCGGCGGCAGGCGGTCCTGTGGTCTGGTCTACCTGGACATGTCCCACGTCGGTTTCAGGCTCGTCATCAGGTCGTCCCTGGTGCCTACCATCTCGGGTGGCAGCCGACTGACGCGGTAGGCCCCCATGCGGATGTTGTTCATGTGCGCGGTCGAGATGCCCGTCCGGGCGCTGCGGATGCTGCCGGCGTCGCTGCCCGTGTCCTGGTTCTTGAATCGCGGCGGCGGCGCAAAGTCCAGGTTGGTGTAGGTGCCAGACTTGCGCAATGCATGGGGGCTGGGCATTGGAGCAAGCTCGTCAAATGGAGAGGCCAGCGGAGTGTGGGCGCGAATTGCCGGGCTGAACGGTCGAAGTCCTCCCGTGGGAGTGTCTGGGCGTCCCTCACGTTGGTCTCGGTAGTTTTTGCCCGGTGCAAACTCAATTCCATGCATGAACGCATCATCCTTCAGCGCATGAGGAGTGGGCAGGTTTTGCAGCGGTGAGGGAACCGGCATCGGCTTGCGAGGTGGTCCACGAGCACCGGGGAGACGTCCAGAGGCCGACGAGAACGCACGCGGACCAGGAGCGTACCCACCGAAGCCGACGGAGCTGCTCGCCATATGACGGCCCCCTCCCTGGAAGCGCGGTGGTGCACGCGGCGGCGGCGTCATGGCACGGCGAGGCATCGGCTCCGCGTACGGAGCCATAGGAGGTGCGGCATCAAAGTATTCACCAGTGACCGGGTCGTAGACAAACCCGTCCCCCTCCCAGTACTCCTCATCGTAGTCCTCGTAGTATTGAGTCTCCCGGCCCCCGGCCTTGGAGTCGTCAAAGTACTCCTTGTAGAAGGATCGGATTCGGTTGGCACGCTGCTCCGGATTCTCAGACGGATCATCCGGGGGAAGCGGACGCAGGCCCATTGTCAAACGGCGGGTGTCACGGCGGTTGTCGTAGGCCAGGTCCAGATCCTGGCTCTGGGCCGGCTCCTCTGGCACCTCGGCCAGAGGAGTCGCATCGTGGTGCTCCTGTTCGCCAGAGATGTTCACCGCAGGGATCGTGAATTCCGATTGTCGGTGATCTTCTCCGTAGTCACTGGTCACATCGCTTGAAGGCAAGGAAATCCGGGGCAGTTGTGTCGTGGAAGTTTGGACATGGTCGGACAGATCAGAGTCACGCGGAGAGGGCACTGGTTCAGGAAGAGGGAAGTTGAGCCGCTCCTCATGAAGAGTAGTATTGTTCTCTGCTCCGCACAGCTCGGCCTCAGTCTCAACATGGATAGTCGGGGTGGGGAGAGAAGGAATATGGAGTTCATCGGCGTGGTCGTGGCTCTTGCTTTCCTCCTCCTCTGCATAGGCCGTGGTAGCAGCAGTAGCACCGACGGCCAGATTGAGTTCGTCACGGTCCAGGGGGTACGGGGCTACTCCCGGGGTCGTTTCGGGGTACTCAGGGCGAGGCGGAGGGCCGTCTGGCCCGGGTGAGGCGGAGGGATTGTTGTAGAGCGGGGGAGACGAGCGCGACATTCGCTGGGCGTTCCGTAGCAGAGCCGATTTGGGCTCCTCGACCGGCAGTCGATGGGTGGAACCAATCGTGCTAGATCCATCATCTCGAGTGGTTCGAGGGAATGAGCGGACAGAGCCATTGTCATGCGTGAAGATCGTAGCCGGGCGGTATTTATCGTCATCTCCGGTCACCGTCCGGGACAGCGAATGCAGTGAATCTGTAGAGCCGTGCATACCGGGGGGCAGCAGATACGGATGCATGATATCCAACGACAATCCCTTGCTGTGGGCCATGGGGGGCATCGGTCCCTGCGGTCCAGGCATTCTCCTTCCTTGCGACGACACCACTGGATCTAGCCCAAAGTCAAGCGACTTATACTTGTCATTGATATCCTCACGCTTCAATTTCCGGACCGATCTTCGGTGAAGCAAGTAAAGGACGACGGCGGCACATAAAAGGGGCACACTAGTCGACTGTCAGCAAGAGAAGCGAAGATGCATCGTCTTCAACATACCCTGCACCGAGTACAACCGGCAGGACCGTTGTGGTCAACTCGCTCTCGGGCTTTGTACAGTTGCTTCCATGGGCACAATCGGACGTTGTCGAAGGCTGCGGAGCTCTTGCGAACAGAGCCGGAGTCGAATCAGTACTCGACATCAGCAGCGGCAGCCGATGGACCGGCACGACGTCCCGTTGATTCGGGTGATGTAAATTGGCATGGTGGGCGTGAGGCATGGTGGAGACGCCCAATGGGCAGATCTGATTGTTGTTGACCGGAGGTTGACGAGCGGCGTTGCCAGAACGCGAGGGGACCGGTCGACACGACGTTGTAAATAGATGGCGAGAGCCGCAGCTAGTTTGTCGGATTCATGAGAGGATCCAGATCACAACGGAATTCGAATCGACAGACTATGCACGCGGGCGCTACGGGGCAAAGGAGCGACAACACTGGCTGGGGGCGAAGGGATAAATCAAAGAGCGAAGGGGGGACAGAGAGTCCTTGTAAAGGAATGGCGGCCAGCAGCCAGAAGAGAATGAACAGGGGTCGGAACAGAGGGAAGTAATCGAAGAAGAGAAAAGCAAAGGAGGAGAGAGAGAGAGAAAGAGGAGATGGAGTGGATTCGGAATGTGTGTTACATACACTAACTACTCTAGTTCACTAGTGGTACTTGTGCAGAAGTTTTGGTACTTGTGGGACAGCAGCCGATAAGCAGGACCTCCAGGTATCAGTACACGGTACTCCGGTACCCAGCCCGGTACCTGAGGCTAACCGCGTTGGGCAAGCACTAACCCCTGAACTCTTTCTCCGTTTAGCTTTTCTGTCTTATTCTCAGCACCCAGCCGACTATGGACCTAAGTACATCCTACTAGTAGCTTCCTAGCTCAGGACATTATGGTTTCCTACCCATCTTTTAATGGTTTGTTTATTTTGAATCGCCTACTGTTGATGGCCCAAGCAAGGCACAAGGCGGTTTCAGACCCGACTGGGTCCAGATTTTGTCGCGAGGGGCCAATCAGGGCACTCACCCCCTGAGTTGGAGGCTGAGCGCAAGGAGATGATTACATACAGTACCGTCAGCCACGACCGTTTCAGGCGGGGCGTAGTGCTGACCCAGGACGTAATGAAATTATCACTGCTCCACCGGAAGGTTTCTAGAAGAAGTCACCTACCTTATCATATCCACGGAGAGTAAGTGTGAATACATACTACAGTGGGTAGTCAACGACCTACCTAGACAGCTAGTAATGTACTGCTCATAGGATAATCGGTAACCAACAAGGCTAATCATAATAAATAACTATAGTTCTGTCTTCTGCAGGTCCCTATGGCGACGCATGACAACCTCCTCGCCCTACATTTCTTTTGGGTTATAACTATAATGAGCAGAACGAAAAAGAATCACATTCAATATATAAATTATCCCTCCTAGATACTTTTCCTTCCGCTTCGGTGAGAGTGACGTCAGGTACCTCGAATAACCGAGTCGGCCAAGAGCCCGCGATTATCCTCATAAAACAGTGCAAATTTTTCTTCAGCCATGGCCTATTAATTGATTTAATTGCCAGGGAACTGTTGATAGTGCTGCTAGCACATCCGACATTCCATAGATCGTGATCGCCATGGAGTCCGCCGAGCTAGAAAAGGCCGATCCCTCCGACAATAATGTACAACAGCATGGCAATGACAGCAGTCTCCATCATTCTTCCTCGGTCAGCTCCTCATCCTCCTCATCCTCCTCTTCCCAAGATGCGATGGACTATCTGTCCCGCGTCCAGACGGCTCATTCCCAGCGCGGCGCCGGTCTGGAGCGTCATCCCACCGCGCTCAGTCGAATCGCAACGCAGCGCAGCCAACACACTGCCACCGTGGGTGCCGGTCTAAAACCCCGGGTATCACGAAAGCCATTGCCTGAATTCGGAGCCGGCAAAGCCTATCCGCCGCTTCTTCCAGCGAGGGAGGAATATGTCGTCGAGTTTGTCGGGCCAGACGACCCATTGCATCCCCAGAACTGGCCGACTATGAAGAAGTGGGTGCCCCAATTTTTTTTTAAGGGAGAAAGAGAAAGATACATGCTAACACTGTACAAGAATTGCTACGGCCGTGATGCTCGCCTATACGACCTTCAACGCCACCTTCACCAGCAGCATCTACTCCACCGCGACCTCCGTCATCTCGCCAGAATTTCACGTCTCCACCGAGGTCGGCACCTTGGGTCTGTCATTGTACGTGTTGGGGTTTGCGACAGGCCCAATTCTCTGGGCACCTTTGTCCGAACTGCGTGGCCGTCGTCTGCCCATCCTCATCGCCATGTTCGGTTTCACCGTTTTCCAGTTTGGTGTTGCAACCGCCAAAGATTTGCAAACGGTGATGCTGTGCCGCTTCTTTGGCGGGTTCTTCGGCGCATGCCCCATCGCCGTTGTGGCGGCGACCTTCTCGGACATCTTCGACAACCGTGTCCGAGGCCTGGCGATTACCCTCTTCACCATGACCGTCTTCACGGGCCCTCTGTTCGGATCGACAGTTGGCGGCTTCATTGTGCAGAGCCACCTAGGCTGGCGGTGGACGGAGTACCTGACCGGCATCATGGGCGCGTCCGCATTGGTGTTGGATCTTCTTTTTCTGGAGGAAACATATCCACCAGTTGTGCTGATCGACAAGGCCGCGGAGCTAAGGCGACGCACCAAGAACTGGGGCATCCATGCCAAACAGGAAGAAATCGAGGTGGACCTGCGAGAACTCCTCCAGAAAAACTTCAGTCGGCCACTCAAGATCCTATTCACCGAGCCCATCGTGTTGTCTCTTAGCATCTACATGGCCTTTTTATACGGTCTGTTGTATCTCTTTCTGACAGCCTATCCGATTGTATTTCAACGGATACACGGCTTTGGAAAAGGTGTGAGCGGGCTGCCTTATTTGGGACTTGTCGTTGGTGAATTCCTCGGCGGCATCTTCATTATCCTCATGCAGCCCTGGTATAACCGCAAGCTGGATGCCAACAACGGCATCCCGATCCCCGAATGGCGGCTGCCACCTGCCATCGTCGGCAGCGTGGCATTTGCCGGCGGACTGTTCTGGTTTGGCTGGTCCGGTTTCAAAGCCGATATCCATTGGATTGTGCCGACCCTATCCGGTCTTTTGACGGGTTTTGGTCTGCTATGCATCTTCCTCCAGGCCCTAAACTATATTGTCGACGCGTATCTTCTCTTGTGAGTGCACCATACTTGGATTGATGGCGATACTAATTGTTTGTAGTGCCGCCTCCGCCCTGGCTGCAAATAGTATCCTGCGTTCATCCGCCGGCGCAGGCTTCCCTCTCTTCGCAACGTACATGGTATGTCACCTCGCCACCATTTGTGGGGCAATTCTGATTATCACTAGTTTAATTCACTTGGCATCAACTGGGCCGGGACCTTGCTTGGTTGTGTGGCCGCTCTCCTCATCCCCATGCCTGTACTCTTTTATCTCTACGGTCCCAAAATCCGAGCCAAGAGTAAATTTGCAACCGAATATTTGATGGCTGCACAAGCGCATACTGACGAACGGATGGAATAAGGTTCCAGCATCGCAATGATATTTTTATTTCTTTTGGTGATTTCCTATGGTCGTTGTCAGCCTCCTGCCTGTTTTCAAGATACCCTGTGTCCCTCAGCACTAATGTTAGGCGAGAATAATGTCATAAAATACAGTAATAAAAGGGAGATGAACTCTTTGGAGCTTCTCTAAATCTCAAACACTTAGAACCGCACGCAAGAGTAGTATCTCGGTAGTTCGGGCGTATCGGTCATATCGGGGTTGGGAATTCATCCACCGGGAATCTGCCCTAACCACAGGTACCCATTGCACTGAAAGCGATATACCCACTGGAAGCCCGAAATCAATATAAAAGGGCCTTTCCAGTTTTCCAGTCTTCAATTTATCTCTTTTCCAATCAATTCCTGAAGCTATCTTTCTAGATCATTTCCTATCCTTCAACCCTAAGAGCAAGAAATCATGTCTCAACTCAAAATTCTCATCTGCGGCGCCGGCATCACAGGAAACGCACTCGCATTCCAGCTCTCCAAGCTCGGACACTCAATTACTGTGATTGAACGCTTTTCCGGTCTCCGGTCATCCGGACTCCAAGTCGACCTCCGCGGCCCCGGCCTTCAAGCCCTCCGACGAATGGGCATCGAGAAAGACTTTGGCCCCTATTTAGTTCCTGAGCAAGGATTCGAGCTTGTTGACCGAAAGGGCAAACAATGGGGATATTTCCCAGTCAACACGTCTGGCAAGGGATTGCAGGGTCTCGAAATCATGAGGGGTGATCTATGTCAGATCCTCTACGATTCCACTAAGGAGCGGGTTGAGTACCGGTTCGGGATGTTTGTGAAGGAAATTTCTCAAAATGAGAAACACGCAGAAGTGCTTTTGTCTGATGGCAGCCGGGAGCGGTTTGATCTCGTTGTTGGTGCGGATGGCGCCGGGTCTCACACTCGGAAGATGATCCTTGACAAGGGCGAGGTGGACCCGTTTCATCCTCTTGGTGCTTGTGCGGGCTACTTTACTATCAAACAGTCAGCTAAGCCCAACGAGGGATATAATGCAACCGGATTTATTGCACCGGGAAATCGTGGTATCATGACTCGTCGAGGTGATCCTGACAAGTACCAGGCCTACATGTTCTGCAAGCCCGATGCCTCGGAACGTCTCAAGAACGCCAGGAAAGGCAACGTCCAAGACGAAAAGGAAGGCATCGCAGAAGTTTTCCGCGGTGCTGGATGGCGGACAGACGAGATCCTCAAGGGTCTGGATGACGCCAACGACTTCTATTGTGAGCGCTTGGGCGTCGTCACGATGGACCATTGGTCTCGGGGCCGTGTTGTGCTGGTAGGAGATGCGTGTTACTGTCCGAGTGCTATGACGGGCATTGGCACAACCTGCGGCATTACTGGTGCTTACATCCTAGCTGGCGAGATTGGAGAACATTGTAACTCGGACGGCTCCGTGGACAGTATCACGGCTGCTTTGATGCAATATGAAGAGAAGTTGCGACCATTCATAAATACTGTCCAAAGAGGATTGGCGGAAACCAAAGGAGACTACATGGATAAACTCCCGTCGTCGACGATAGGGATTCAGATGGTCTACATTCTCTTCTGGGTTGCCTCTGCCCTGAGGATAGATGTTATTGCAAAATTGGTTTTGCGCGAAGATACCAAGGGTTGGAAACTTCCAGAGTATAAGGAGACGGATTGTGCGTCGAATTAAAATCTGCCTCGGCGCTGAGACTAGAAAACTTCCCCTTGATGTATTTATTGTGTCCGTTGTGTGATTACAGGTTCCCGTTGATAAAGATATGCCAATTTGACTTTATCAATATCATTATTTACTTAAACGAGTTACACTAGAATGCTTTTATGAACTCACTGTGGAAAAAGATTATCCGAAAAGCCAAAGTCAAAGCTGTCACCCAGAAAGTCAAAGTCCGTATCGAAATCCGCCAACAGGGGGCATCTCCATGCCGCCGAATGCCCAGGTTTCCGTACTTGGATCCGTTGGATTAGTGGTCGACCTGGTCTGAAGGAGATCATGGCATGTATGTAGACTCTCGTGCAGGGCCCCCAAAATGGCCTCCTTTGATGGCTTGCCGTCGAGACGACACTCAGCTTGGGCCATCATCATATTCAGACACACATAGACCTTGACGTTCGTTTCGCCGTACCACATCCTGTCTTTTGCATAATGGACCACGCGGCGACCATCTTGTAGCAATGGTTCTTTACGGATGCGGTCCCTTCCGGGGAAGAGCGAACTGTCTCCTTCAGGCTCTGGACATAGTCCGAGGAAAATAATCAATGCACCCCGCGTGATAATGTCGCGAAACATACCACCTCCGGCCAGGAGTAAACGGTGGTACAGGACATCTTCAAGAAGCGAGACGATGTCCTGCGCAGCTGCAAGACAGACTTTTTGGGAGTAGCTGTACAGGGGATTTTTCTTGGCCCTGATGGCATATGAGAAGTGCAGGCACAGAGGAAAGCGGCGAAGGAGATGGCTGCAGTAGCTGGAGGCAAATTTTGCTGTCTTGTCCATAGAGACAGCGTGTTCGATTTCGGCGGCAGCATCGCGACAAGCCTGGGCCAGTTCATTTCCAAGGGCTAGAACTTGCTCGTACGGCGGTTCCTCGTGCAGGCTGTTGATAACTCTGGTGACCCGCAGCCTCAGAGGAAGGGAACCTGCCAATACCGGCTGAAAGGAGATATGAGTGGGGTATTCCTCTCGATTCCCCTCATCTAGATCATTGTCGTTGGCATTGGACGGCGGTTGTGTATTATAGTCCTCATCCATGATCATGGGTGACATACCCGAGTCCAATGCGGCTTGCACATTTAGTTCGAGAATGGTGTACCACAGCCGCCGTCGAATTTCTTTCTGTTGCGTACTTATCTCCTCAAAGCGGTTCGGATCTTGATGAAAGCCCATTTGCATCGCCATTCTCGTGAGTGAGCCCGCTGAGATCCATACCAAATCGGTTCCCACTCGAGTAACCTGACGGGCCAGCAGGAGTAGGCAATGGATTTGAATGCCTTCTACTTCCAGGCGGTTTTTTTCCAATGGTGCCGAAAGCCATGTCTGGGCAATATAGATCCAGGATGAGCTTTTGGTGGCCATTTCATTGCGGACGTTGCTATCATCATGTATTGTGCCCGCCAAGATCATCACAAGGAGAAGCTGCAGCAAGAAATGGTCCCTTGTGGTTTCCGGGCGATGAGTGTAGCTTTCGTACTCTGCCTGGAAGGAGGGGAGATAAAGAATTCGGAAGCAGGCCTCAAAAGTGGCGAAATACAGTTCGACCAGTTCATCCATCACCTGATGGTTGGGAAGGGACCGATGGATATCCGCAGGGAGACTTCCCCGTGTGACACGTTTGCTCTTGATATCTCGCGCTAGCCGTTTACATTGGGCAACCTTCTCTGAAGCCTCGTTCTGGCCATTTTCCGACTGGGAGAACACATCATAGCATTCTCCAAATGGCTCGAGGGGCGCCAGTTCTTCCATCTGTGACAATTGTCAGGAGGAGTACGAGGCAAGCGGAGGACGACGGTCTACCATAGAGAGAGAGCTCATCCAATGTCCGTGGCCGAAGACCCGGGTCTTCGAGACGGTACCTCGGATGCGCGTTTCTGAAGGCCCTTCGGAACTGCTCTGTATTTCCTGCTGTCTCATAGAGATCGTTCGAGGGTGTTCCTCGAACGTACACGCGGAGGCCACATCCTGTGCGGTACACTGGTTACAAGGCTGAGTCCGGTCACATCGGACCTTACGACGACGGCACTCGACACAGGAATAGGCCGGGCGTCTGCGTTTCCGGGGTTGAGACAGGCTGGCCATCTGGTCATGGAATTGGATGCTATTGACATGGATGGTCCGATAGCTCCGAAGTGTCGGCCGTAAGGAGTTATTACCTAACTTGGGGCCTCAGGTTATGAGAGGAACGTATGTATAATCAACCCTGGGAAAAGTACAGATCAGACGAATTTAGGACGATGAAAATACTACAATTTCTACGAACCATAAGCAGTGCTCTTATTTGTTTTCGCATTGCATCCGCACTGTAAGTAACTGGGATCTAAGATGCTCCGAAACACAGGACCAAAAATAGACATGATGACATGGTCTTTAGCGGTCTTCGCGCTTGCTTCAACATCATCACGAGGCTCAAATCATCCTCCCGCAAACACTCCACGCACGGGAAGGTATTACAGCGCAATTATCAAATATGGCCTGGGCATAATATGGAACAGAGTCGAAAGGAATGAGGTGGCCGACTGTAAAAAAAGGCTCGTGGGCGGTACGAAATGCGACAAAAAAAAAAAAAAAATATGAGCGGGCAATGTACATGACGAAGGTTGTACACGGAAAGGGAAATGGCGCTTTTGCAAGATATGCTATGCTCTGGAAAGGAGTCCGCGGAGGTAGGAAGAGTCGACGAATGAAAGGTGGCGGAAGAGTGTAAGGAAAAGGAGATGCTCATGCAAATGATCTGTCTTTTTCAGAGGTCGTTCACATCAACTCATGCGGCTGACTGTAAAACGTATGCGATCGGAGTGTATAAAGGTTCAGGGCATAAGGTAAAGGTTGAATTAATGCATTTCGGCCATGGCGGCCTCGAAGCTGGCAAGATCGTCGTGGGATGGTTGGTCGAAGATTCGTCGGAAGGGTGGATCAGAAGGAAAAACATCTGGAGGGCTCGTGGAGACACCTTCGGCTTTGCGAATTACCTCTTTCAGGGCACGTGTCACGACGCCGGCACGGACGACTAGATCCCGGAGGGACGAGGTGTCGAAGGGGAGTTTTTGGGTTCGTGTCGCTGGATCAAATTCGTCGAGGGCTGAGCGGGCCGGCCCACGACTGGGTGACAGCATATCTAGCACCGACTTTGACTTCGGGGAGCGTCTGGTGAGTTGACCCAGAGGTGGACCAGACGAGGAGGGTCGATCTTGTTCAGGGTCATTTTGCCATGAGTTGTCGCTGTTCCGTTTGGACGAACCATTGGTGTTGACAGCCTCCTCATCGGACTCATCGAAGCTGAAAGTCAGAGAAGAAGGCGATCGTGGAGGAGACCGGTGATCATCATCATCGATGGTGGCCAGGTTCACAATGCCCTCTGCTTCTTTCCAGAGCTCACTGGATGGGCCGCTGGCGAGATCCAAGACACTTGCTTGGTGTCGAAGGCGCTTGAGCTCTTCCACCAGGAGTGTCAGTTCCTGAACCTGGCCAAACTGGCCGTGGAGGCTGGCCTGGCGTTCGAGAATGGCTTTTGGAACCGTCATACTCTGACGATTATCGGACTCAGAGGGCTTCGAATTCGGGCTGGCGTTGTTGGTCTCTTGAGGCTCGTCAAAGTCAAAATCGCTGTCCCAGTCTTCGCTGACCCCTTTGGTACCCAGACCCCAGGTGCCAAATTTGCCTGAACTTTGCCGCGACTCAGTCATTGGCGGGTCTCGGGCTACGGGGACACTCTGGCTTCGAAGGTGTATGGTGGACGTTGCTTTACGACCGGTGGCACGGCTTCCGCGGTCCACGCATTCCTGCTTCCCATGAACGGTCCGGGGACGAGTCTCAGAGCCAGGCGGTTCTCGATCTGAAGAACGGGGTTGTTCAGACCAGTCGAAGATGTTCATCTTCCCAGCTGACCCAGTCGTCTCCACCGACTTGCCCGAAGGTGAGCGTTTGGGGACTGAGTCGTTAGGCAAGACACTGATCATGCTGCATGTGTCTCCCGCGTCTGGTACGTCAGACAGGACTGTGACGTTCTCCACCACCTGCTGGGGAAGTGTTGGGGAGGCGAGAAGGGTGTCGGGGAAGAGCGGGTTTTGCTCCAGACGTGAGCCTACCGAGCGGGGGATAAGGTCCTCCAGGGTCGCAACTGCCTCATTGGAGAGCCGCGGGCCTGCCTTGTCGAACATGGTCTCAATACGCAGTCCTTTGGCTCCGCTGCGGTTGCTCTCGCGCGTCCGCACCGAGTCCCAGTAGTCGCTCACCAGGTCTGTCTCGTACTCATCGCCAGACGTAAACACGCGGGTGTCGTCTGACCCGATGATGGTCGATGCCGGGTCTGACGCAGCGATCGAATGCCGTTTGGGCCGATTACGGAGCGAGGGTGTATAGTCCGGACGATATGACCCATGCTGCCAGGAAAGAACATCGGAACTCAGAGGACGGGGGCTACGCAGCGCACTTGCTCCCAATTGATAGTCATGAGACACCGACCGTGGACCGACGCGAGTCGAGAAAGCCATGCCGGGCTGCGCAATGGTGTGCGGGCGGCGAGACAGACTGGGATCGGTGACGTTTCGCCGTGGACGAGGCTGAGGCGAGCTCGGGAGCATGCTTTCAGACCGGGAGAGCTCCGAACGGGGAATGGAAAACGTTCTTCCTTTGACGCGTTTCAAAGATCCTCCGCGAGGCCGCCCAATGAGCGGGGTGCCGGTGGCCGTAACCGTATTGGCCACAACCGTCTTTTTCGTCTCGACATCGTTGAGGGAATATGAATGTTTGTGCTTCAGCTTTTCGTTCTGGTCGGCCGGCGGAGTAATTCTGGTAGCCTGGATTGGATTGAGGACTTCAACTGGAGTAACTGGCACAGACTGGAGGTTGCCTGCAGTAGTCTTAACCGTGATCGCAGTCGCCAAAACCAAGGCCGGCACTGTGTCTCCGTCAGACATGAGGCGCCGCACCACTTGGACCTTGGGGCTCCCTGAAGTAGATAACCTGCGGGCCAACTTCTGCGATATCCTATCGGCCCTGGGAAGCAGATACGGTTTCCAGTCAGTTTCCTGGTTGAGCTCAAAGTCTCCCGCCACTGGGGACTCAGGAAACTGCCCAGAGAAACGGGATGCAAAGTCGGCGGCTATAGGGATATTCAAGCGCATAGACTCAGATCGTTGATAGCTGGTGGCGGGCCGACGCAAGGCCGTCGGATTGGACAATGCGGGGGCCGGGTTGACGAACACATTGGAAGCTTGTGATGACGAGCGTTTGATCAACTTGTTTGGCGCTCTGCGCTGGCTGGGAGGACGAGGCAGCATTGGACTCGCGGAGCCATTGAAGGATGGAGTCACTGGGCTGTTGACTGAGGCGCTGTCTGTTTGGAAGGAGGCCAGTGATAACCGCCGCAGCCAGCTGGACGATGGCCGTGATTGGGAGACCTCCTCCTCGGCAATTCGCAATGGCGGGTTGGTCAGAGTTTGACCTCTCCGCCGCAGCCTGGCCGCCCCAAAGGACAGCGATGCCCTCCGGAGATCTGAGCTCTTGCGTAGGTCCCCGCCATCATCTTTGCTGTGAGTCCAGTCCGTCCCCGCGTCTGTCCCCCGGGTAGAAATCGAGATCGAGGTCTTTGGTCGTGCATCTGTAGCAGCCGGCCGCGTAGCACACGGAGGCTGATCTTGAGGCGGAAGCGTTTTCCGGCGAGCGAGGCGGGTGCGTTCGACGCGACCGAGGGCGAAGCCGGACGGTGCGATGCCTACCGTGCTCAGTGCACAGAGCTGGGATGCAAACGCGTTAGTCTCGAGTGTGCGTTTGTCCATGGGTTTTAGACGAGAGGAATAGGCGTTTGGCCCAGAGGGAGGGGGGTGGTTATGGCGCCATTCGGGACCACCAGAATCAGCAGAAGGGAAGACTCACCGTCGAGACGTGATCCATCCTTAGATGCGTGGAGACGAGTCAGACGCCGCCGAGTTTAGCACCGCAGCGTCGAACTGGGTAAGCGACATCCCATTAGGATTGGCATATGGGGGGAGAAGGGGAATGGAAGAAGACAGAAAGGAGTGGCAGATGACAGGGACTTGACGGGAGCCGAGAGCCCTTGCAGGGGAGAGGGATGAGAGGGAGGAATGGAGGGAGGGAGGGAAAGGTAGGAGTGAATGAATGATGATGTGGAGGCAGAAAGGAAAACACAGTGGTTAGTGTCAACAAAGCTCACACTACCTACGGAGTACACGCGAGGAAGAATCAATCATCGGTCGATCGCCCCTTGCCGCATCCCTCGTGTTTCTGATCCAGCTCAGCCAATAATTCCCCGGCTTACAATCCACTCTGACACATGATTATTTCCCTTGGATCGATCTCGTCATCGGCCCACTTGGTTTGGTTCGTCTATCGCGAACCTTGATGATTTCTGACCTAAGGACACCCGGAATGCCGGTCAGCCAATCAATGGATCCGTCCCCGGACTAGATCCTCTCAACATCCTGATCGCTACCCCAAACCACTGGCTCTCCTGGATCTATGACAGAGGGTTTCTCTCCCGGTAACGTGCCAGGCGAGACCCTCGGCCAACCGCATCACCATCGCAGCTGCAACTGCAATCGTCGCACAGGGCCCGTGTGGTTGCCGGTTTCCCCTGAATCGGTCCAACAAACGCCCCGAGCATTGCCAACGGGACTGATTAATGTCTGACCTGAATATACATCCACTGGTCAGTCCCTTGAATGTAATGGATGCGTGATTGTTGACGCTCTATACTCTTTCGATCCTGGAAATCACATGACCTTATCGATAAGCCAAAACGAGCACCACTCGATGGCCGAGACACGGACTTGACCCTCACGACACACACCCACCATCTAGCCAACATGGAAACCGAACTCCAGGCGCAGATCCCCGGTCTCGACCGTGTCATCTCAGAATACTCGGTGGTATGTCTACAACTCCCCCTAATACAGTCACAATGCGTAACCCCCCCGCGCTGACCACCGATCTTTTCACAGGGCTACCTGACCCACGCCTCCAACCTGTACGTCGAGGATGGCAGCGTGCAATCCCCATTAACCGAGGCCGCCGACACCGTCACCGAGCTGCTAGTCTCCGCCTCGGGTGACTTCTCCCCGCAGAACCACGATGCAATTGGCAACCTGGTGGAAAAGTTCATCTCCAAATTGAGCTCCTCCAATGGCGTGGATGCGGAGCGGCGACAGATGCCGTTCACGGCCAAGAAGCTGGACCAGGCCATCCACGTCGGCTCCCAGCGCAACATGTCATCCACCCTGGGCTTGACCGGCACCACCGTGGACTTGGAGTCGGCCAATGCCCGAAAGGTCGAGTCCCGCGTGGATAAGAAGAAGCTCGAAAAGGCCGAGCGCAAGATTCGATTCAAACAGGAGAAGAAGCAGATGAAGACCGTTCAGTATGAAGCCTCGCGCTTGCTGAATCCGACGGATGAGGCCATGTCCTATGAAGAGTTCTTCATGGCGGTCAACCCCCTCCAGCTGGGCGCGGATGCCCAGTCCAAGAGCAAGGATATCAAGTTGGACAATATCGATATCTCCATCAGCGGTCTACGGATCCTGACCGACGCAGCCTTGACGCTGGCCTATGGTCGTCGCTATGGACTGGTGGGTCAAAACGGTATCGGAAAGTCCACTCTGCTGCGCGCATTGAGTCGTCGAGAAGTCGCCATTCCAAGCCACATCTCCATCCTCCACGTCGAGCAAGAGATTACCGGTGATGATACCACAGCTATTCAGGCCGTTTTGGACGCCGACGTGTGGCGGAAACACCTCCTCGCAGAACAAGAGAAGATCACAAAACAATTGGCCGCGATCGAAGAGGAGAGATCCCAGATGGCAGATACATCAAAAGATGCCGCCAGATTGGACCACGAACGGGAAGGCCTGGATATCACTCTCAGCGATATCTATTCCAAGCTTTCTGAGATGGAATCCGACAAGGCCGAGTCCCGCGCAGCCAGCATTTTGGCGGGTCTGGGTTTCTCCCCGGAGAGACAGCAATACGCCACCAAGACCTTCTCTGGAGGTTGGAGAATGAGATTGTCGCTGGCTCGAGCTCTGTTCTGTGAGCCAGATCTCCTTCTGCTGGACGGTATGCCGCCCCTAAAAAGCATGTGGATCAAGTAGGGAACTAACCGTGCCACAGAACCGTCGAACATGTTGGACGTCCCGTCGATCACTTTCTTGTCCAACTACCTCCAGGGCTATCCTAGTACTGTCCTGGTCGTTTCTCACGATCGATCGTTCCTCAACGAAGTGGCCACGGATATTGTCCACCAACATTCGGAGCGTCTGGACTACTACCGGGGCGCTAATTTTGGTAGGTGACACCACAGCAGGATTTCAGGTCCAGTAGCTTACTTTTTTTTCAGAATCATTCTATGCGACCAAAGAGGAGCGGAGGAAGACTGCCAAGCGCGAGTATGAGAAGCAGATGGCAGAAAGGGCACATCTCCAAGGTTGGACACCTGCCTCGGGTCGTATTGTGCATGCTAACCTGCATCACTAGCCTTTATCGATAAGTTCCGGTACAATGCCGCCAAGTCCTCCGAAGCGCAGTCGAGAATCAAGAAGCTCGAGCGGATGCCCGTCCTCGAGGCCCCCGAGAGCGAATATGTCGTTCACTTCCAGTTCCCCGAGGTTGAGAAGCTGTCCCCCCCCATCGTTCAAATGACGGAAGTGTCCTTTGGCTACACCAAGGACAAGCCTCTTCTCAAGGATGTGGATCTGGATGTTCAACTGGACTCGCGTATTGGAATTGTTGGACCGAACGGTGCCGGTAAAACCACCGTGCTGAAGCTCCTGACCAACCAGCTGGAGCCGACCAAGGGCCTGATCTCGGCACACTCGAGATTGCGTATCGGATTCTTTGCCCAGCACCACGTCGATGCACTGGATATGACAACGAGCGCCGTGAGTTTCATGGCCAAGACGTATCCCGGCAAGAGTGACGAGGAGTACCGAAGACACTTGGGCGCGTAAGTCAACCTCTTCCGAAGGCCCATCGAGTCGTTCGTTACTGATCACCCATATATAGGTTTGGCATTACCGGCACCACCGGTCTCCAGCGCATGGAGCTGCTGTCTGGAGGACAGAAATCCCGTGTGGCGTTCGCCTGTCTGTCTCTGACGAACCCGCACATCCTGGTTCTGGACGAACCCTCCAATCACCTGGATATCGAGGGTATGGATGCGCTGTCGGAGGCCCTGCAAAGGTTCGAGGGAGGTGTGGTGATGGTTTCCCACGACGTGACGATGCTGCAGAATGTGTGTACGAGCCTGTGGGTGTGCGACAAGGGCACGGTGACCAAGTTCGACGGCAATGTCAACGCCTACAAGAAGATGATCAGCGCACAGGCCAATGAGGCGGGAGTGGTTGCTCATCATTAATACTGAACTAAAATAGGTAGAGTATGAATGTAAAAAATAAGTCCATCATCTAGCAACAGACACATGAAGTATACCGACCAGTATAGAATGTCTACCAGTGACCAGATCCTATGCTTTCATTCTTATCTTATCGCCAGGCCGCGTGACAAGTGCCGCGTGGGGAAAGTGCGGGAGTATCTGCATCCGGCAATTCGTCTTTCTTCCCGGCACGCTCATGGTACCTACACGTAGTGTACTCCTTGCCATACCATGCTGACCGAGGACGGAGAGCAAGATCTCTCCCACCAACCACTCCTCCCCGCCGTCTCGTCCGACCACGATGCGGTCCATGCGCCCGAACTGAGGTATGTAGGGGGCTGGTTTATCTGGGCCCTCACCTTCTCCGCCGGGATCAGCGGGCTTTTGTTTGGCTATGAGTAAGTCTGCATTCTTGATGACATGAGACAAAGAGACATTGACGATCTCACAATTCAGCACGGGCGTGATCTCGTCGACCTTGGTGACCGTGGGCTCCGACCTCTCAGGTCGCGACCTCACCACCCTGGACAAGAGTCTCATCACTTCATGTACCAGCCTATTTGCACTCTTCGCGAGCCCCCTGACGGGGATTCTGGCCGATAAATTCGGCCGGCGCAAGGTCATTCTCGGCGCGGATGCTTTGTTTGCGCTCGGAGCTTTGATCCAGGCGGTTACGAGTCATGTCGGGGGCATGATTCTTGGTCGGAGTATTGTTGGTCTTGCGGTTGGTAGTGCTAGTGCCGTGACTCCGCTGTATGTTCGACGGATTGGCGTCAAACGACAATGATAGCTAATTGGTATCAGATATATCTCCGAGCTGGCACCATCCCACGTTAGAGGACGGCTGGTGACCATTATGTGCTTGCTCATCACCGGCGGCCAAGTCGTGGCATATACTATCGGCTGGCTCTTCTCCGCCATGCCCGGCGGCTGGCGCTGGATAGTCGGCCTTGGGGCACTGCCTGCATTACTGCAATTTGCAATCCTCGTGTTTCTCCCCGAGACGCCTCGGTGGCTTGTCCAAGCCGGATTCGACACCCGCGCACAGAATGTCTTGGCTCGGATCTACCGAAACTGCGACGACAGTGACCGCGTCGTGGAAAGAGTCATGCGCAATATTCGCGGAGAGATTGTTCAAGAGGCCTTCGAGCTCGGGCAGAACAAAGCCCACGGCTCGAAACCGCAGTGGCTCCAGGATACCATGGAGCGTGCTGGCGACTTGCTCCGTAATGGCGGCAACCGCAGAGCGCTGACGATCGCCATGATGCTGCAGGGACTGCAGCAGCTCTGTGGGTTCAACAGTTTGATGTACTTTTCCGCCACCATCTTCGATGATTTAAACTTCGCTTCGCCGACATTGATTGCGCTCTCGGTCGCGGGGACGAATTTCCTCGGCACGCTTGTCGCATTTGTCTTGATCGACCGAATTGGCCGTCGACGCATTTTGCTGTATTCCATCCCCGTGATGGCTCTTGCCTTGTTCGGCTGCGCTATTGCATACTTTTCACTCAACTCCTCCTCGCTGGACGGGCGTGATGATCCAGACACATCCAGTTTATTCTTCCCCGTTTCGATCATTGTCTTCATGGTCATCTACACCGCTGCTTATGCCTTGGGTCTCGGCAATGTCCCCTGGCAACAGTCCGAGTTGTTTCCTCTGAATGTGCGGTCCTTGGGCTCGGCGTTGGCGACAGGGACGAACTGGGGCTCGAATTTTATTGTTGGCCTCACCTTCTTGCCCATGATGCAATGGATTTCCCCAGGGTGGACGTTTACAAGCTATGCGCTTGTCTGTACGCTGGGATGGTTCGCTGTGCGAGCCATCTACCCGGAGATGAGTGGGCTCGGCTTGGAAGAAGTGAAGGGTCTGTTGGCACACGGTTGGGGAGTGCAGGAGAGTCTTCGGCGTCGACATACTTTGTCAGACGAATAGAGTACATAGAGTTATAGAGCGTCAAAATTCATTGGGGTTCACCTCTGCTTCCTCACATCTTGGCCTTTTCTCAGCTGGTGCTTCGAACACCCAACGTTGGCTTTCGGTCAACGAGGAACATTCGCTCTGGAGGCGCTTGGTGTATCCCTGCGGGTACGTTCACTCTGCTCTCTGTCTGGGGATCACCCATATCGATGGTCTATATATCCCGGGCGATACTGGCACCATGTCTTACTCTCCGAAGACCTCACTTGTGGACCTGCCCAACGAGGTACAACATCACCCTCCGCTCTTGTTCTAGACTCACATACTAACTCCCAAATAGATCCTCCAAAAGATCGCCTCCCTCCTCCCAACCGACAAAGACGTCACGAATTTTGCACTCGTCTGCAAGGACATCTCTGACACCGTGCTCCCATCCGAGTCAACCATCTGGCGCAGTCGCTTCGGCGATCTATACGATATACCACCGGGTCGATCCTCAAATGAGTTGAAAACCGAATATAAAGCCCGCGCCATCGTGCTGGTCCAGAATATCGACTTCAAACGGGGCGAAGGTGCCCAGCAACGCCTGTGGCTTGAAGTGGTTCACACCATGCTCCTCGAATCTTTGACTCTGCCGCTGGAAAATTATACTTCCAAGACTTATGATCAGCTGTCTGAACGACTCAAGAAGCTGAGTTTTCTTCGGAGACCGGTTTCTGGCTACGGATTGTACAAGCCGCAGGAGCCGTCGGAGCTGTTTTGTGCGGTGCAGTTGGTAAGTGGGATGAAAACAACAAAGGTTGAACCTGACAGTTGATAGTGTCTCACTGCCATGGTCCTGCATCCGGCCATGAGCTTCTGCTGTCTTCGCACGGACTATGACATCGGTACAGTGTATGCCTGCGGCGACGAGGTCAAGATCCCATTGATCCAATCCGATGCCCCAGACCTCACGAGTCTCTTGCACATGCGCAACTTCTGGCAGCGACACCTTGGTAATCACTGTGAATGCACCTTTTTCGAGTCCTTCGCCAAGTTGCCTGACCATCTGAGACCCAGTGTGCGTGTGTTCTCGGATGGTGAGTTCAGTTTGGGCACTTCGTGGCTGGGCTACTACTGTAAGTCAGAGTTCTCCGATGTGTGTCTTTGGAATAAACTGACGCTTAACAAGCATGCCTGCACCCTTTCCCCAATTCAATGGAGCAGCTTCACTTCCGACAGACATGCGCCGATCTTGATACGCACTGGGACCAGGTTGAGATAATGGTAAGATAGCTTTGCAACAAACCCGCAGATAACCGATTGACATATTCTCCAGTCCCTCGAGCTTGAACTCCTGCCTGATGATGAAAAGATCTGGCCCACAGAATTCGACGCCATCTTGCCCCGACTCGGCGAGTCGAAGAATCGAGCATACTTCCAAGGCGTGCAGCAGACATACGGGGGAACCACCCCAGCCAGGAACGGAGTTGTTGGCTTCACCGAGCCAATTGTGGTCCACTATGGCGGGTTTCCTGGCTGGATTCGCATCTGCTTTGCCATTCGGGACGAGGTGGGCCAACCAGCCCAAGCGGGAAGCAGTGCAGAGCAAGGACAATGGAAGCCCTGGGCACTGGAAAGAAGCGCCTGGCTCCATGGGTATGAGGCGGTTATTCTTCCTGGTGGTGCGGTGATGCTGGGAAGATGGGTGGATATGAAAGACACGACAGGGCGAGGACCATTTATCTTCTGGGATGTGTGAACGGTGATCGGGGGGTCAGATCAGGTCAGATCAATTGGGAGACTGCGTAAATATCAATATTTAGGGCTGAATTGCGAGCATTCTAGATTTTAGAGCACAAAAGTAACCAAGAATAAACCAACACGGGTTGCTTCATAAGAATACCGACAAAAAAAAAGAACTACTCCTCAATGTCCTTCACCTTCTCCCACTGGCCCTTCAGGTTCTCCTTCCACAAGCTGACCTTGTTGTCACCGCCGCTGACAGCCAGAATATTACCGCTGAGACTCCAGCTGACGCGCCACAAGACAGTATCGAATTCGAGTGTTTGGCTGGACCACTGGCCCGGGTTGGCCGCATCAGAAGTCCAAATGCGAACCGTCTTATCTTGCGAGGCTGAGGCGATGTAAGACTTGGAGAGAATACTCGGCGACCAGGCGACGTCGCGGACCCAGTCCGAGTGGCCCTCCAAGGTTTGGGTCAGGCTGTAGGATTTGGATTCGGTGCTGGAGAGCAATTAGCTAGAGCCACCCAACGACTAGAGGATAGCATACTTATAGTCCCAGATCTTGATCAGGTTGTCGCTTCCACCGGTGACAAACCGTCTCTGCTGCCCCGGCCCGGGGTTCGAGCTGATCAGGCTGCCCGCAAAGGCAGCAGGCGCCCAGCTGATGGAATTGACACCCATCCCGTGCGCGTGGAAGATCTGATGGGTCCAGCTGTTGTCACGGAACTCGAGAACACTGACATGGCCGTCGGAGGATGCGCAGGCCAGGAGACAGCCACTCTCGTGCGGGGCCCATGATACCATGTTTACGGACGCCGTGTGCAGGGAGAAGTCGAAGACCTTGCTCCATGTGCTGCCACCGACGGGGCTGGTCGCGTTCTGCGGTTGCTCACGCCAGATCAGGACCTTGCCGTCGTACGACGAGGAAGCGAGAATCGTGCCGTATTTGGGGTGCGCCTAGAAACACCACTACAGTCAGATTTGCGGGTTTGGTCAGGTGGGAAAACACTCACCCAGGCGATACACCACACCGCACCCTCATGGCTGTCATGACCGTGTTAGCTGCTGGATGGCCCGCATGGAATTATGCCTTTGCTCACCCTTTCAGGGTCTCGACCAAGCGGTGTGTCTCGCCCTCAATCTCGAATATCTTAATCGTTTTATCGGAAGAGCATGTCGCTAGCCGGCGTCCATAGTAGTCCAAGCCGGCATCATGCTGATGAGACAAACGTTAGCTTCACTAAGCGTTGAAAGCACTCCGCGCGTGCTACCGAGTACGTACGATCATGTCTTCGTGCCCTGAATTGGAAATCACCTGTGCGGCCGCCTGCAGATTCACGGAGGAGACCGTCAGTAAGCGCCCTGAGCGCAATTGGATGGTCCACATACCATTTTGACGCAGCCCTAAGAGGGGAGGAGGAGAAAAGAGAGACCGAGAGAGCTAAGGAGTAATGGCGAGAGTGTGTGTTTGGGGTGAAGCCAAACACCCTGGCCTGTGCTTATCTTATCTTCTCTGACTCAGCAGGTCACGTTCTGGTCAGGTGACGGGCCTCGGTTGATCGGTTGTACTACGTATTTCCCCACGGCCGGCTTCTCTTCTTACTCTTGCACCTGCCCTCAATCATCTCACACGGATTACCGTCCATCATGAGCGACGCTCTCTGCGGCCCGTCGAATGCGTTGCAGAACTTCAAGAATCATGCGTCGGTCGATCGCACCCTTCAACAAGACCGGCTAACTGCTCGGCATTCGCCTGCCCAGGTAAGTGGATGGCAAATCAGTCGCTACGGAGTGCTAATGGTAGACCAGCAGGGTTTCCGATCACAGAACCCCCGAGAGGGAATCCTCGACCCCGAATTCGCTGCATTTGAAGCCAACCTCGGGGGCCCAGCGGTTCCTGAACTCCAGCACCCCGCTCACTTTGGCCCGTCGGCTGCCCAGATTTCCGCTCCTCACCACCCGGGAAACGCCGATTGGGCATCGGACTTTCAGAACCTGCAGATTTCCGGCCCTGCTCATCATGCGCCACAACTACAGCACATGTCACCCTCCCCTGCGATCGCGGGAGGGTGGCAGAATGAATTTATGAGCCAGCAGCAGCATCAGCCGCCGGCACATGCCCAGCAAGCCCCGGGGATGAACCGGGCCTTCCAACCAGCTTTTGCGCCAAGCTATCCGATGCAAAGTACATCCATGATGCAACACCAACAGCAACCACAGGAACACCATGCGCCCGCCGAGAAATTCGACGAGTCTGCCTTCGAGGCCGCATTTGAACAAGCACGAGCGGATATGGATATGGAACTACAAACGAACGCAACCGAGACCGTACAAGACTCGACTCACGAGACCGTTGAGGAAAACGCTCATCCTGTTGTCCACGAAGAAATCCGCATCGGATCCGACACCATCCCCCAAGCCGACAAGGGGCGAGGCGCTGACGAACTCGCTCGGACGGCCGGAGAGCTCCTCGACCGCGTCCAACACGACCAATCCCAGAAATTCCAACAAAGCAACTTCCTTGCGCTGATGCGCCGCATCCGAGACCGTGAGGTGCAGGTAGAAGGAGACGATTTTCGCGAAGTCAGTACCAACCCGTAAACATCGATGTTGGGTCCACACCGGTATATTTCGTCGATCGATACGGGTGCTTGTTCGTGCTAACTGTCCGACTGGCAGACGGCGCAGTCCCTCCACCCGGGCGGACAATACTACCCGGGCAACGCCGATATCATCACCGACACTAGTAAGGAGCCTTCCACCCTGGTGGCAGGACCTGAAACCACGGTCCCATGAAGAAAGTCAACAATAGATCCTGACCCCCCTCGCTCAGCGCGCACCCGAGCGCCCGCCGAAGAAGCCTCTCCGGATGATCGTGACCTCGGACCCGGCGACACCAACGCCCTTTACGAAGGCTGGATCCATACGCAGGGTTTGATGGATCGCCGGACCTTGCAGCCGACCGTCTGTTTCGTGAGACACGGGCTGGCCGCACATACTTTCTCAGACTATTAGCCCCATTATTTCTCCGCATTGGCTCGGCGTTTGCATTTAATCAATAATCCATTGATTATTGTTATTCAATCCCCCTTTTGTTGTTTGTTTTGGTTCATTGGAGAACAATGTATCACGTGATCCTATTGATGCCCCAAAGAACAATCGGATGCGCATTGGCATTATTGACGAGCGTCAATCGGAGCAGAGTCCGGCCTGCTGATTGGTTGCCGGGTTTATTGATGGTGATGAAATGTTTGCTCCCCAGCGCATACAAATACCCCTCTGTTGCATCCCCTGTTGGCCACTTGTCTCCGGATTTTGTTATATATCATTGCTTTCAATACATATTCTCTCGGACACAATGCTCCCTCCCTCGGACTCGCTGCGGCATCAGGCCCACAAGCTTGCTGAAGCTCGCGCAAACCGTACCGGACTTCCCTCAGCGCCGCCGCCATACTCGCAAGTTCCCCATGTCACCATGGGAGGACATAGCCTGCTGGACATGGATGAGGACGACAGCCCCAGTCCCATCACCATTACCCTGGACGCCTCAATCCATGTCCAGGGCAATGGCAACACAATCGTGCTGCCAAGCACCAGCGCCAAAGCTGCTGAGCAGCACCAGCAGCACAATAGAATTTCTTCGTCAGACTCAACAGCACCATCAACATCCGCGCAAACAACAGCATTGCAATCCGCCCAAAAGCATCGCCAAAACAAACTCTCCGAGATGGCGAGCACGATCATCGCCGCATTGCGCGAAGCCGACGCCCTCCTCGATGTCGAGAGCGGGCGCTGCCGGCCCATCGCCGTGCATCTCAACGCAGGCGTCAAGATTGACGGCAGTCGCAATGTGATTTGCGTTGGCGCTGCTGCTGGTCCGAGCCGGATGGGTCGTAAGAATCTATTATCTGGGGATGGGGAGGGTGTGAGTCGGAAGAGACGGGCACAGTCTGTATGTTTGTTCCCTTTTTGAGTGACTTGTGACATGGTTTCTAATGGCTGCTATAGGAACCGCCGGGCTTTCGTGCACCCAAGCGGGATCAATCCGGTGAATTGAAAGGATGAAATGGCATGGAATGATGGGTGGATTGCTTGTTCGAGTATTGACGAGAGACCCCATGTGTACGCGTTGCTCTCTTGCTCTGGACCTTTGTTGATATTATTGTCTGCGTGATATCCCCAGTACCCCTGTATTTGTACGCGAGGGTCAGAATCGGCGCAATGGATGTGGTGGTTGTGTTTCTTGCTTAAATTACGGAGATGAACTCAAACGAACCCAAATTTTCATATTCATACACTTTTAAACAAAAGTCCCATCGCGCGCCCATTCGGTGCAAGTAGTAGTGTATCCCAGAAATCACAAAAATAAAAACCCCTATCGGGTCGACGATCGACCAGACAAGACACCCCGCCCCCAAGCGAGAAAGATTAGAATAAAGAACAAACAGGAACAGAAAGCGCCGTAAATGGTATCCATTTGACGAGAAGATAGAGTCCCGTGCATCTGCCATGGATATGAACAGTGGAGGACAGAAAGATTCTCCGCGAAGGTGGTGTATACAATCAGGTGTATCGGCTGACGGGGATGTCGTGGCGATGGAGATCTTTCGACCACTCGGGAGCAATCTTGTCTCGTTCGTAGAGGAAGCCGCAGTTGTGGCAGAGTGTCTGCACACTTGGTCAGTACAATAATTGACTATAAGACAGCTCTTTCCTTACCCTTGGCCCATCGGGTCCATCCCGCACAGCCCAAACAGCCGTGCCCCAGACCATACAATTGCTGCATCGCCAGCTTTGCCGTTCCCTGAACAAGGCCACATTAGCATTCGACTTCACATGATAGTAAACAGAAACATACCATTCGGATAGTGTGCCACCTCCACCGCCGTATCCGGCACCCGACCCCGTGTCCGGGGTTCCTCGACCGGGCGTGCCTCGACCCAGGGGACTCAGACTGCGGAAGCGGCGCTTCCGCTTGTTCCTCTCACCTCGACCCAAGGGAGTCTCGCTGTCGACATCGAAATATCCACTGCTCTGCCTCGATACCTCTGGGGTGATACCAGCAGTAGACGAGAACCGGGCGGTTTCTCGACGCAACCGACGGATTTGTCGCTCACGATCACCCTCACGTCTTTCAATTTCTTCCTTCGACAAGGTTTCCACCTTGGGCTCCCACTCATCTGCCAGAGTCTCTGGATCATATCGCCAACCAGCCTCGGTGCCGTTCGCCGCTAGATTATCAATCTCGTTTCCGTAACCATTAATTCCGCTCACTAGGCCGCCGCTCTCGCAGACCTCTTTCTTCAGTTTTAGGACCGCCTCATAGATGCCGTGCGCGATGGCGCTCACCCACTCGCCGCTGAGACTGAGGTCAGCGCAGGTGATCTTGGCGAATTCCTCCGCCAATCCCGGCGGATGGAGGAGTGACCATTCGAATTTGTCCGTGTAGAGCTTGTTTTGCAGGTTGATATTGAGGTTGATCAGACACCTATATGCATCGTCTGGATTCAGGAGGCTGTCGTTGACCATCGCCTCTTTCGTTACTGTCACTGCTACTGCGACCCCGTTGGCCCCGCGGCTGTCCGGAGTGGCCACATTCGCCGCCGCGGGCGTCATAGAAGTGTCCCGAGACGGCTCAGTCTGGGGAGGAACACTCGGACCGGTCGTAACGGGCAGCGTACTCTGGAAAAGAGGATGTAGAGCCACTCCCGCGTACTCTTCTAGCTGCTGTCGAATTTGATTGCTGATCGTCATCGTGATCGCCTGTGGATTGGGGAGGTCGAGATCCCGGACAAATCCCACCGCGAATTCTTCTGGGGTGGCTAGCGCTTCGTGCAGGTTCCACAGGAATGTGTCCTTGATGCGATATGAGGGCAATGGCTCCGGTTTCCGGTAGGCAGGGAGGGCTGGGGTGATGCTGGTATCATTGACCAGGCCGCGCGGCAGAGGAAATGGCTCGATGGGCGTGTGCGCAGGCACCTCCACGTCGATTCGGATGGGGACGAGTGTTTGAGGCAGCTGGGCCTGAATCTGTAATTGATCCGCACATCTGCATCAAGTGTCAGCGATACCCGCAATAAAACGCGGGCTCACAAGAAACATACGCTGGCCGGAGCATCCTCTTAATCATCCACTCGCGAAACACGCCTTGCACCTCGACAGGCTCGTGTGTTTCTCTGCCCACCTTCGCAGCCAGCGGAACCTTGTCGGAGGTGGATTCTTCGCGCCGGAGGCTGCGCAGGCCCGTAGGTCGCCGGGGTCCATCGCTTTCATCAAAATCTTCATCATCAAATCCATCTTCTGCGTAATTGATGGCTGTAGTGCCACGCTTTGTTGTCCGCGGAGTTGGGCCGGCCACTACTGGGGTGATCACCGGCGTGAGTAGCGCGTTGCCATACTGGCGCACCCGTGGCGGGTAGGATGTGATGTAACCGCGAAGAGGGGACATGTTTTTGAGCGCTTTGCAGCTTCACGGACACATGCCCCTTCGAGTCAGGCTGGTGTTGGAAGGGGGATCGAGAATTGCAGCACTTGTTGATCTGCGGCAGGGTGGAAGGGTCGACGGGAGAGGAGGGATGGAAGGTATGGGGGGTTGGATCAGAAGCACAATTGGAGATGTGACCGAAGAGAGGCCGGGACAAGAAGATCACGGGGCCAGACAGACAATCCTTTGACCACGACCGAGGGCAGGCGCAGAGTGCATTCCAGGTTCTTTTGCGCCAGTCGCGCTTTCCCAATTCAGACGGGGAAGACGCTAGGCTGAGTTGGGAGACCACGTGACTCAACTCGATCTAGATCTACCAGAACAATAATAATCAACGGACGAGATGTCAATTTCTTTTTGCTACTAGTGTCTCCCATATGTCCATATCCCGCATGTCAAAAAAAAGATGAACAAACTGCTCAGTACGCCAGACCGGCTGCCGCGGGAAAAACGAATGTCACAAATCCAACAGTCAATGAACGGGGAGGCAGAAAACAGAGTGGATGGTGGTATCGGTACAATGAAACAAACAAAATCTACTACCGCAGTCCGATCACGCTCTGAAGAAAGCATTAGCCGACAGCACAAGGGACAGAAAATCCGGAAGCTTACCATTTCTAGCGTCCACACACGGCGAATCCAGACCTTGAGGGGACCCTCCACGCCCTCCACATTCTCCAGCTCGATCCCCTCCCACCAACACCGCCGCGCGGGTTTCCGCCAGAACAGGAGAAGCTTCTGCGCCATCCCTACGGCATTGTTATTTGTCAGATCCCCGCGGATATCAGTGCGGAGTTTGGCCAGCGCCAAACTGCAAATCACCGCCTTGTTGGGCTCGGGAGCTCGATGGCCCCATTGATCCTCGCGGTCAAATCCACTGCGCAACAGATGAGTCTCAAGGTTCAAGTCATGTGGGAAACGGTGGACTGACCCAGCAGTAAGCATTTCAATCAAGTGCTGCTCCGTAGAGCCAACCTCTTCGCTTTTCCTCAACCCGGAGAAAATCCCGTCCTGTTTCAAGAGGGCTCGGCCAGCAGCCCGCTTGACTTCCAGCATCTCATCATGGTCGATATTCGGAAACGGTGGGATTGTATAGAAATCGAGATCTTCTCGAAGCACGATAATTCCCGCACGATCTTGCAGCATGTCCCGTGTCGAGCTCTGCATCGGATCGTGCGCTTCCAGCTCTGGCGAGGTCGAGCCGGACGGCAGAGAAGTCGGGATCGACTGAGCAACGTGTCTGAAAAAGTCCAGCATGTATTGAAGCGAGGCCGGGTCATACTGCATTTGGGTCAGGCATGAATCCTTCAAACAAGGTGCGCGCAATCACATACATCAACCGGGTAGATATCGCCCTCATGGAAGCCACCCATATGCCCATCCGGAAGAAGGCCATTCGGAAACAGCGAAAGGAGCACGAATTCAGGCAACGTCAGCAACTCGTCACGCGAAAGGGTGAACCGGGTACCCCTGAGCCTCGAATCAGCATCTGCAAGTCTACTTTCTGGGTGTCTTGCTTACCGGAGATCGAGAGTGATGTGCTCATCGCTGCCAATATCTATGTGCACAAGAAAATTAGCAACAGGCGTATCTTGACGCGTACACACACCCACCTCCAAGAGTGTTGATCGGTGGCCCTCCCGTTTGCTGCACCTGAGTAATAATACTCGAAGCGCCTCCGGCAGCAGCCATCACGTAGCTGAACGACTCGAGCGGACTGTAACCTTCGGTGTACGGTGGCGGCGGTTCCCCGTCGTCAGCACTCTTCTCTCGCCCGTCACTTTTGGGCTCTTGCGAGAAGGACGCTTTGGTCTCTGCGACAACCGACGACGAAGGGGCCGAGTCGAGAAGCGCCTCGACAGGGGGCGGAGGCGCGAAGGCGGAGAGCGACGCGGGTTCGGGGGGCCCGGTGACGGCGAGCTCTTGGGCGCGGTTGCTGGGGTCTGTCGGCGGTACGACGAAGAGTGACGAGAACGGTGGGGGGCCGACGGAAGAGGAATTGGAGGCTGATGCTTCGGAGTAGGGGTAAGAGTGAGGCGATGGCGGCGCAGTGTAGTAATAGTCGCCCTCCTCGGAGGAGTCCGTCTGGACAGGCGGTCGCGCCGTGGTTGAGAATGACACGATGATGGGCCTCGAGGGAAGCTTGGGATGAGAGGAAGTGGAGGACGATCTGAGGGTTCCAGACTTGCGCCCCAGAGGGTCCGTTGTTGTCGATCAGGAGGCGAGCTCAGACAGACGACAATGCGCGTGTCATAGACCAAGTGACTCTGTATATTCTACGATATACTGAGAAACCAAGAAGGGACACAAATACAGACTGGCCAACAGTCTATATGTCGTCAAAGGGAAAGATAAGAGGAAGAGAGGAGAAGTGGTCAGCGCTTAGAGGCTGGGGGGAATTTGGCGGTCAGCCAGTCACGTTGTTGCATGCCCGTGAACAATCACCCTACATGTAAATCATCCTAGCTGTACACACGATATAGATATATGAATCATGTTTGAATAGTGGACTTCGTTGACTCAAATCATGCGAAAGTAATAACTAATTGCCTACACATGGCGCTCGGCAAAGCTCTGGATCAGACCTTCCAGCGTCGGCTCATACTCCTTGAGCGTGACCTGATCCCCGTCCAGGATGGTGTTGGCCTGCACAAACACCTTACGCGGCACCTTGTTCTTCAGTACGACCTCGCGCACCTGGGTCCCCCACCACTTGTCCACCGAGGTGATCCCATTGTATAGAGCCAGGCCAGCCTCAATATCCGCCGTGCTCTTGTACACATGCAGCTTCTGGAGGTACTTCTCCACCGCTGGGCGACCATGACTCAAGATCTTTGAGCGATCCAGGTGGATCTCCAGGTCTGACAAGTCGTCCTTGGTATACGCCAGCTTGACGAAGTCATCCCCGGCATCAAGGAACGTGCGTAGTATGCTGTATCGGGCCTGCATATGCGCCTGGCCCCATTTCTGAGTCTTGGGATCCCAGAATTCCAATGCAACCAGACCCGCGCGAGCCATCTGGAGATATGCGGTGAACAGGACATCACCCGCCTCACCAGCCATGTCCTGGGTGCCATCACCGAAACCAAAGATCTTCAGGATGCCGAAATCACAGCCGAGAGCCATAGCCACACACTCAGCGCGACACTCTTCGTACGAAGAGGCAATCGCGCCAAAGACGGAGCTCCACGTCTGACCCGGTTTGTACCAGGTCGAGACCGGCTTGCCTGTCACGGGGCTGATCGGGGGGTTGGCAATATCAAAGTTGTATTGTCCGGGAGCCGTTTCTTGCAACAGTTTTCCCGTACCATGACCCAGAAGCTCATGGATGCCGACCTGCACTTCAAAAGCCGGATCGCGGCAGCGACGGTACACATCCAGATCCTTCTCGGCAATGAAAGGGATTGGCTCATCGGGAGCTTTTGCGCTGAGAACATTGCCCAGGGACACGTTCTTGAATCCCAGGTTCTGCCGGATGTCATCGTAATTGGGCAGGTTGATACCCGCTGGCAGACCGGAGCATGCAAAGCTCAGAACTTCGAGCGACGTGAAATCCGGACTGAGGAATTTGTCCTTTTCGAACTCCTTGCCCCAAGGCAGTTTGGGAATCATGCTTTCCGCACTGTCCACCAGCGTGCCAAACGCCCGCGTTCGTTCCATATTGACCTATTGGCGAGTGAGCGATTACTGCGCATGAACAAGTTTGACACACATACCAGAGCGACAAAGCCTTCCCATTCTCCACGGACACCGTGCGGATCGCGATAGGTCTCCACGAATCCCAGATTCGTCTCCAGGGCCGGTTTCTGATCCTTCACCCAGATCCGCTGACTCTCCTTGAACGCCTCGATCGACCCGGTACCAAAGGTCTGGGCATACGCATCGAGCATTCTCTTTGATTCTCGTTGGCGGCGTTGAGCTCTGCCTGCTTGATGCAGTGAGCGACCTTGGCCATTTCTTCCTGGTGGTCTCCAAAGACCAGGCGCAGCGTCTTCCCCTTAAGCTCGCCATCGAGCTCAAACGTATCTTCTGGAAGGTCTCGGTGGTTCGCCCTTGGGTGTGAAACACCGGACGCGATCAACAGTTCAAAGTCGCCTGACGCAGTCTTCCGCAGCCTGGTGTTCTCGAGAGCTAGCCCCTTCTTCTCCATCAAATCTCCAATCGCCGTGATCTCTTCTTTCAAGATTGAGGGCGAATCGGGATAGTAGGTGGTCATGTGGCCGCTCCGCGGATATCCCAGGTGCATCATTGACTGCTCGCTCGTCTCGTATATGCCGCCACCGGTGCTGTTTGCCTTGTGGAAGGCAGCCCTTGTTTCAGGTGTAGCGGAAGCTAGAGCTTCAAAAGCGGATGGCGGCAAGCGGGGGATGAATTTAGAGTCCCCGAATCCCTTGTAGTTGCCGCAATTCCCTAGGAATTGGGCCGCATATTCGAGGAAGAAGCGGAGATGTTCTTCGCTAACGTTGGTTTTCTGCACTAGGCTGTTCCAGTCGCCATTACAGGCGCGGTAGAGCGCAAGGATGAGGTCGTAGATCGGCTCCGACTCGGGAGAGACCTGGCGCAAAGTGACTCGCGTGCCTTCGAATGCGGCGCTGTATGATCACAGCTAGTTAGCTCATGAACTGAAGCTGCAGGAGACCAGAAAGGGCACTTACCGGCTCATGTAGTGCGCGTATTTCCTGAGGCTCGGATCTTGCAGCGCCTCAAAGTGTGGCTTGATCTCCAGCCGGACCACCGTCGGCGGCGAATCCGCCAGGTAATGCTGCTTGATGTTATCATCCATGGTTGTTGCGAAGAGGCGGGACGAAAGTCGAGGAATGCAAAAACGAGACGAAAGCGATAGAAGTGATGAGCCCCGGGTCAAGCGGCGCAGGGACATGAGGGGAAATGTGAGGTGTATGACATAGACGAGAACGGAGGTACCGCAAGGTCACAGCCCACCCTGTGGACTGTGCACCGATACCTGTGGGTACATACCTCCGACCAAGCCAGTTTCAATTTCATTTTTGTTCTGTCCATTATTTTATGTACAACTAGCGAAATGGTGAGAGAGAGACTAATTACAATGGAAAATGCAAATTCACAGCAGACTTTCGTACTTTGCTAACCCTTGCTTCGGTTGCTGTGGTGGTGGTTGCGGAGGAGGATTGATGTTGTGACTGGGAAATGCGCTCGAGGCCATGTTTTGTCCCGCTGGTGGAGATCTCAGAGCAGTATTGCTGCCCATGCTTCCGGATAGCGGAGAGGGAACGGAGAACGCAGAGTAATTGGGCCTCTGCTGCGACATGGTGGAGGTCATCGTGGACAAAGATGACAAGGGCGCACCAGATCTGCTTCCCTGAGCTTGGTGGTGACTAGAGCTAGGCGTGTCCCAGATCGATGCCGAGGACTGCCCGGCCGTACCTTGCATTGAGGGGAAGGCCGAAGCCATGGGTGAGCCTTGTCGGGCCGTGGGCTCAAGCGACGGGAAAGAGCTCAGTTTCTGATCGGGCGTGATGGAGCGGAAGCCAGAGCTAGCTTGCTGATTATTGGTCTGCCACGAGAACGAGGGCGACAGACTGGGACGCGACGATTTGGCCGGCTCCGGTTCCATGCTGCCCCAGATATCCATCTTGTCCTGGCCGTTCGAAGGTGCAGCAGCGCCCTTGCCCAGAACAAGACGTTCAAAGTGGTTCCGGGCATTGTCCACATCACCCGAAGTAAGATCAGTGGCGGATTGGGAGAAACTGTCGCCGCCATTCTGGAAACCGGTTGAATCGCCACCAGAGGAAAGTTCCTGTAGCTTTCGGGTCTGTTCCTTCTCGATCTTGGAAGAGATGGTCCTGATCAAGGCCATGAATTCATTGAATTGTTGGAGGTTCAGCAGCGGGCCCAGGCTGAAGCTCCAGAGGATAGGCAATACCTCGAGAGCGAGAAAATCTGTATCTGCGACGGTACCCACTTGGCGAAACACCTTCAAGGCGGCCATCATCACCCCAGGCTCTTTGGTCTTGATTGCCTTGAGGGATGGGACCAGTTTTTCTTGAATGGTGTACTTGTCCAGAATGGACGTCTTGACCGATTTCGATTTATTGGTCGGGACGGTGCCGGTCAGATCGTCATCCCATCCGTCGGAGTCCTCGACGGAGCCTCCACAGAGGACATTAAAAGCTTCTAAGCTGCGAACTTTGATGGCAAGACTGCTGGTGCGACTGAAGGTACTAGCGATAGGAGGGAACACTTCGTTCTTCACGGTGCTAAAGTCAAGAACAGGGAGCACCACCGGCAGACATTTGATAGATGCATCCACGAGGGAGTGTGTTGGCGAGTCCAGTCCAAGTCGCATCAGAGGTAAAACGTCTACACCAGAATTAGCCGCGCATCCAGAGCTTGTGGGAAGTCAACCAACCTTCTTTGAACTCCATTCCGGAACAGTTGTCCGCAATGAGTTTCATGTTTTCCAACACAACCATCAGGCCCGCATCCTTCTTAGAGTCCCGTTCCACTGGTCCTTTGGCCGAGCCCGTCCCGAATACCTCCTTCAGACGAGGAATGACTTTCTCGGGGAAAGCGCGGCGACCATTGGGGATTTTTGAAAGAACCCCAAATACGTTTTGTAACAAAAGAGGTAGAAGCTCCCGATCTTTCATCTCGTCGAGAAGCGCACCGAGCAGCTTCCGTTCCAACACAGAAGGGGGAAAGTCAGGAAGGACGCGCTGCAGACCACGCAAGAATTGAGTTTTCTCATTCTGGTTTTTGGTAGGCAGTGATTCCAAGAACCGAATCGTGGATACTAGGACATTGTCAAAGTATTGGGATTGCTGAAATTCTCGCGCATTCATGCGTTGGGCCGCTCTTCTGGTAATCAGCCGCGGCAGGACATGCGACAAGACATCTTTCGGGATCGGTTTGGAAGAGAGAAAGTTGTTCCCCTGCGACGGAGTTGTTGATGGGGAGCTGAGCAGCTTCTTGTAGGTGGTCAAGTTCCCATGGGTTTGCAGTGGTGACACATGCGGGGAATTGTAGAGCGAGATGATGATGAGACCCAGGGAGAAAAGATCAGCAGATGAAGACACATTTGAATCCAGAGCAAAGTCGGGCGAGGTATAGTCGAGATTCAGCTGGACTGAAGGCGGCAGCCGTGGGTCCTGGTAGAGAACCTCGGACACGGCCAGCGGAGGAAGCGATGTTCGAGTCTCCGAGGAATCGGGAGGCCCAGCAAACCCCAGACCGGAGATTTTCCAGTCGGACTTGGAATTGATATAGATGGCGTCCGGGTTGAGGTTGCCATGCACCAGCCCGGCCGACTCGTGGAGAAACTCAAGACCCTTGGCGACTTGCAACAGGCCCTTTTGGATTTCAAGTTCGTCAATCTCAAAATCCTTCCTTCGACGGCTGCCGTCGGGCTCTTGGACCATATATCGGCTGCCTCTCGAGCCGCCGGCGGCATTATCCTGACCATTTTGCTCCAGCAGCAGGCCGGACAGAGACGCAGTGAGGGGCTCTGTTGCAAACATCAGGCCGCCACTGCGGGTCTCCTCGACCGGCTCGAGAACCTGCAGGATGGACGGGTGCCTGAGCCGGGCGAGGTTGCTAGCTTCGCGCTTCAGCCGGTCGATGACATCTTCCTGTAGCTTCTTGTTGGCGGAGCCAGAACGGCCGCCGAAGCCACCGGACCGCGATTCGAGAGTTTTGCGGTCAAAGATGAAGATGGACGCTGCGGTGCCGGTGGACTTTTTCGTGCCATCATGGATTCTCCAGGGGCCCGAGTACACGGTGGGGTGGGGAGCAATCTGATAGTTGGCGGTGATGTTGGAGCTCAGCGACTTGAGTGCTGACGAGAACATCTTGACTGGCGCGAGCCAAGGCAATCATTCCAGAGGAAAGGGCTGGCGATGGGATCGTCTCACAGTGTCGTCACAGCACGAACTCGATGCATTTCACCACGGTGGCTTGAAGATCAGGGTCGCCCCAACAATGACTGGATCAATTGAATCTCGGGAGAGATCCCACGCGTTTCTATCAGGGACAGATGTGCCGACCACAAATTCGCATGATCCGGGGGGCCAGAGCGAGATCAGCCTCAGCTTTTGTTTTCTTGATCCACCATTCTTTGCTTAATCGGAGGGATGCACTGATCGCCCGACCGAGGTCACATGATCCGGATGACTGGCCATTCAAGCTGCCACAGATCACAGGTGGTTTTTCGTACGATGGCAGGAATCGAGGAGAGTACCCGACTGGCAATCGCACAGCTGCTTACCTCCATGAATGAACCATCCTAATTAGCAGTCACTGTCTATATAGTTCGAGTGGTAATCCGAAGTCGGTCCCATCTGCCCTCGCTGATTGGCCACCCACTCGGTCTAGGCGGTGAAGCCAAACTGCCCCGGAAGATCGGAGTTGGTGCCGCAGCTCCGGTCGATTTTACGATTGTCACTCAGTCACGCAAAGAGTCATACTGCATTTGTTGTTGACTTACTTCAGTCAGTTCCTTCCCTCCCTCCCTCCTTCCCCATTCAATCGATATCAAACCCCCCGGTTTTCGATCTCGCTACGTTGGTCTCTCTATCTGTGGTCACTGACACTTCTCCTCCACAGCCATGAAGTCGCTTCACCAATTGGCTCGCCGCAAGGCCCTCGCTGGACTTGCTGGCCCACGAATTGTGCCTGCGCAGACGGTCTCAACCCGGCTATGGCAGCGAAGCTTTACTGCGACCGCCGTGGCAGCCTCTCAGCAACTCCCCGGTCTGGACGCCTCCAAGCTGACCGTCACCAAGACGAGCACCCCCAAGGAGCTCCAGAAGCCCCAGGATCTGGTGTTTGGGAAGACATTCACGGGTAAGAACGAGAAAATATTTCCGTTGATTCTATGTGCTGATGGCTGATTCCCCCTTCCAAACAGACCATATGCTCACTGTGGAGTGGACGGCTAGCGACGGATGGCACGCGCCTCGCATTATCCCCTATCAGAACCTCAGCCTGGACCCGTCCACATGCGTCTTCCACTATGCGTTTGAATGTTTTGAGGGCATGAAGGCGTACAAGGATAAGAATGGTGGCATCCGTCTGTTCCGTCCGAACAAGAACATGGAACGGCTGAACAAGTCGTCCTCGCGCATTGCTCTGCCTACCGTGGACGGCGAGGCTCTAACCAAATTGATCGGGGATTTTGTGAAGCTGGATAGTCGATTTATCCCAGAGTAAGTGTGGTTCGTGACATGAGGGAAATAGACGCTGACTTTGATAGTGGTCGCGGATATTCCTTGTACCTGAGACCGACGATGATTGGGACCCAGAAGACATTGGGAGTTGGCCCACCGGGCTCGGCACTTCTGTTTGTCATCGCTAGCCCCGTGGGGCCCTACTACCCGACTGGTTTCAAGGCCATCTCGCTGGAGGCGACCGACTACGCCGTCCGCGCGTGGCCGGGTGGTGTCGGCGACAAGAAGCTTGGTGCCAACTATGCACCGTGCATTAAGCCCCAGCTCGAAGCCGCATCGCGTGGCTTCCAGCAGAACCTGTGGCTCTTTGGCGAGGAGGAATACGTGACCGAGGTCGGAACCATGAACCTCTTTATCGCATTGAAGAACAAGGAGACCGGACAGAAGGAGCTGATCACGGCTCCTCTGGACGGCACCATCTTGGAAGGTGTTACCCGGGACTCCGTGCTGGCACTTGCCCGGGAGAGATTGGAGCCCAAGGGCTGGGCGATTTCGGAGCGCAAGATCCGTATGTCGGAGGTTGCCGAGGCCGCCCAGGAGGGTAGAATGATTGAGGTCTTTGGTGCTGGTACCGCGGCCATTGTCAGCCCCGTTCGGAACATTAGCTACCGGGGCAAGCTGGTGGACTGCGGGTTGAAGGAGAACGAGGAAGCCGGTGAGATTGCGCTTCAAATGAAGAACTGGATCGAGGGAATCCAGTATGGTGATGAGAAGCACCCCTGGAGGTAAGCTGCCCTTGAAGTCGTCTTAAGATTTTCATTAACTAACCGTTCGACAGCTATGTGATCTAAATGGCTATAAAGGCGTAGGGTCTACTTGGAACCAACCAAAGGTTCCGATTGGTCATATATTGGCATCTCATCATTGAACATGCTGTTTTCTACTTATTGTTTGTGCCTAGAATTTACTTTCTATTTGAGGAGCATCGCAAGAGCGAGTTTCAGGTTTATATCCTGCCCCAAGAGATTTACAGTCTAGAACGACAATGAACAGTTCATTACTTCATTACTTTGCAGCCTATCTCCGAGACAACAGTCGCAGGTAGCGGAGCGGTATGGGCGCTAAAAGTCTCGTTGATACCCAATTCCCAATCCTTCGAAACAATATGGCAACCACCAGTTGTATTTTCTAAGTAGGCGATATTCCTCCCTAGGCAGCCTCTTCCCCCTTGTGAAAACTCCAGAAATGCCCGTTGCAACAAGCTCCCGCCTGGCGGGAGCCAGCGCTCTGGCACATTCTCCTCTGGATCCTCATGGAAATTGACCGGATCCCGACGAACTGTGCGTCGAAACGGAAATAGTTTGTATAATACAATAAGCTATCCCTATAACGTTCATCATTCCCCACTTGCTCGACCGAAAATAAATCGACGTTCAACTTTCCCTACCTAAACTCAGCATGTTCCGGGTCCTTCTCTGTCTTTGAATTAGAAGGGGCCTCGTGTGCCTCAACATCACCCATTGACAGCGCCAATCCAGACTTCTTGAGAGCTTTGGCCTCATTGACTGCCATGCGCGCTCTGGGAACCACGTTCCATTGGATAGCCTTCTGCCAGAAGTGTTGGTTGGCCTCGATTTCCCGGTCTCGCTCTGGATTTGACAGAAACAGCAGATCCACAGACTCCAGGTTGAGATACGATGTCTCTGGATAGAAACAGTACACGATAAAGGCGGCAACGAGATTGAAGACGGCAAAGATGATGTAAGTTTTGTAGCCAATGTTTTGAAGTGCCGGTGGCGTAATCTCGACAACCTGAAAGTGGTCATTAGATTAGAAATAGTGTCTGACTAGGGACAAAGAGACTTACAACAAAGTTTCCTAGGAAGTCTGCCGCTGCAGCCAAAGCAGCGCCCTTGGCCCGGATCTTCAGTGGGAGAATCTCAGCGGGGTATACCCACACGGTTGCCATCCAACCTGTCGGGGAAATCAGCGCGAGTTCAACTAGAGACGCAAAACAGAAGCTTACCCCATGTGAAGCAGCCCTCAAATGCAAACACAAAGAAGACCGCTGCAATGCCTGCTGCGGTGCCTCCAATGGCCACGGTGATAGCTTCACATACTAAGACCACACACATTCCAAGTGCCATGGTAATGAAAAGGCGCCGGCGGCCCACTGCATCAATCATGTACCACTATCGCGAGTTAGGTGACCGTCAAAAACAACAATAGTAGAACTCATACCGTGAGAAACGAGGCGAGAATATACCACACTTGAAGAAAGCAGCCGAGAAACAAAGATCTCTCCTGCGGCAGATTAGTATGCTGACGCTCCATGGAGGGCATTTCAACATACCTGTGAGAAGCCCAAGTTCTGTTCAAACAAGGTCGGAGCATAGTAGGTAATAATATTGATGCCTGGAACCAATAGATCAGAGATGAGTTTGTCAAGTAGAGCATGAAGCAGACTGTACCAGATGTCTGCTGCATGAACTGGATGCCGAGTGCGAGAAAAAATCGTTTGTTGGCAGCGCATCCCCCATCCGAGATAAGCGCTTTCCAGCCGCTCTCCTCATTGGCCTCAATGTTGATCGCTGTGAGAATTTCGTCTCTTTCTTTGAGCACTAGCGGATCGTCCACAGGCTTGTTACGCAGTTTGGATATCACCAGTGTTCCGCGGTCAGGAGAGCTCTCGTGGTACAGGAGCCAACGAGGGGTGTCCGGTAAAAAGGGTGTAATGACGAGGATATAGATAGCAAAAACAGCCTGGAACACCAATGGGAACCGCCATTGAATTTGACCAGGATGAAAGTAGAACCCATAGTTGATCCAGTATGCCTATACGCTTGATTAGCTCCGCTTAGGTCAAGAAACAGCACGAATACACACCAGCATTAGTCCAAACAGCATGGTGGTGAGCTGGCAGCACAGATGCCAACCACGCTGGCTGGGCAAACAGATCTCACTTTGGTAGACCGGAGCCACAGAGGTCAAATATCCAATCCCTAAATTTGGTCAACAGATAAAGGTTGCAAAGAATCGAAAAACCTACCGAGTCCGGTGAAGACTCTGCCCACCATCATCAATATTCGCTCCACGCAGGCGCCCATCAAAGCAGTACCAATAATGATCAGGCACGCGCCAACCATCAACCCGCGCTTTCGTCCAAGACTTTCGGCCGTAAATGCAGCAAAGATGGCACCAAACACGGCGCCGACATCGTAAAGGGCGGTGATCGTGCCAGTCATGACAGTACTAGGGTGACCCATCTCGGTCAGCCAGTACTTGGAGACAACAACACCAGACATGACTCCCTGGTCATATCCGAATAGCAAAAGAGCCGAGGAGCACACAGTCGTGATAGCCACGACCAGAGACGGGCCTCGGAGCGCATCGAGTCCCGTACGGTCGATCATAGTGACCTATTCCGAGTCGTTTCTAGGAGTTGTAGAGTGAAATCGGATTCAGGGGACCCTCCGTCAACCGACGACATCATTATATACTATGTTGGCGCGGCCCATTAGCGCGGCCCAGAAATCCCGAAGCGTGGGGGCACTATTTACCGGCCGGAGAATGCGGGGGAAGCGAAGGTGGAGAGCGAAGAGATCGCAGTCAATTGTTACCTAAAGGGTCGCTCGGTCGCTCCTGAATAACGCGCTGGTGGATGGGATCGCCATTGCGTTTTACCTGTTCTCCGAACAAATTCCCGAGCCGGACGCGCGTTTCTTCGTTAGGCCGCAAGTCCAGGACGGACTTGGTCCGAGGGATTTAGGGTTGGGCCATCCCGCTTGCGCCGAAACAAGGAACATCAGGCTAAAGCTTGATCATACGGTGTGTATCCCCCAAATTATGTAGATCAGTCTCCGCATACAATTTTCACTTGCCCGCTGGTTTGCGACGCTCGACCATCTTACCAAGGGCCGGTGAAGGGGAGTGTGATTACCAGTTACCCAGAGAGCGTAGCAAGGAAGTTTGGACTAGAGACTCAAATTCCTCACGCAGTGCAGTACCAGAAGGCAGAGGAATCTTAATATCACATCCAAGCTATGGGAGCCGTCGTGGCGAGATAATGCTGGGGAACTGATTCGAGTTTGGTTCATAAGAATTCAAGAGATCACATTGAGGGATATCACAACTATAGACTATACAGAACAGATCCGTCTGCTCATTCCACCTTGGCCGTAGAGCCAGGTGTGGAGAGCACAGGATCTTCTGGCCGGGCATCGGCTTCCGACCCACTCGAATTCCACACTGTCGATTCCTCGTCAGGCTCATCTGGCAGAAACAGATTGAGAATCACGCCGAGGAGCGCAGTAATGGCAAACCCGTTTTCCATAACGAGCTCTACAGCTTGGAGCAAGCCCTGCAGCGCGTGGTTGTCCCCCGAATAGGTAAAGAAGTTGCTGAACCAGTTGGGGACCAGCGTGGCGGCCATGCCAAGAGAGAACGACGCAGTTAGCACGAAACGGTTGCGCCGTGTGAAGTCGATGGTGGCTATCACGCGGATACCAGAGACGGCCACGGAGGAAAACAGGAAGGTGGTCATGCCGCCCAGTACCGCACTAGGGATGGCGACCAGCGCCGCGGCGAATTTGGAGAAGATGCCCATGATGACCAGGAACATGCAGCAGGAATACCCCGCTGAGCGGTTCGCGCATTTGGTTAGCGCGATGACACCGTTATTCTGAGCGAAGACGCTCATGGGCGATATGGTCATCAGGCCCGCCAGCAGACAGGTCACGCCATTGCCCAACACGCCACCCTGGATGCGCGAGTCGAACATGGGCCCATTGACTTCCAGCCGGGATACATCGCAGGTGGCGGTGATATCGCCAATGGACTCCATCATCACCACGATGTACAAAGCCAGTAGCGGCAGGATGAGCGGCGGATAGATGGTCAACGGGAACGTATGAACCCAGGGGAAAGAAGCGACCGGGGCCTCCGCAATACCGGACGACTCGAAATAGTTGCACCCCGCCGCGACGATCGAGCCGACTAGCAGACCTACGATCACGGCGCAGGACCGCATAATGGGCGGTCCGAATCGCTCAGCAATGATAATGGTCACATAGACCAAAAATCCGAGCCCCACGAACTGCGCACTACCCCAGGGAAGAGCATGCGGTGCGGTGGCATCGGGACACATGGCACCGATACAGCTGCTTCCGCCGACCCAATCCTGGATGCCGGATTTGATCAAGCTGGCTCCGATGAGGAAGACCACGGGACCGGTGACCAAGGGCGGGAAGAGCATCCTCAGCACCCGTTTGCTCATGAAGGACAGTCCGATTTCCAGCAAGCTGCACAGGCAGGCGGTTCCCAAAAGCGCCCCGTATCCCTCTGGGCAAGGGAGCTGGGCTCCGTTCGCGTCCGTGGGACAATAGCCCGAGTCATACATCTGTGTAAAGGTGGAGGTCGCGACGGTGATGGTTGCAAACGATGTGCCCACCACCGAGAGCAGACCCGTGCCCACGTAGTATTTCGTTTTGTAGATGTGGAAGCGCGTCATCTGGATCGCGGACAGCAGCCCCGATACGATCAGCGACGAGGAGACGAGATATTGCGATAGATCTGAGCCGAAGTGGGCCGCAGCGGAGAGAATGATGGGCGGTGCAATAACTATATGGAGTCAGACGTCGTCCGGAGTCTCTGCGATGTATTCGCACTCACCTCCGGCCAACATGGCCAACGCGTGCTGGAGACCCAGCAGGAGCACGAGCAGAAAGGGCACGCGATCCTCCAGTCCGAAGAAGGGCGCGGCCCTGCGAGGCTGGTCCTTCTTGAAGGGCATCTTGGGGATGAACAGACGGGCATAGTCATAATCCCCGATCAAGCCGTCCCTGCGAAGAGTGAGTCAATCATCGCATGCGGCGGGGGCACTGGGAAATTTTACCGCGTGGTGAAGTACTTGACGGCGCGGCGGGCCTTGTCGCTCACCGTCCGCTTGGGCGAGAGATCCGGGCCGATCTGATCAGGGCCATCCATGGTTGTTGCTGAGGCTGATATCCAGTAACCAAAAAAAAACAGCGGTCGCACCCTGGACCTTATATAGGATCTTTTTGGAAATACGGAGCGAGAACCACGTCCGGGGCCGGAACCTGTGGGGAACGCGAGCTCGCGATCAGATCCCTGATTTGTCCAATGGCGGCTTGGGTTATCGCGGCATTAGCAAGCCCTTTCACCAAATTCTCCTTATCGCAGGTACCCGGTACTTCCCCACCCCCGCCCAATCACCCGCGGCGGTCAAGTACCTAGTACCCACCCGCAGGGCCGCTTATCAACTGGCCGTTGAGATAACCAGATAGTTGGCGCGTGTCTGGCCAGCGACACGAAGAATGCTCAAAAAATCGGTTATCTAGGGGCTCTGTGAAGCTCAGAAAAGATAGTCGGAGCCTGCCGTGCAGATGGAGGACTCCGAGTGTCCTATATTCAACATCGGATAGAGCTGCCAGGTCCAGGCAAGCTCAGCGGCTGCCAAGTTGCTTGCCAGCCACATCCGCTCCTCACGTCGCAGCATCAGCATCAGCATCAGCATCCGCCCGTCTCTCGCCGATGGGATGCGATTGCTTTTCGTCTGGCAACATCATTTCGAAACATGTGTTCATGCGATGAGAGGAGGGCTTGCCACTGGATGGTGGTGACATAGCATGATCGGCCTCATGTTGTCAGAGTCCCGGGGAAGGTGGTGGTCGGACCTTGCGTCCGGAGTGAATTCACGCTTCTCGAATGGCCGTCCACCTGTACATGACTTCATTGCAGTCCTCCGGGGCCGAGGCTGGTCGATCGCGCGCGGGATCACGTGAGTGGGAGCTGCACCCGTCCAACACATTGCTCTCCAGCGGGTCCGTTCATAGAGTGTGATTCATATAGTATATCTTGAATCGTGGCAGCAAATGCAATAGTACCAACGCATAGCATAGCATAGCATATCATATCGTACCTACAACCGAGCCCATGCCCCCCGTCCATCCTGACCTCCGTCTGTTCCTGCTCCTCCCGACTCTCGCCACACCTAATTTTCGTCGGCCTCAGGCATCCCACGCCTGATTGGCTGCCCGTCACGTGCCCCTGAAAACGTTGAGCCAGGCGTTGGGGCAGACTTGCCACTGGGAGCGAACGAACTAAACGAATTCTTCCTTGGGCCGAGGAACAATCTTGTGATTCTTTCCAATGCTTTCCGGCCGCGCCTCCTGATTCGCCTGCTTCCCTCCTGTCGCCCTGTTTTGATTCTTCCTCGTCCTCGTCCTTTACGTCCCCCCAAAGCGGCCCGGGTCCACTTTTGCCTCTCCCCCAACGTTGAGTGGAGCCATATAAAATATCTCTCCCCCAGCACCCTTTCCTTCCTCACTCATCCCTCTCACACATCATGTCGACCAAACCTGAGACATCACGCCCACGGGCGCCAGACACCAAGAAGGTGCACATTGCCGATACGGCAATCACCTCGAAGAACTGGCACAAGCATGTCAACTGGCTGAACGTCGCCTTCATCATCGGCATCCCGGTGTATGGCTGCATCCAGGCCCTCTGGGTGCCACTGCAGTTCAAGACCGCCATCTGGGCCGTCACCTATTACTTCTTCACTGGAATGGGCATCACTGCGGGTAAGTTCCTTTCTTTTTAGCCATGGTGAGAAAGACAATGATACTGACTCAATGGTCATAGGATACCACCGTCTGTGGGCTCACTGCTCCTACTCGGCCACTCTGCCCCTTCGCATCTGGCTGGCTCTCGTCGGCGGTGGTGCCGTGGAGGGCTCCATTCGCTGGTGGGCTCGCGACCATCGCGCCCACCACCGGTACACCGACACCGATAAGGACCCGTACTCTGTTCGCAAGGGTCTCTTGTACTCGCACCTGGGCTGGATGGTTATGAAGCAGAACCCCAAGCGCATTGGCCGCACCGACATCTCCGACCTGAACGAGGACCCCGTCGTGGTCTGGCAGCACCGCAACTACATCAAGGTCGTGCTCACCATGGGTCTCGTCGTTCCCATGCTGGTGGCTGGCCTTGGCTGGGGTGACTGGCTGGGCGGCTTTGTCTACGCCGGTATCCTGCGTATCTTCTTCGTGCAACAGGCCACCTTCTGCGTCAACTCGCTGGCCCACTGGCTCGGTGACCAGCCCTTCGACGACCGCAACTCGCCCCGTGACCACGTCATCACCGCTCTGGTCACTCTGGGTGAGGGCTACCACAACTTCCACCACGAGTTCCCTTCGGACTACCGCAACGCGATCGAGTGGCACCAGTACGACCCCACCAAGTGGTCCATCTGGACTTGGAAGCAGCTGGGTCTGGCCTTTGACCTCAAGCAGTTCCGCGCCAACGAGATCGAGAAGGGCCGCGTGCAGCAGCAGCAGAAGAAGATTGACCAGAAGCGCGCCAAGCTGGACTGGGGTGTGCCCCTGGACCAGCTGCCCGTCTTGGAGTGGGACGACTATGTGGAGCAGGCCAAGAACGGCCGGGGGCTGATTGCCGTCGCCGGTGTGGTGCACGACGTGACCGACTTCATCAAGGATCACCCCGGCGGCAAGGCCATGATCGGCTCCGGCATTGGCAAGGACGCCACGGCCATGTTCAACGGCGGTGTGTACTATCACTCCAACGCTGCCCACAACCTTCTCTCGACCATGCGCGTGGGTGTCATCCGCGGCGGTAGCGAGGTGGAGATCTGGAAGCGGGCCCAGAAGGAGAACTCGGAGTATGTGCGCGACGAGGCCGGTCAGCGGGTGATCCGCGCCGGGATGCAACCGACCAAGATCCCTGAGCCGATCCCGACGGCGGACGCGGCTTAAATCTGATGATATCAATATTCCTTTCGCTCTTTTGCATGCTCGGTCCGGTCGGCGTTGAGGGTTGAATTTTTCCGTTTCATTTTGTACGCTGGGAAAAGAAAGCGGCTGTTGTGGTTGTGATTCACTGTCCACAAAACATAGATAATCATATTATGAATTCGATACGACCTGTATTCTTTTGTTGTCAGTCTGTCCCTCAAAATCTGTAGTCCAGTAGCCGTTGTAGTTAGTCAGTTCGACTTGGAAACAGGGGCTGATGTTGTTCTGTGAGCTCGGTGCAACATCACGTGTTCCCTCCCCGCCGTTATTTATTGCCCAAACAATCTAGTCTCACCGCTCGCCAGTGCCTCGACCTCCACCACTACTACACCTAGTAACGACCTCTTCTCCTACCTCAATCGGATATCAATTCCGCCCACCATTGCCTCCTTCACCGCCTCCCCCCGCCGCTTACTCCCTCATCTGCTTGTCATCCTGGTGGCCGTCCTCCTCGCTACCACCGTGGCGCCCCTTCTCCGCTTCCCCGCTGCCCGCCTATCCTCTGTGCTGGGCCACTTGCATCCCTTCCGACCAACAACAACTCCTTGGCACCGCTTCCTGACCACCTCCAGCATGGCACCCGCTCACCTTCGGAAGCCGCCGCAAGCCCCGCCTGTGTTTACGGCGACGGCCCAATCCATCGTCGCTGACGCCGAGCGTCTGATTAGTACTTCCCGCGGGATCCAGGATAAGGTCGTTGCGGAAGTGAAACCCGATAGCGCCACGTTTGACAATGTTCTTTCTCCGCTCACTCAGGATGAGAATGTTATGGCGCTAGAGGCGCATATTCTGGGATTCTACCAGGCGGTTTCGACGGACCAGAAGCTCCGCGATGCTTCCTCCAAGGCGGAAGAGCTGATGGATGAGTTCTTCATTGAGTCGGTCATGCGGGAGGATGTGTTTGGGTTGGTTGATGCCGTCCTCAAGCGCAATGAGTCTCTCGACCCGGAGTCGCGCCGTCTGCTGGAGAAGGAGCACAAGGACTTTGTTCGCAACGGGCTGGGTCTGCCCGCGGGCCCGCAGCGGGACCGCTTCAAGGAGATCAAGAAGCGACTGAGCCAGCTGAGCATCGAGTTCCAAAAGAACCTGAATGAAGAGAACGGCGGGCTTTGGTTCACCCCCGAGCAGCTGGACGGTGTGCCCGATGACGTCCTATCCGGTCTGAAGAAGGGCGATGGGGAGAATGAGGGCAAGCTCTGGCTGACCTTCAAGTACCCGGACCTGTTCCCCACGATGAAATATGCCACCAACTCCGACGTCCGGCGACAGGTCATGGTCGCCAACGAGAACAAGTGCAACCAAAATGTGCCGCTCTTCCGGGAAGCCATTGTGCTCCGGGACGAGGCCGCCCGTCTGCTGGGCTACCCGAACCATGCTGCTTTCCGTATCGAAGACAAGATGGCCAAGACCCCGGAGACGGTCAATACGTTCCTGGGTGATCTGCGGACCCGCCTGACAGCCGGTGGGCGGCAGGAGCTCGAAAAGCTGATGGAGCTGAAGAAAGAGCTCGACCCCAAGTTCGATGGCCGCTACTACTTGTGGGACCACCGGTTCTATGATCGGTTGATGCTGGAGCGGGACTACCAGCTGGACCAGCAGCTCATTGCCGAGTATTTCCCGTTGTCGACCACCATCGAGGGGATGCTCAAGATCTTTGAAGAGCTTTTCGGTCTCGAGTTTGTGGAGATCACGGGCGATGACCGCGCTGCGGTGGCTCCGACTGGCAAGGGCGACGACATTGTCTGGCACGAAGATGTGCAGGTGTTCAGTGTGTGGAACGATGAGGGTGAAGGCAGTGGCTTTGTCGGCTATCTGTATCTGGATCTGTTCCCGCGGGAGGGCAAGTATGGCCACGCCGCCAACTTCAACCTGCAGCCGGTATGTCCTTTTCTCTTTATCTGATCGTTCATAAACTAAGCTGCTTGCAGGGATTCCTCGACAAAGACGGTAACCGCCGGTACCCAGCGACCGCGCTAGTGTGCAACTTCACCAAGCCAACACCCAAGAAGCCGAGTCTGCTGAAGCACGACGAAGTGGTCACCCTGTTCCATGAGTTGGGGCATGGCATCCACGACCTGGTGTCGCGGACGACGTACTCGCGGTTCCACGGGACCAACACGGTGCGCGACTTCGTCGAGGCGCCTAGCCAGATGCTGGAGAACTGGTGCTGGACGCCGTCCCAGCTGCGGGCGCTGAGTCGACACTACTCGACGCTGACCCCGGAGTATCTGGCCGGATGGACCGAAGCACAGCAGGCCCGCAGCGGCGGCAAGACTGCCACCGGCCCCCCACCCGAGCGCATCCCGGACGATGTGATTGCGAACCTCATTCGCACCAAGCATGTCAACGACGCTCTGTTCAACCTCCGCCAGCTGCATTTCGGAATCTTCGACATGACGGTGCACGAGCCGTCGAGCCATGCCGAGATTGAGGGTCTGCCGCTGTCGGCGACGTACAACAAGCTGCGCCACGAGATCACGCAGATGGACGGGCCCGAGGCGCTGGGTGGAGGCGATGAATGGGGTCACGGCGAGGCGACCTTTGGGCACTTGATCGGCGGGTACGATGCGGGCTACTACGGGTATCTCAGCTCGCAGGTGTACTCGACGGACATGTTCTACACGGTGTTCAAGGCCAACCCGATGGATCCCCAGGCTGGTCGGCGCTACCGGTACCAGGTGCTGGAGAAGGGTGGCAGCCAGGATGAGATGCAAACGCTGACGGAATTCCTGGGTCGGGAGCCGCAGACCACGGCCTTCTACCAGGATCTAGGACTAGCCTAGCTAATCTATCCGTGGCGTCAGATTTCCCTCGATGGTCTGTCTCTGCGCCCCACTCCAGGCCCATCCACCACTGTACCCGAGTCAGATTACCTTGTTAACTACCACAATAACTATTTGAAATCATACTTCCCTTCGCCAGTGGCCCCCACCCCTGTGTCCACCGCGATCCGTGTGGGTATCTGTATGCCCTGAAATAGCCCCGGGATTCATCCTCTACCATATGACTCATTCCCAGATGATAAGTTCTGATCATTCATGAATCCGCCGGAATCCCCTAACGCGTGTGAACGTACAATTGCCCACCCTTTTCATCCGCACCCTCGACCCAGCGGACGTCAACACCATGGCACCAACATGGCAAGCCATCCGTCTCCTCCACGGAGTCCGAGCCATAGTGGGCGGTCAAGGTCCCCCGTTGGTGCTCATTCCAGGCTGGCCACAAACCGCAGAGGCGTTTAGCGATCTCTTCGAGCCTCTGTCCAAACATTATCAGTTTCTCGCGCTCGACCCCCGGGCCTGGGTGATTCGCTTCCGCCCCTCAATGGCTACGATACTGCGAACGTGAGCAAAGTCATGGCTGAAGCTGTTCAGGATGTCTTGAAAGGAAGACCGTACCATCTAGTTGGCCACGATGTGGGCGGATGGATTGCTTACCCTTGGGCTGCTCAATTTCAATCAAGACTCAAATCGCTCAGTATACTCGACGCGTCAGTGCCGGGCTTCATGCCCCAGCTGCAGTTTCCCTTGCCTCGGGAGACCAACATGCGTCTTTGGCAATTCTCGTTCAACGCGCTTCCTGAATTACCGGAGATTCTCACTCGCGGCCGTGAGCGGGAGCTCCTGACCTGGTTCTTCCATTTGAAGACGGTTCATGCGGATGGTTTACCCAAAAACCAATTGGAACGCTATATCCAGGCCTATTCGAGACCAGGCGCAATGAGCCGGGGGTTCGAGTATTATCGAGCTTTTGAAACAAGTGCGAAGCAGAATCTGGAATATGCGAAAACACCACTCGATCTCCCGGTTCTAGCTTTAGGTGGGGCCAGCTCCGTCGGTTCGGATATGATTCGCTTGGTCCAGAACTTCGCGGCCAACGTTTCGGGGGGCGCTATTGATGATTGCGGGCACTTTCTCCCCGAAGAGCAACCATCTGCTGTCGCGCATAGACTGCTGGAGTTTCTGGAGGCAAACCACACAGAATGAAATGCCCTGGGACGCACCTTGCAACACAGGATGGTCGCCCGAATTCTCACCGGCCATCATTGACTCTAGACAGCCAAAGACATCCAGTGGTTATACAAAGGATCTCAGTGCCATCTCTTGTGGTGGCGAGCAGGGGTCAAATAGTGCTCGCCATGAAAGTCACAGCGCACCTCCAATATAAATTGGGAGCCACGTTAGGATAGCAAGTGGTGAAATAGATTGGGTTGATTTCGATCCGCTCCGTAAATATTCTTTAGTAGATGGTCAATGGACGATTGTTAATACTGTATTTCAGACAACTGATTTTTCTAGATCGCTCTACGAAACTCCCTTCGACTCCCTTTTTAGGTCCTCACATGTAATAGTCAGATGAAAATAGCTTATAATTGCTTTATTAAACTAAATCTTGTCGTCAACCAAGGCCGTATTTCAATAACATCAGAAGTGCTTGCCTGCCATGCCGTGTACCTGATAGGGTGCTTTATATAAAAACTGCTTTCTAAGGTTTAGTGATCACGAGAAACTCTCAACGTGCAGATAGACACGGCGATTGCTATCGCTGTTCAATGCAACCACTTTTCTGCGAACTTCCACTGAAAGGCTAAGAGGGCCACATACACCCACAGCACTCTCTCCATTGGGACCAGACAGGGTATCTTGGAAGAGGGTATCCCACATGGGCCTGCCGGACTCAACGCCAAGTCCGAGAATACTGTGATTCTTTGTCTGTTTGGGGGTCTTCTCTGCGTCTTTGGCGAGAATCTGCGGGCGAAGTGCCGGGCTGTTGGTTAGAGTTGCATCGGACTCATCCACCTTGGTCACAAAGACCTGGATGCCAAAGAGAATCCCGGCGTTCTCGAGATCGCGCACGGCTATCTGTAGCTCTTCGGTGATCCATTCCACCCACGCAGAGTTGCGGACCATCCATATCAGGGTCACTTTGCGAATGGGAAGAGGCTTGCCATTACCCTCTGCCACGGAGGCCGCGCGGTGTGCAACGTCGAGCAAGACCGACATGGCAAAAGTCACACCGGTGGCACCAGCAATTAGGAGGACGGTGTCAAAGTAGGCAAACTCTGCGTGAGATGCACCATATGGGCCATTGACGAAGGCCATGTACTTTGTGAGCTGGTTCCGGGGTTGCTTTTCTTGCACCGCTCCGTCTGTGCTTGTCGTGTTTTGGTTCGTTCGGTCGGCCTCGTAGATGCGCTTGGTGAACCCTTTATAGGCTCGAAGAAGCAGGACCATATCGCCATTGTGAGAGCTAGGAATAGACATGATCGTGGCTGGGTGCGACTGAAAGAGCCCGAACCGGGGAAGGCTAATCATAACGTGTGATCCGGGGGCCCAGGTCTTGATGCGGCGATTAGAAGCATAGATCTTGGTGACACCCCCTTCGAGAGATTCGAGAGTGACCTGGCTAGAGACAGAGTTGTTGAACAAACAGCGGAAAAAATACACCAGACGCTCAACCAGGTATAGCGCCACGGCGACATAGATGTAGACGCGCGCGTACTTGGCACTTCCGGGAATGTGGTATGCACAGGCAATAATGAGTCCAAAGTAAGTGATAACGTGTTGGATAACAAAGAACTCGTACGAGAGATGGCGCAGAGGAGCAATGGTCGAAATGTTTATCCAGACAAGGATTGTGTAATTGGCCACGCCAGAGCGGAAGGCTTCGTCTGTAGCCCATTCCAATGACTGCAAACCAGGGAAGCGGCTCCATCCTGAGGCCAGAAATGCGACATGAAATGTCGCCAGCAGGAGAAGACCACGAGAAACCCAGCGATGGAGCACATTTAACCTCTCATAGGAGACGCCGGTTATCAGGCCAATCAGACTGTGTCTGCCAACGAGCAGGATAATTAGGGGAAGCTGAGCCACAGCGAGCCAGCCAGCACGAACACCGACGAAAGTATACCATGTAGGGCCCGCGACATCGTCACCCACAAATTGGAGGAGAAGGATAAACAGAATGTACGCTAGGACCAGGTAGATGATTCCTAGCGCAGGAACTTTGAACCAAGAGGCGCTTCCGGCAGGAGTCACCTGGGGATATGTCAAACGCCTTGCCGTACATGCGATCGTCCCGGTAACCTTAGCGAAAGGCCCGGATACCGCTTTGTTTGAGGACTGGATTGCCCGGAACCTTGTCATGCATATCAACAAGTTTGTCTCGGTGAATAAATACAGACTGGAGAGTTGGCTTTACCTTAGATGCAAGTCAATTCGCCAGCAAAGATTCCAGACGCCCATCACGCCGATAAGGGCAGCAATTCCGTACCAGAAGTATCTGGCTCTGGTATTACCGTCCAGCTGGAAGACACTGTCGTCAAGCAGAGCCGACAGAAAGTCCGACGCTTCAGTCTCATTATTAAAATTCACGCCCTCCGAAGACAGCATGATGAAAGCGTAAATACGATATCAGAGAAAGCGGAATGCGAAAGTGACAGGGTCACTAGAAGATATTCAATAACTTCCGACAGTTCAAGGAGCGAAGAATGCTCTATTTCTGTTGAAAGACATCCCATGCCTTCCTCCCCTGCATCGACTTATGTATAATGCCAGATCGCTGCAGTGGGTCAACCACTCTGGCAGAGAAGTCTTAAAGTCTTGCTCTCAGAGTCCAACGACCCCTCTGTCTACCCGTGTGAGACACGGAGGATATCATTCGCACCGCCCTGGGAATGTAACACTCTAGTCCCTTGTTCCTCTGGCAAAAAGCTTGGTTCAAGACTGTTTAAGTTTCGACAGGATGCAGATCACTGGAAAGGATCGGCGGTGCTAACTCCAACTGGAAGGTCGCAGCCGGACGCCTCCATCTCTGCCCCAGGGGAGTGCCATTGAGCTTCCCGGTGTTTTCAATCGCCATCAGGGGCCCGGTGCATATTCCGACACGGGACACTCTACACGGCCCGGTTCTGGACAGATATGAGCGTTCTCAGCAAATCATTTTGGCATTGATGATACGCTTGATTCCCACATGTCTTCGCGAACATTTACCTTCCTTCAGATTTAATTGAATACTATACAATTCGGACAAGGGTGATTCTTCTTATACTGCGAGTGATACTAAGATAAATATATTTAATGAGCAAGGCGGAATATGTCTATGAGTACGATAAATGTAGCAATCTCCCGGTCCGTAAAATCCAGCATAGACGCCAAAACTTGAAAGATAGGCCAGATACTCGACGGATCTGAAACTAGAAATCGACAGAAGCCCGCAAATAGTAATAATCATGACTCGCCAGGCATTGATCGGCGATTGCAGACGAGTCATGATGCTTCGGGTTTCATGTTTCTGAATACACTCTCTGGCTGGCCCCAGTATCGGTTCTCAATTAGGCTGCTCAATTAGGCTGTTGCGCATAGTCTGCTAGGTGTGAAGATTGCTACGGTCAAGGCCATACACTATCCCGTAACTTGTACCGGCAGCAATGGCTCCCACCAGTAATGTCTGGGCCGCCCCGTAGAATCCCGCACGCTTGGTTTTGATGACGACGTAGTTCTTCACGAAGCCGAAGCTAATGAGGGTGACGACCGTGATGCCGATCGAGATGAATAATGCGTGGAGGACATTGTGCATGGCGAAGTATGGAATCATAGGCAGCAACCCACCTACGTGAGGGTCGATCCAAGTAAGAAACAGCACGGATAATTGTATGCAGGAGGAGGCATGGCTGGTCATAGGACATACCGATGAAGTAAGAGACTCCCATGGTGGCTGCGGAGATCCACGCTCGGGAAACATTGGGCTTCTCTAGTCTTAATTCAAAGTCCATCATGAACTGTATGTCACCGTGAGCGGCTCTTCTTCTAATATGAAGGAGAACAAGATCCTCGACTACATACCCGAATCCACTGCTCATTGTTTTGCGCCAAACAATCAACGACAGCTTGACTCGCCTCTCGAGATATACCATAGTCGGCGAGTATTTCGTGGATCTCCTCCTTTTCGGCACGAGGTTTCGAGAAGACTTCTTCACGCTCTCGTGCTTCTTCGCACTTGTAGTGGTCCCGCTCCGTGACAGCGGCAAGATAGGCGCCTAAGCCCATTGATATAGATCCGCTGAATAGCTCTGCTAATCCACCAATGATGACTAGTTTCGAGGAACCTAGGCTAGACAGACCAGCCGTTAGAGCGAAGGGGACGGTCATGCCATCCGCAAAGCCAATGATCGCATCCCTAACTACCGCGCCGGACTCGGAATGTCGTTCGGATGCTGCATGGAGCGGGAGAGGCTGTTCACTGGGGGCTTCCACCAATAGAGTAGACATGATGGACAGGGATGATGCCTCTGCACACAAACGTGAACTTCAGCATGATCTAGTACGGAAATATACATATTTATATGCGTGGTTGGCCTATCTATCGCAAAGACAATTCTCATTGTTTTTCTCGTGAGGCTCTGGTGGTCAAGACTGCCAGCCAATCACCGTCGACCTATTTCCAAGCATCTAGAATGCCACTTCCCAGTCTTTCTCAAGGTGAGCGATAAACCAAGCCAGGGACCACGGTAATCTCCAATCGTTGGTCTTTCAGGGATCCAATGATTCACCTCTAATTCTGATACAGTCAGACTTTGCTAGTCGGGAACGTGGCGCACTGTGTTTTCCTTCAGCTTATTCAATTTTTTTTTTTTTTTTTTTTTTTTTTTTGATCGGAGTTAAAGTGTGCCTTTAGGGCAATTGCAAACAAACGAGAGACCGCGAGAGGTAGTTCTGGATGATCGTAGAAGGATGCTAGTCCTTCTTATCACCTTCGCGGTATTTGGCTGCACCTTTATTTCGACAGGTGAAACTCAATTCGTCAGTTACTGCGGTATTTTTTGGGTCACCATAGCGTTCATGGCACCACTAGTTTATCAGCGACCACGGTTGGAACTCATTCTAGAGGGAAATAGCCATCTCATCTCATCGAGGTGGAGACTTCGTTTTTTAGGCAGGTGCTCCCAGAGCGCTTCGATCATTGGTAGTGTTACGGTCTGTCTCCGCCCTACTCAAGTTGGGGGTGCGTGGACACTTCCACATTGCCGCAAGGTTCTACGACTATTTCTGACCGTAGATTGGCTGCATTCAGCTTGTTTGGCCATCTGAGATGTGTTAAGTGACTGGATCATGGTCATATCACGGACGAGATGCGGCTTTGACGGGGGAAGTCTTGGAGCCGTTTCGCGAAGGCTGACGTGACGGGGAAAGGCGAGTGAACAGACGTACCATGTGGAATGTAGATTAGCGTGTTTCGAACTAGGATTCAGGAATTAATTCGTGATGAGAGTGTTGAGTTGGAACTGATTTGAAATATTGTGTCTGCGACTGTATATATATATTTTCGAGCTTAGCTTAGGGTTGTTGATAATCCTGATAAGCCCACCGCCTTCACCCCATCGCGATCAATTATTTCCTCTTCTTCCTCTAAATCAACTCACCTCACCTCGATACCCATACCTACGCAGATACCAGATATCCCTCCCAGATTCAACCACTGGTCTGCATGCAGTATTCGCTCTATCCGCCGACTTTCAATCTCCCGCCCATCTCACCCCGCATCCATCTACATCTCCAGCTCAACCACACCAAGAAGCTATACGAACGCCAGCTACAAAAAGAGCAGACAACCCTCCCAACCAAACCAACATGGCCGACTCCGCATCCGCCAAACGAATCCACACCCAACACTGCCGCTTCTGCAACCATCTCCTCCTCGCGACCACGCGCGACATCTCCCACCTCCCGCGCCGAGCAGGCGACGCACAGGACAAGGCGATCATTGTGCCCATGACGCAAACACTGGACCCCGATCTGGACAATAATGAAAATAATACGCCGTCGGGAACTCACACGACACTCCTATTGTCGACGACCGTCCCCGATCGACGACCAACACTGATCCGCCGCGAGGACGGCATCGAGAAGCGGGTTTTGCTCCGGTGTGGACGGTGTCGCGTTGTGGTGGGGTATCAGCTTGATCGGGTGCATTATCCAGTGAATGCTGGGACCGCAGAGGGAGATGAGAATAATAGTCACCCACCAGCGGTGTATCTTCTTCCTGGCGCTGTGGTGGAAACGGAGCAGATGGGGAGTGGTGACGAGGACCACACACAAGGAGAATGGAGGCAGTGGATCCAGGAGGGTGTTGTATAGTGAATGGAATTGAAGAGAATCAAGTATCGATACAATAAACAAGAGATACGTAAGACATGAAAAAGCGTTCGTTCCGTCCGTCCCGAGTGCGCGCCAGACCAACTGGAAGTCGGTCGTTTCTCCAAAAGCAATAATGCAACAACAAGAACATATCGTTAGGGTATCGTTCAGTTCGCCAGGATCGTGCGCACCAGGTCCGTGTAGTTGATCTCGCCCGACGACGTGTCCACCGCCTTGAGGAGCTCATCCACTTCGTCATCGGACATTTTCTCGCCGAGGTTGGTGAGAACTATCCCAGTCAGTACACACCCAACCATACCGAGATGAAGCCTTACTGTAGCGAAGCTGTCCCACGCCAATAAACCCGGTCATATCCTTGTCAAACACCTGGAATCCCCGACAGTACTCCTCCGGATCACCGGGCTCGCGGAACCCGCCAGGGCGATTGAGGACTTTGAGGAAGGAGTCGAAGTCAACTGGCCCATTATCAGCACATACCCCGTCCCCCAAGTGTGAAAAAGACCTACAGTCATTCCCGACCGACTTCTCCAGATCGGCAATCTCAGCCAGGGTGGGATTCTGCCCGCAGGCGCGCAGGAGATCACCCAGCAGTTCGCCGGACACGCGGCCGGAGCCACGGCGGTCGAAGAGGCTGAAGGCTTCTTTGTAGTTGGTGGAGGCCTGGTCAGAGTGGTTTTTGGTGTTAGTGGGAGCCATGATTATGGTTGTTATGATGTGTGGGGGAGATGTGGCAGGAGGGAAAGTGTGAGTTTCAGGGGGCCGCGGGAGGGATGGTGTGATACGTAATCCTGCCGGTGGACGGACGCAGGGGAGGAAGTACAGAGGGACCGAACACATACCATGATGAGTTTTGCGACGATGAGGTGTCAACAGAGCAGCGAGACAAGAGGATGGAATGTGAGAGAGGGAGAAACTAGACTGGCTAGTTTACTTAGTGAGCGAGTGGGCTGGTGGGATTCACCGTTGCCCGGACAACTGGCGACGCTAGCACCAGCACAACAGCGATCGTCGATATGGTAGATATACAATTAGTGACCTAGGTAGTTACAGGTTTATTATGAACCGCGCAGCTTCGCAATGCAGCTGTCCAGCAGCCGCGCCGCCTCCCCCAGCAGTTCCCACCGCGGCTGCGCAAAGGAGTCGCGGATGAGAATCAACAGGCCCAAACACTCGTTGCGACCCTTCATCCCTGCCAGTTCGTTGGGCTCGCGCACGCCGCCCACGCGCTGTAGGAACCGTTGCATGTCCCGCCGCTGCTCCGCCAGGCTGTTCAGCACCGGTGCCGGTTGCAGCGGGCCTTCTAGCGCGAACCCGTAGCACCAGACCACCAGCGCCGCAAAATACAGCGCCCATGGCCGGTTCAGCAGATAATCGTCTCGGGCCATGTACTCGCCGGACTGGAAGGTCGGCGAATCCAAGAAACACGCCGACAGGAATCGCAGCGCGTAGAAGGTCGCGTCGCGCGCGGCCGCCTTGGTCGCCCACCGGTCGGTCATCTTTTCGCGCGCGTTCCGAAAGTCGCGGGCCGTGATGGATCGACCCATCAGACGGCCGGCGCCCCCAAAGATCTGGAGGTCGGCAATGTCAACATGTGACGCCATGTGCGCCAGACCATGCAGCACGTCGCGCGACTCCACCTCCTGCGTCGATGGGCCGACCACTTCATCAAAGTCTCGCCGCCAATTGTCAAACGCCCGGAGCAGGGCTGTCCGCCACTTGTCGCGCCCGCCAAGGGTCTGCCCGACTCCTAGCGAACTGACCTGCAAGTCTCGTTGGTTCAGATGCCACCCAACACTCAACAGCCCGGCCATGAGGATCGTCCGCCCGAAAGCGTTCGTCCGCACCGCTTGCCCGTTCAGGGTACGTTTGAGTCCGTCCAAAAACATGACCGGCCGAACACCGTGCGATTGAAGACTCGACTGCACGCGGGCCACCTCGGCGGCGCTCGTGGCCGCCCACAGGGCCTCGTCACAGGGTAAGGGTAATCGTAGTTCATGGGCCACCATCTTGGCCGAATGCCCAAACATGGTCGCATGAGTCGAGTCCAACACAAACGCCGCGAACGCCACTCGCCGGGTGGCCTCGGCCTTGATCCACTGCGACCACGACTCATCCGCCACCGAATCCTCGACGCGGTCCTCGCGCACACTGCTCCCCGGCGAATCAAAGGCCGAGCGGCCAATCAGGGAACTGCCCCGACGCATCAAAGTCAAGGTCGTGTCGTGGTGGATGTGTGCGCGCTCGTGCAGAGCTCGTGTAGATAGCAACTTCTCGTAGACCTCTAACAGCAAAAGAGCCTGGAAAACCCAGAGCCGTGCCGGCGGCTTAAAGTCGGCATCCATAAAGATCTCCCAGCGGAGATGCCACGCAATGAAGTTGGCCAGCTCGGCAGCAGTTTCTGTGGCCGCCTGTCCATGCACTTTGTCCAGCGTTACAGCACCAATAGCCATGATGGCCAAAAGCAATAAATTGGGCGTGCGGTCCGCGGTAAACGTCGGCTGATGCAAGATCGGAAACTGTGTGTGGAAATGATACCAGTACGACCCGATATACGTCTGCATCATGCGCAGACTCAGCACATGTCGATCGCTGTTCAAGTCGCCATCCATCAGCGCATCCTTGCGCTTCGCACTTGCGGTGTAGGCCGCTTCGTTGAACCGCGTGGCCATCAGGTGCAGTAGCTCTTGTCGTTTTTCTTCAGAAACGATCGCCGGCGGGGACCCCGAATCGAGAATACTGGTGACGCTCATGGGATGTTGCGGGATGACCGTCATGAAATTGTAGGCTGGTTCGTTCACGTAGAAATTGTTCTGCACGGGATCCATATATCCCGGCAACATATAATTCAACGGAGGGGGCTCATTGAATAACCACGCCGCAAAGTCGTCCGCCATCGCAAAGGGTGATCGGTTGTACGTCTCGCCGCCGAAGATGGGATATGCATTGGAGTCGAAGGGGTCGGGCATGACACCCGGGAGGGGCATGTCGGCATATCCAGACATCGTCCCTGTTAGGGACCCGTAGTTGGGGTCTGCCTCGATGCTGCTCGACAAAGGATAATTGGCCGGCGGTTTAGGATTGAGATCTGCAGGGTTTGTGCCTGGAGGAAGGTTCGGAGGACTGTACACGACCGGGGGAGAATGTGTGGAGTCTTGTTTCGCAACCGAATCATGCCCGACCAGGGAGGGAGTCATGGTGGAGGAAGGGGAGGAGAGGGCGACGGGTCGCTGGGAGAGGTCATCATTGCGCGGGTTGGAGAAGGATTGATCGCGTTTCTGCAGCTGAGAGCCGCGAGTGGTGTGGCGCTCACGATGCCGGAGACACAGGTCCTGTCGCACAAACGACCGAAAACAATCGGGGAAGTCGCAGTGAAAGATCTGCTTGGGGGAGTGGTTGAGCTGATGGCGGTACAGGTGCTCGGCGCGTGAGTAGCTCTTGCCACATCCCTCATGGCCGCAGTCGAACTTGCGTTCGGGTTGCACTTTGCGACTGCGCCGCCGCCGCTTGGGCGTGTGGTCGTCGACATCGGCCATAGCTGGGGTGCTGCATGGACGGATCTGCAGGAACGTGGGAGTGCGCGGAATGCGGAATCGGGAACCACCGTAGGAGGAAAGGCAAGGGGATAAAAATAGAGAAAAGGATTTGAGATGAGTAAGTCGGACACGGCAAAAAGAGAAGTGGATTGAGTGAGGTTGAAGGTGAAGGAGGAGGAGACAGGTAGGAGCAAGAGAGTGCGGAGGTGGGGAGTGAGATTGATGCCTGAGGCACTACGGATCGCATCTACGAGGAACATCTGGGACTGATCTATAACTTCATGACTGATGGGGGAAATGGTATATGTCTATTCATACCTAGGTATCTCCTACTAGGCATAGTCTCTCGATTCCCCAGTGACTCGTACACTGTGTTCCTGAACAAACCCCGTCCTCCTCGGCGGGCAACGGCTTTCCTCTTGATCGTCATGGTTGGGTCCGCGCCATCGTACGTTCGTACCACATGGCGCATGGAAGAATAAGGACAAACACCTGGTGTGCAAATGCTCCGGGTTTCCGGGCCGGGTCCCTAAATGACGTGGCGCTCATCGTAGCAATAAGAAAAAAAATGTACATGTAGTTTCAGAAGGATAAATAGAAAATTATCCGCTGAATCGGAAGCGGGTCGCCTCCAACCGGCCCAGGCCATCCCGCGGAGCCACATTGCGTCGGCGATACGAGTTGGTGAAATCCTGCAGCAGAGCTCGGATCTTGCGCGTCTCGCCGGCCTGCACCTTGTCGGAGACGTTTTTGAGGAGTCGCTCGGCCTCGCCGGCTTTGATGGAGCCGGCCGGCAGCATCTGCAGTGTGCTCTGGAGCCATGAGCCGGTTTCCTGCGGCAGGAGCTCGAACAGAGTCATCATGATGCCCGATGCATCTGGGAAGCAGTCGCCGGGGAACGTGAACATCATGCCCGTGAGCACGCGCTGAGCCAAACCCAGGCCCTGCGACACCAGGAGCTGCTTGACAGCTTCCCGGATCTCGGGCGGGTTGGTGTAGGGTTTGCCTTCAGGACTGGTGAATTCAGAGACGGTGGGTTTGTCGAACGCGAAGCTGAACAGGTCCCGGTAGTAGTGAAGCGTGGCAATCAGTGGCTCTACCTGTTGGAGGGTGAGCGCGCTGACACCCGCGGTGAAGATAGGAATGGAAAGGGAGGAGCTGATGCATTTCTTGGGGTAATAGCGGACGGCATCGCTGGACAGACGGAAGAAATCCTCGATCACTAGAAAGAAACAGTCAGTCTGATCCCAAACAATACGAGAAAAGATAACATACCATCAGGCAAATTTTCCGGTGGCAAGTCGTTCAAGATACGGAGGAAGGCAAGTGCCTGCTGCTCGTAGAACTGGTAGACGGCATCGCTCGTGGCTTGGTCCACGTACTCGGCTCCTTCCGAGAACTCACGCACCACCGCATCCGTGGCCCACAGGAAACAGCCCTCGCGCGAACCCTCAAAGCCGCTGGCGATGCTCTGAGCGAGAGTTGGCAGCAGAGGAATCATGGCCGTTCGGTAGGAGATGATCATGTAGCGCCAGCACCGGCACACGCGCTCCAAGATGGGAGTAGATGTCGTGAAGTTCATGGCAATCGTCGTCATAATCGGCAGAATCTCCCCGCAGTACTTCACGGCCGGGTTCTCTTCTCCGGGTGCGACAATGGGTGTCACCACTTGCACGAAGATGGTAATCAGCTGGAGGTGATCGGCCACAGCCCGCTGGCCATCTTCGTCCGATGCGTTGTTTGCCAGGTTCATGATGCGCTGCATGATCGGGTCGCAGAACATTTTGAACGAGTCGTAAATCTTCTCCAATGGCTGGACCGATACCACGGCAGCCACCCCCTCGGTCACTTCTTCCTGACTGGAAGCCTTCAGCTTATCCAGCACGGACTCGTAGAACGAGTGAAGTTGAGTGATGTGTCCCCCGAGCAGTTTCTGGCAGTCTGTTCCCAGGAACTTGAAGGCCAAGGCGGCCGCCTGCACAACTTCCGGGGAAGAATGGTGGAAGGCCGAAATGACATAGTTCAGCTGTGCCTCCAAAGTCTCGGGGTGCAGTGCCGTCCACTCTGTGTAACGCGCCAGAGCCATGATAGCTTGGAAGCGAATCTTCTCCTGATCCGGGATCTGGACGATGAGCGGAATCAGCTGTCCCAGCACCGTGGCTTCTTCCGGGTCGACCATGCGACCCATGGCCCGCAGCCCAAAGAGAGGGGCCTCGAGCTCCTGCCAGTGCGGGACGTGTTCGTTGCTGGCCTGCGATGCATACTTGCCCACCCACTGTTGGATCAACTGGTAGATCTTGCCCAGGCATTCTGACACCCCCACGACCGAACAGCAATCCTTGAGGACATCCCCCATCGAGTGGCGGAATAACCGAAACTTTTCTTCCTGCTCGCGATCACCCCCAAACAAGTCCGTTTCGCCCTCTTCGGGGCTCGGGTATTCCAGATGCTTGACCATGATATCCACCAACTGGGAGAAAATGTCTTGGAAGTTGAGCCGCGAATCTGTGTACCGGTCCAGCGTGATGTATTGCTTGAGCTCGTACCAGAAAATAAAGGTCTGGGAGATCGCATCGCGCTCCCAATCTCGCGCACAACATTCCAGGACCGCTTCCACCAAGCCCCGGAAATCGGACGGAAGGCGAGCAATGAGCACCACCCATGCCTCACCGGCCTCGGAAAACATCCTTGTCACTCCTTTGAACGCATCCAAATCTTCGGATTCGGCCGTCTCGGCGATCTTCGGGCGGAGGGCCATCAATCGCGGATACAACGCTTGGATCACTGGCAGAGATTCGTCGACGTCGCGGGTATCCCGGTAGAGTGTGCACACGCAGTCCACGCCGGCGTCGAAGGACACGTCATTGTCCAGTGCCTTGAGAATCACGTCCATCAGAGGCGAGTCGACGATTTTGGCGGCGGGGATCTCCCGCAGCCACGAGGTGATGCAGTCCAGAAGACGAGGATTGGTTGCCGCCGTTTCTGCAAACAGCCAATTAGCATTCATCAAAAATCCCCAAGGGATACGTACGCGACGATTGAGCGTATTGGATCATCAGTTGCATGACTTGGTCCGCATTGTCCTCCAGCAGCTCCTTGGTCCGCGCGGACAACTCGTCCTCCTATTCCCCGTTAGCAACAGTAGCCCCATCAATCCCAGGAGCAGCCACATACGCTCAGGTTGATCTTGCGGCCCTCGGTCACTTCCTCCGGGAGGATCTTCAAAAACTCCAGAACGCAGTCCCCCGCACTGCTGCCCAATGCCGATCCGACGGTGGCCAACACATCCTTCCACGCCACCATTTGAAGGGCCAAGCTTGCCAGACACACACAGAGCTGGGTCTGGATGGGCCGCGGGCCCGGCGCAAATGCGACCAGTAGACCGAGCACCGAATCCCGCAAAGCCACGATTGAATCTGGGGGAAGTTGGTCCAAATCAAAGACAATCTGCGATGGTCAGTCCCTGGTCCGTAATCTGTCGCAACATCTTTCATAATACCTTTCCCTTGAGCGTGGTGGCCGCGAACAGTTTGGCTTCGACGGGAACATCGGGGGATTGTAATAACGCGTGTGTCGTCGACCAGGCTTCGATCTAGCGGGGATGCGTTGATTAGTTTGGGAGTTGGTTGACCACGAGGGTGCGGGACATACTGATTTCTGGAACTTCTCCAGGAATTCGTGAGCCTGGGTCTTCTCAGATCTCGGCACATTGCCCTGCATGGTTGCGACGGCGGCCAGGACCGGGGCGAAGGCCTGTGCAGCGCCTTCCTTGCTGGCCATGTTGAATTGAAGAGAAGACTTAGACCAGGCGCAGCATGAGAATTCACGAAAAGAAAGGGAGGCAGTTGGAAAGGGGAAGGAGGGGGCGTGGATTAGTTAGAGGCAAAGTTGTGGAAAGGTGGGATGGTTTTATGGGATGGTATCGTATTGCCCGTACTTACCGTACCAGATCACGGGATGAGAATCTCTCTCTCCTCTGGTCTCCTTCCGCCTTTTGCTGCTTTTGCTTCTTGAATCAACACCACCACATACACCACCCATCTCTCACCATGGCTGGCCGCAAGACATTATTGGCGCCCATCCACTTCATCTTCAGCCTGCTGCAGAAGCGCAGCACGGTGTCTATCTGGCTGTACGAGCAGCTGGCCTTCCGGATCGAGGGCAAGATCAGGGTACATGGGCCTGCCACTTTTCGGAGCGATTGGATGCTAACGAACTGTGCTCTTAGGGCTTTGACGAGTTCATGAACCTGGTCATTGACGATGCGGTCGAGGTGCGCCTGCCGACCAAGAGTGAGGAGGAGAAGCGGAGGCCGCTCGGTAGGTCCATGTCTCTCCTGGCACCAGGAATCGCAGCTAACGCGAGTGCGCAAACAGGCCAGATCCTGCTCAAGGGCGACAATGTCTCCCTGATCCAAGCTGTTTGATATTGTGTTTTATTTCTGTTACGATCTATCATCCGCTCCGAGTGAGATACCGCCCATCGCCCACCACCATCGCATCCACTAGCCAGTCATGCTCCGCCACGGGGATCGGGTCGGCGGTCACTATCTGCTCCTGGAGAGACAGGGCAACTAGAATTGCACGGAGTTTAGTGTATGTCGGGGGTTTTTTTTGGTGCACCAAAAAGGAATTTTGCTCGTACCGAGGAATGGCATCTTCTGGGGGGTCTGGCTTGTCTTCTGGTTCCATTGGGAATACCGCGTTAGAAAATGATCATAATATCCTTTGCCATGTCCGAGTCGTCGGAATCCCTGATCGAAGGCCATGCCCGGCATGACGATAAGATCGAGTCCCGTAGCGGTTGCGAAGCAGTCCGGTCGGCCAACGACCTGCGCGGGGGACAAGGACGGAATGCCCCATCGATCGGGCTGTAGGGCCTCTAACTCCGCCAGTGATGCGAGGGAGAGCATGTCCATCACCGATGTAGAATCAACCGGGTGGATGTAGGGAATGTAGACCTGTTTGCCGCGCTGCAGGGCGTCATGGACAATGCCCGTGGTGGACAGTTCTCCGGCGGGCATCGACAGATACACGGCGATGCTGCGGGCATTCTGGTATTCGGCCAGCGACAAGAACCGTTGAGTGGCCACGCGAGACTGTTGTGCGATCGCAGCATGTGGGATCTGGCCGAGGACCTGGCGCATGCTCTTGCGCAGGTCGCGTTTGGCGGATCGGAGGGCCATGGCGAGGTGAAGGTGACGAAAGGTGGTTTGACATTCCGCTCCGATTAGGGTTAACTATGGCATGCTTGTTGTGGCTCCACCCCAACCAAGGGATTCCTTCATATAGGCCAGAGTCGCCCATTCTGTTCAGCGTCACAGTTGTCAGGATGTTGTTTATTTGGTCTCTCTTGAGTGCCGCGGCCGGTGCGGTTTCTGTGGGTGAGCTGGTTGGGACCTGGTCCACCAAGTCGGGCGATGTCCTGACGGGCCCAGTGAGGATACCTACAAGAATAAACAAAACAAGAGTCCAGCTAACGCGTGCAGGGATTCTACGATCCGCTCAATGACCGGCTACTTGAGCCCAATCTGACCGGTATCTCCTACTCCTTCGACGCGAACGGGCATTATGAGGAAGCCTACTACCGGGCCCTAGCCAACCGTGAGTATATGGATGGACCGCCTATGTCGATAGATTCTAACCCTTCCCCAGCTACCGACCCGGCCTGCCCCACGGGGCTCATGCAATGGCAGCATGGATCCTATGTTCTGACTGCCGATGGCTCGCTGACCTTGACACCCATCGCCGTCGATGGCCGCCAGCTCTACTCGGAGCCGTGCCGAGAGAGCATCGGCAGCTACACGCGATACAACAGTACTGAGCATTTCAGGGTAGGTCCGGACCTCTGACAAAAAAAGATTGTTCTAACCGCACCAGGGCTTCTCGGTGTCCGTCGACAAATACCACCACATCCAACGGCTCGACCTGACCCGAGCGGATGGCCTCATCCTCCACCCGATGTACCTGGCCCACCGGCCGCCCAAGATGCTGCCTACCACTACCTTGAACCCGACCCCGACGGGCCGCCATAGCAAGCGGGACCGGTCCGAGGCGGGCCTGCATCGGATCGTCAAGGAAGAACTGGTCAACCCGGACCGGTGGTGGTGGTTAGGCGTGTGGATGACTTCCGTAGGGGGCGTGGCTTTCTTTTGTTCGTGATTTGTGCCAGAGTTTCCCATGATAATGAGAATCTCATTTTTCTGCTTCTTTCGTTCCTATCGTACACTATATAAATATATATCATCTGCTTTATACCAGTCAATCACGCCGCAAGGGCCTCCTTGGCCAGCTTGGCCACCTCTCCCCGATCGGCGGGCTTGCCATCCAGGGCACCACCGGATGCAAACAGAGACTTGAGGAGGAGGCCCACCTGGAGCTTCTGGCCAGCTTCTTTCAGGGTAGTGATCTCCTGGGCAATCACTGCCCGGATTTCGTCCGTGCCCATTGTTTGGACTTGACTGGCATACTCCTCCAGAACGGACACCTGCGCCTCTTCTTGCTCCTTTAGGTCAGGACGGTCCGCGGCGGCGAATTGCTGGGCGGCGTCTCGCGCGGCGGCGATGCGTTTTCGGACCAGCGACAAGAGCTGCAGGTCGGTCTGGATGGGCGAAGTAGTTTTCGCAGAATTGTTGGTTTCAGAGATAAGGGCGCGCACCACATTGAGTCTTTGCGTGGTCAGTGAGTCCATCCATTGCTAGCCAGTGTAATAGAACGGATGTATGTACCTAGGGGTGTCCTTGGCGCGCATGGCAGTTTTCAGGTCTGTTCTCAACTGGCTCATCAACGGTGGCAGGGTTGGGCCCGTGGAGGACCAGCGCAAACCGGCCAGGCCTCGGGCGGGGAGTCGACGCAGGGCGAGCATTGTGCGTGAATCACAATGGTTGTCAAGAGTCAATGGCAATTGCCAGGTCGGTCAATAATATTCGTTCGAATGGATAGGATGGAAGTGCAGATGGTGGTCTGTGCACGGGGTTTGTTGCTGTTTCCGCCTTCTGAACCGGCTGCTTCTTTCCTCTTCTCGACACCTTCTCTCTCCCTCTCAACCAACCCACCTTCCTCGAGAGAGCTGAGTCGGCATCCTTGCTCTAGATCCTGCCACTCTCTCTTTCTCTCTTCTCGCCTGGGAGTTGCGCGTTCCTCCCTCCCTCCCCAGCGTCGCGAGCGGCTCACCATGTCGTATCCCACACTCCCTCAAACGCCGCAGAAAGCTCTCCCGGGTGCCTACTTGCAGACCCCGGCTCCAGCTCCGTCACAGAATGCTCTGTTTGCGAAACCCGCAGCGGCCTCGCCGGCAATGCCGCTGCCAAAACTGCCCCCGGCGGCCTCCAGGTCCAAGAACCTGACCTTGAGCACCGAGGAGCGCGGTGCGCAGACGGTCAATGACACCCTATTTCAAGAATCGCGCTACCCCGACCTGGACAGCTATCTGTCGCGTAGGTCCCCAATTCCTTCTGGCTAGAAAAGTGGCAGACACTAACATGCTGCAGAGGGCTTCTCGTCCGAATATGATATCCCTACGTCCCAGTCCTGGGCTCCCTTCCAAAAGGTCAAAATGTACAATATCCCCGACCAGATCTTCGACCAGTACAATCGCGCACAGGTATCAACGAGCATGGGTCTCTTTGCCGAGCTGAATCACGCGTGGGTGGCTATTGACAACGCGCTCTACCTCTGGGACTTCACCCATCCAAACCCGCAGCTGGTCGGTTTTGAGGACCAGCCCAACAGCATTAACTCCGTCAAGCTGGCCAAGCCGCGCGCCGGAGTGTTTTTGCCGGCCATCACCCATTTGCTCGTGGTGTCGACGACGGCGGAGGTGATCTTGCTGGGGATGGGCTGTGAGACGACGCCAAGCGGGACACGACAGGTCTCTTTGTTCCAAACGGGAATGTCGGTGTCGATTCGGGGGCTGGATATCCATGTTTTTGCTTCATCGGATTCCACCGGCCGGATTTTCTTCGGTGGTTCATCCGACAACGACGTGTACGAGTTCACATATCAGCAAGAGGAGCGATGGTTCCAGGGCCGCTGTGCCAAGGTCAACCACACTAGCTCACGTCTCGTGGCGTTCACTCCCTCGCTGAGCTTGACCAATTTGGCTCAGAGGGCCAACGAGCATGTGGAGCAGATGGTGATTGATGACAGCCGGAAACTCCTGTACACGTTGTCGTCGGCATCGACCATTCGGGTGTTCCATATGAAACCAGACGGAACGCTGTCGCTGGCCATCACCAAGCATGCGCTGGATATCTACTCGAATATTGGGCACATTATCGCATCCAACGAGACGCTCAACCCGAAAGTTAAAATCGTGTCCATCAGCCCCGTCCCTGCCGCCGAGGCATCGCGCTATCACCTGGTCGCAACTACGGCCACCGGATATCGCATCTATCTCAGTGCCACCGGATCCTATAGTTGGTCCCCGGCGCCCAATGGTGCCAACGCGCCCACCAGCATGCAGGCGCAGCATGTGAAGACGCCACCAATCGATAACAATGCGGACATGGCGCTTCCCGGTCAGGCTCGTTTCCAGCCAGCGGTCACCTCCAAATTCCCGATCCATTCACTCTCCCCCACGCGGATGGCCGCGCGATACCCACCCGGCTATTTTTTCTGTTTTACGTGTAAAGACGCCACCCAAAAAGCTGATACCCTTTTCATATCCTCTCCGGACTCGGGCCGGATCGCCCGCTCCCAGGAGAATGTCCTCTCCGGCAAAGCCGCCGAGTCCGCCATCTGGATGAACCTCGGAGGCCGCGCAGAGGATGTCGGACTGTGTTCTGCTCTTCCGCCCTCTACTTCCGGAGGATTTGGAAATGAGCTGGCCGTCCAGTTTGATCACCCCGCCGCCGAAATTGCCATTCTCACCAACACCGGCATTCACGTTATTCGACGAAGGCGCCTCGTGGATATCTTTGCCGCATTGGTGCGCAGCGGTGGCACCACTGATGAAGGTCTCGAGGGAGAAGTCAAGAATTTCATTCGAACCTATGGCCGGAGTGAGACTCTGGCTACGGCCTTGGCGGTGGCCTGCGGTCAAGGGGTGGAGATCTCTTCGGACCAACGACTGACGCCTATTAACGATCCCGATGTACTGCAATTTGCCCGCAAGGTTTTCATTGACTATGGTGGCCGGCCTACGGTCAACGAGAACGCCGTGGCGGACAGCTCGACGTCTGCCATTGATGCTGTGGTGCCGTCTCCCCGGCATCACGGCATCGCCCTGTATATTTCTCGCCTGTTGCGCTCAATCTGGAAGAAGGAGATCGCCAAGGTTGGCAACGCACCCAATGGAGCGCTAACCGTCTCTGCTTCTGTGAATGCAACAAAGCTGCAGATGGTCCAGCGCGATCTGTCATCGCTGCAAGAATTCTTCAAGACCAACCGAAGTTTCATTGAGGGGCTCAGCGGACCGGAGGCGCTTGCGCGAGTGTCAACAAAGCAGGAGGAGACAGCATTGCAGGCGGAGCACCGCGCGCTACACTCTCTCGTTCAGCTGGTTTCGCATACCATCGAAGGTATTTCCTTTGTGTTGGTTCTGTTCGATGAGCGGGTCGATGAGATCGTGGCGACGCTTCCGGACGAGTCAAAGCAACGCTTCTTGAAGCTGACCTTTGAGGAACTGTTCAGCACCAGCAAGGGTCATGACATTGCCAAGGAGTTGGTGAAGGGGATTGTGAACCGCAACATCGCTAAAGGCTCCAATGTCGAGACCGTGGCCGATGCCCTGCGCCGCCGATGTGGCAGCTTCTGTAGCGCTGAGGATGTGGTGATTTTCCGGGCACAAGAACTGCTGAAACGAGCGACCGAGGCGGGTGCCAACTCCGAACTGGGTCGAAATCTGTTGAATGAAAGTCTGCAGCTGTTCCAACAGGTAGCGGACTCACTCCCCATGGACTACTTGGTATCAGCGATGGACAATTACATCAACAACCAATTCTTTGCAGGTACTTTTGTTTTGGAGTTTCTGTTACTTTGACATACTGATATCTGGCAGGTGCCATCCAACTGTCCCTCAACGTCGCCCTCCGTTCCGATAAAGCCAACCTCGCGCTCTCATGGATTATGGACGGACGTCCCGATCAGGTGCTCATCCCTTTCCAATTTCAGGCCGACCACCCGCTCACTGGCCTTCAGGACCCCCGCAAGGACTACTTCTACTTCCGCAAGCAATGCTACGATCTGATCTTTAAGGTTGTCATCGCCGTCGACCAACTGGCATCGAAAGATCCCGGTTTCATCGATGGCCAGATGACCATCATTGCCAAGCGCCAGAACGAGGCCTACGGCGTGATTGCTGACTCGACCGACGAAGTTTTTCTGACCAGCTTGTACGATTGGTATCTGGAGCAGGGACAGAGTGATCGCTTGCTCCAGACTCCGTCGCCGTTTGTTGTCACTTACCTCGAACGCAAATCGACCGATGATATCTCCCATGCAGATTTGCTTTGGCGCTACTATGCCCAGTCGCAACGCTTTTTCGAGGCGGCCAAGGTGCAGTTCCAGCTTGCGAGAAGCGCTTTCACTCTGCCGCTCAGTCGGCGCATTGAGTATCTGGGACGTTCCCGTGCCAATGCTTCCACCTTCACACCAGATGTCGGCCGACAGTCGCGGCAGCGTCTGCTCCATGAAATTTCCAACCTGATTGACGTGGCCAACATCCAGGACGATCTTCTGCAACGGCTGAAAGACGATGACCGGATCGCTCCAGAGCGCAAGGCCGAGGTTCTCCGGGATGTTGATGGACCTGTCATGGATATCAGCACCGTTCGTTCATTCCCGCACCCCTCGTCTCCCGTAACACCCCCCTAACCACAGTCACAGCTCTTCAACCAATACGCAGATTCGGCCAGCTACTATGACATCTGCCTGCAGATTTTCTTCCAGGCCGATTACCGGAACGCTGCCGACATCAAAGCAACTTGGCAGCACCTGATCCAAGATCTGCACTCTACCACCGTAGAGCGCGGAACCCCACAACCATTTGAGGCGGTGATCGACAAGGTGCGTAGCTTGGGTAGCCGGCTGCGCATGTCCGAGACCGTGTTCCCCGTGCGAGAACTCCTCCCGATGCTGGAGCGGTATGCGCTCGAGCACCAGCGCCACGTCGGTCCCGCCACTTGGGTCGTCGATCTGTTCCTCGATCTGGGCGTGGCGCACGAATCCCTCTATGCCGTGTTGGAAGCCATGTACTACACCGACGAAGCCCCGTTCCACGGCTCGAACCGCCGCTACATCGCGCACGATCTTCTGTATCTGCTCGATAATTGGTTCCACGAGACGGTTCGGTTGGGCGGTATGGTGTTTGGTTCGGATGTTGTGGCCGAACGCGTATCGGAGACTTTGTTGCTACTGCAGCAGGGCGGTGGCATCACCCCGGAGCAACTGGAGATGGCACACACACTGCGGTCGAGGATCGATGAACTCTTGCGGTGATGATCCATGCGCTGCACGTATATTGGGCTTCTGGGGGTTGCGATTTTTCTTTCATTTTTGCGTTGTTTCCTATTTCACGTTCTGGGTCATGTCATGTAACTCTACTGCGTCATCACGGCGTCCTGCTTTAGGGAAAAGGGATTGCGTTGCTGATATCCCTCTAATCTAGATATTGGGAAACGGATTTGTGGAATGGGTTTGTTCCCCGTAGCAGAGATTCTGGTAGAAACCCGGAAGAGAAACACAATCTATAAAATTATGAACATGAAATAGAAAGACCCCGAAACACCTTGCATGAGCGGACGAAGAGTCTATCGACCAGTCAGTCGAATTCCTCGTACACGGGAATCGGCTTCTCGGCCAGGGCACCGAGGCGGAAGATATGCCGCGATTGGGCGCCGTGCTCGTCGTCCAGATAGTCTACGATGGCGGAATCTGGGCTCATCAGCAAATGTCACACAGTAAGAACAGCGGGGAACGTACGCAGCGTGGACCGATTATCAAACAACACAATGGTTCGCGGCTGCCAGCGCACGCGGGCCTGGAAATCATGGCTCGTAATCATATGGTGCATCAGGAAATCCAGCATCCACTTTGACTCTGGCTCCTTCATCCCCTGGATCCGGGTGATGAACTCGCCATTCAGGAACAGGCACTTCTCCCCCGTCACGGGATGCACGCGCACCAGCGGATGCACCGTGTCAACGGGGTCCTTGCGCACCAGTCCCCCCGTCAGTCGCGTGTGGCTGATCATCTTGGCCGAGGAGTGCATGGCCGACAGCGTGTCGAGGAATCCGCGCAGGGTCGGTGACAGCCGCTTGTAGGCCATGTCTGTCGCGGCAAAGACGGTATCCCCGCCGACTTGGGGACCGTCCAACAGGCCAAGCATGACGTAGCCCGGTGGTTGGATTTCGTAGCTGACGTCTTGGTGCCACAGCGTCGTGGTCGTGCGCTGCTCGAGAAATCGCGCGATCTCCTCGCGGTTGCCGTCCCGGTGGATGATATGGAACGCCGGGTGGCCTTTCATACTCCCCGACACGGGCTGGTAGTTGGGCTTGCCGAAGTGGCGCATGAATTGTTCTTGGGCGTCGGGGCCGGCGTCGATGAGGTCTTGCTCGGGGAAGGCCAGCACCTTACGTTCAGCTATGAGGAGAGCTAGTTCATCCTTGGCGGTGTTGGACAGCTGGCTGAGCTGCACTCCTTCCACCACACTGCCCAGGCTGGGCTGGATGTGGTTGACGGTGACCCCGGGCCGGAGCAGGTTGGGTTTGGTGCGGTCCTGTACGCGCAGCGCCGGGTCTTCATATTCGAAGGGTGGCAGTGGATCAAACCAGATGGGATCCCAAGAGGGCAGATACTGCGGGTAATTGGTTCTGATCTTGGACTGCTGATCCACGTCGACATAGGGGATGTTGATGTCGTAGCTGATGGGGACTTCGGCCTTGTGGCCATTGGAAGCCTGCAACTTGGGCCGCCGCACCGGAGCAGATGAAGGCATTGTCAGTGGAAGGAGATGATCCAAAAAAGAGCGGCCGGCAAAAAGCAATGGCAGAGACCAGCCTTTATAAATCTCTTACACCCACCACCTTCAGGGGGCCCGTCTTACCGGACAGCACGGGCTTTTCGCTAATCCCTCCCCCCCAAAGGTCCTTCTTCATCTCCGAGGCCCCCATGGCGTGCCGACATGGTTGCAGCAGGGGGAAAAATAATGGAAGGAAGACAAGCGGTCAGCGTCCTCCAATCCTGGAATTCCGACGTGTTCCGACACTCTTTTTTAATTTTAATTCTATTTTCTTTCTTCTTCTGGACAGAACCTTCTGCGGCATATTCTTCTGTTCTCCTGCCGGGCCAATTCCCCGAGCTACAGCTTCGTGCAGCTGGGCGATAAGGCAGATGCAGGCGGGATGACAATCCAGTTATCTGGTCAGATCCGTGCAGCTGGATGGGGAGGGCGCGGCAGGGGGTTGGTTAGGGTTTGAGCGGCCGGGGTGGCCCATTGGCTTGTCCAACATGCGGTCTGTGTCGGAGTCCGTGGACATTTGGGAAAGACCAGTCCGTCTTCCTCAACACGTCGCACACACGGGGATGCAGGGTGTGCTGATCGGCCCCAATCATTTTCCCGATGGGAAACATGACCTCATTCATGTATTGCGGTGTACCATGACGTGTGTATCGAGAGTTCTGGTAAGCTTAAAAATAGTTGAAGCTCCGAAAAAGCAATTATGCTGGATCGCCCGAACGGCGGGGCAGTCAGGTGATAGACCACAACAAACAATCCTTTCTGGAAGGTGTGAATTACTACATCTGTCTATATTCCGGGACCATGACCATCCTCCATCGCAAGGCCGACCTGGCCTACCTGATCTTCTTCGCCATCCATGTCCCCATCATCTTCTGTCCGTCTCCCTGACAGCCACCCGGTCTCCCAACTAACCCGGCCCAGTGATCGACACCGTGCCGCTGCAGCCCGCGTTCATGCGGATGGACATCTCGCTGCAGCTGCGCGAGTTCTACGTCTCCAGCTACCGGGACAAGTTCTTCGAGGAACCCGCACCCACCTGGTTCGCCGTCTTCATCTGGATGGAGCTGTTCTATCATGTTCCCCTGAGTCTATGGGCCATCCGGGGACTCCTGCGCAGTATGTTGGCCCCCTTTCCGATGATGCCATCGGGGGCCCTGCAACTAACCCCGTTAGACCATCCGATGGTGCCCGTGCATCTGCTTGTCTTTGGTGTCCAGGCCTTCATTACCTCCCTGACCTGCCTGGCCGACGTGTGGACCTGGCCGGATCGGTCCGTGGCGGAAAAGCAGCAGATCACCACGCTCTACGGCCCCTATGTGGCGCTGGGTAGGTCCAATGGTCTTCCACTCCTCCGTCTCCAATAATCTAACCACGAGCAGGCGCAATCATGGCCCTGGATATGGGGATCCGGTTACGGAGGCAGCTCATGCCCAAGGTCAAGGACGAATAAAATAGCCATGGTTGATAGTACACAGTCATATCAGGTGCATTGATCATCGCTGAGAAAGGGGCAAAAAATAATAATCACATCCCACCCAACGCCGGAAAGTAGATGCAGAGCTCGCCTAGATCAAAAATCCAATGGCACCATCCAAGTCCCCATTGGCCGCATCCAATGCCCGCACAGCCTGCTCGCGCGTGAAGCCCAGCTCCGTAATCTTGGCGATCGAGTCCGCGGGCCAGCGGGATGCCGGCGCGGGCCGGATGTTAATCTTGGGGGCCGCGGCCGAGGACGAGGATTCGTTCTCGCCCGCTTGGTGGGTAACGGCCCCCGTGCGTGCGCCCACCTCGGCACCGTCTGCCCCCTTCACCGTGGGCTCATCCTCAAACTCCTCGGTCAGACTTTTGGGAAGATCAGCCTCCCCGAGGAACGGCACCGCCTGATCCTGGATGACTAGCGCCCCGCGCTTCAGGTCGATGCACGCCTGGTGCCGCCGGAGCATATCGAGACCGAGGAGCAAGTCGATTTGTTTTCCCTCCATGACCGTGAACGAACAAGGCAGAAACATCTCGCCGATCTTGATCTGGGCGGAATGTACCCGCCCCAGGATCGGGGCCGTGCCGACGCCTTTGGCAATGCCTCCGTACCGTCGGTCCACCAGACGCATGATGTTGCAGGCGACGGCGCACTCCGGCGACATGATGGTCACTTGGGCACCGGAATCGACAAAGGCATTGAGGCGGTGGCCGTTGACTTCGACCGGAATGTAGAGCATCGTCACGCGGCCAAAGGCTGTAGGCAGAACAGGTTAGCCCGGGCGGGAAGATGAGAGTAAACAAAGTAATACGTACACTCCGGGTGGTGTTCCATGGCGTTGTGCAGGTTCTCCGTCACCGCTTCCTGACGGATGAGCTCCTCGATCTCGCGTTGATTCTCCGGGTTGAACGGATCGGCATTTAGCATGGCAATGCGAGCCTCCTTTTCGGCATCGAGTTGGGCTTCCCGCTGCTGCTGCCTGACCAGCACCTCGCGGAACCGCTGAGCGTTATCGGCCGCCTCCGCCAACTCCGGATTCTGTCTGCGGACGGCCTCCCGCACGCGTGGATCCCCCAGGATGTGTAGACGGATGGTCTCCGGGTCTGGCACGCCGGAACGGGGAGGGAGGTTCTGACGCGGGGCGGCGCTGGAGCCCCCCGCGCTGGCGCTGGGTGCGGCGGCGGGCGTGGGACCACGGAGGGTGACATGGACGCCGAGCATGTCACCCTCCGTGATGCCCACCTGGTCGAGGGTCTGTTCGGGGTTGCCGAGGAGCTGGTTATTGTAGACGATCTGCTGGGCGGCGGGCGGGATACCGGTATCGCTTTCGACGATGGCCTTGAGCAGCGCGACGGTCATGTCCCCGCCGACCTCGAGGTTGATGATGTCGGAGTCGGCCTGCTCCGGGCGGATGACACTGACGGTGATACGCCTGGAGGAGATTAACCAAACCGTCGTGCTGACGGAGCGCGGGAACATACATGATCGGGGCGGGAGGGGAGGGAGAGGGAGGAGTGATGAGAGAGGAAAGGAGGAATCCGATGGTCGGGGTGAGAAAGGCGGAAGATGGGAACACCAAGCACTTCCTCCTTACATGGAACAATACTATTTTTAAACCTCACTACTAACTCACTAACTATTCACAATCCTCGACTACTGCACTGCGACGGATCCGCCCCTTGTCATCATCGGGCTAGAGCCCGAGGCAGCAGCAACAACGCGTCCCACACCGCTTAGGGTGAAGCAGAAGTACAACTTCTTCATCATGATTTAGAGTCTCTCACTCAATGCGCATCGCACTCGACACGTCCGGCACTCCCTCACCCTCGACCACCTTGGCGTCCAGGATCTCGTCCATGGGGATCTCACCCAGCCGACTAATGACATGATGCAGCGTCGGCAACGCATCCCAGTCCAGCCCGTCGATCTCGACTTTGGCTTTCTTCGTCCGCCGTAGTCGCGTGACGCGCGAGGGCACGACTTTGGACTCTTGGGCGTGCGGCACAAAAACCGGGTACTCGGCCTCGGGCTTCCCCTTGGAATCCCGCCCAACCTGGGGCATGTACCGGTGGACAAGGATGCCATCGTCCGCCTCCCCGCCAATCGTGCCCTGGTCGCTGCTCGGGTCTTCCTCTTGCAGGTCCTCTAGCTCGAAATGCCCCCATACCGCCCCCTGCCAGCTGGTCTGCACGCGGTAGGAACTCCTGCGCTGATGCACGTCAATCGCCGTGTATAGCTTCGGCATCCCGAGCTCCTCGCGGCCCGACACAATAGGGTCTGCCAGGCTCTCGAACAGAATCGGCATGTACGTGCCCTCGAGCACTTCCCCATTGGCCTTGGTGTACTGGACGCCGTGAATGTACAGCCCCAGGTGCCGATACCCGCCACCTCCCAGCCAATCCATCCCACTGAGCGTGGTCTGCGAGAAACTCGCCCGGGCAACGGTGCCCGGTGAAATGAAGCTGTAGGCGTCCGACGGGAACAGATTCTGCAGCAGCGTGCGGCTGGTCTTGAACTTGACTGACGCCGTGGTAAACGTGGACTGGAGGGACTGGGCTGCGCGGTTGCGTCCCCAGACGTCCTGGCGCGGGCCGGGCATGGGCCCGAACACGATGGGCTGGCGCCAGTAGACGTCGGGGTTTTTGGCCCACAGATACTTGCGCAGCACCTGGGCCGAGTGGTCGAACTCATCGTGGCCATAGATGTAGTTGACCATCTGAAAGGCTGTGAACGAGGTTGTCAGCGGCCAGTCCCCAAGAATGCATGGGAATCTTACCTCGACCGGGGCCCAGGAGCTTACTGGACTCCCGGGTCATCTCTTGGATGGTCGTGACCCGCTGGTGCCGGGCCTTTTCATAAACCTGCAGTCGCTCGGGCACCTCGTGGCGCTCGATCCCCGCCGGCAGCATCACGGCTAGTGACACAGCATCCTCAATGGCCATGGCACCCCCGGAGGCGCGATAGGGCAGGAAGGGATGTGCCGCGTCTCCCAGAACAGCCAACCGGTCTTCCACCCAAGTCGGGAGAGTGTTCATGTCGAGCAGCGGCCACAGCTTGAGAGTCTGCGGGTCGGCCTTTTCCAGCAGTTTGCGAACCTGCGGATTAAAATGCTTAAACACACCCAGCAATGCATCCTTGCCAATCTGTTGATTGTACGAGTCCCCGCTGGCATCAATTTGGGTCACAGAGTCGGGATGGATGCAGACAAAATTCAGCAACTGGTTATGCGAGCAGGGGTAGATGACCACCCGGCGGTCGTCCGCATCCCACATATCCACCGCCCCAAAGTCCTGGGCAATGCTTTTGGTTTCGGGGTCATCCAGGGCTTCCTGGCGGCTGATGAGAAAGCGGAACGCATTCTTGCCCGAGCTGAAGGGCGTGATCGGGCTTGATTGCGAGAGCTTGGATCGAGTCAGAGAGTGGACCCCGTCGGCGCCGAGCACCACGTCACCGTCAATGACCTCGCCATTGTCTAGGGTGACGGTCGCTCCGTGAGGATCAACATCCACGACCTTGCTGGAGGTATGCAGACGAGCCGGCTGGCCACGTCCCTCCGCCAGGGCAGCAGCCTTCAGCCCTTCGTGGAAATGGGCCCGATGAACGAGGAGCCAACGCTGTAAAGATGGTTACTCTTCTTTCTTGCGGTGATGGACCAGTCATCCTTACATGTCTCCACATTGCCGCATGTTCTTTGACCTTGGTGATATGGACTGTCTCGCCGGCCGGTGTGTATTCACGCAGCTGTATCTATCAGTACAATACCTGGAAAACTATGGCAAGTGAAGCAACGAACCATCTCTGCCTCCACAGCCCCGAACTCCGTTGCGTCAATGCCCAGTCGTCGCAGAACCCCATTACAATTCGGTGACAGGTGGATGGCGGCTCCGATTTCGTTGGCAAAGCGCGAGCGTTCAAATAGCTGCTCCGGATCAGCTACATCCTCGTTTCTCTGACACGGGTAACTTACCTCCACACGGTGACCCTGCTGTCGTAGTGCAATTGCAGCGACCAGTCCGCCGATTCCAGCACCAACGATCAAGACGCGGAGGCCATCTTGGCCGTTACTCTTCAGCTCTGTGAGCGTCATCGTTAACGTATTTCCAAATAAATGGTTTGATTAAACCTCGATTCAAGGCCATCGTGCCGGCTATTATTTATCTGCTCTTACCAAATTAACCCCTCCATTCGGTTCCGCCCGGCTCGCCGGGCCTGTAGTTTATGTCCGAATGTTGTAAAGCATCGGGACGCCATTTCGGCTCCACGTCTGCGGAGACACCACCAGAACCGGAGCAGTGGAGAAAAGACACTGATGCAACCTTATATGAATTCTGGTGTTTGCAATTAGTCCGGCCGCGCATTTGTAACAGTTTCTTGATTTATTCTTTGTCGTTGCCGCAATGCCGAACCAGATCCAGGACATCACCACCCGCGACGAGACCTCGTTCCCGTACATTTTCGAGCAGAATGTGTCTATCTCGCTGAAGGACAAATCGGGCTTGGTCCGATGCAATGTCTATCGACCAAAGACATCAGAGAAATGCCCCGTGCTTGTCACCTACGGCCCATACGGGAAGGATATCAGCTACGAAGCGTGCGTTCACTTCTTCTACACCAACCTCAAAAACAAAACCCAAAAGTAAACTAGGACCTGACCGAGCTTTTAGTTTTCATCCCAAAAGCTTCAGCGAAGTGAATCCCGAGCAAAAGTCAGAGCATTCGGCCTGGGAGACGCCCGATCCCAAGTTCTGGACGGGCCATGGCTATGTCGTTGTCCGAGCCGACGAGCGCGGCACAGGCCAGTCAGTGGGTAAGCTCGACACCATGTCCCGGGGCACCAGCGAGGCGTTCTTTGATGTGGTAGAGTGGGCGGCCGACCAGCCCTGGTCGTCGGGCAAGGTAGGCTTGCTTGGGATCAGTTACTTCGCTGGCAGCCAGTGGCGCGTAGCTGCCCGCCAACCCAAGGGTCTTTCCTGTATCATTCCCTGGGAGGGTATGTCGGACTACTACCGGGATCGTTGTCGACACGGTGGAATTCTGTCTAACGGATTCATCAAGTTCTGGTGGGACCGCCAGGTTCTCAGCAACCAATATGGACTAGCAGGCAGGGCCGCAAGGAATTGGGGTCCGGATACCATTGAAGGTGATCTTCCTGAGGAGGAACTGGTTCAAAATCGCCAGGACCAAACGGTTGATAACGTCGAAAACCAATTCCGCGATGACCTTTACTACGCCTCTAAGGAATACAGCATGTCGGACATCCAGGTGCCCCTTCTGTCGGTTGCTAACTGGGGTGGCATCTTGCTACATCTCCGCGGTAATGTCGAGGGATACACCCATGCAGGTTCAGACCTCAAGTATCTGCGGTTTATTACTGGACGGCACGACCTGCCTTTTTACTATGCTGAAGAGGTCGAGCTGCAACGGAGCTTCTTGGATGCTTTCCTCAAAGGGGATGATCGTGCCGGGTGGTCTACTGGTACTGCGCCCAAGGTCGACGTCGTCCTCCGCAAGGGTGACGTAGGGTTTGATAATGCCGAAGAGGAAAGAAAATTCCCTCGCAGAATCGAAAATGAATGGCCCATCGCTCGCACCCAGTACACACGATTCTATCTGACTTCTCAGCGTGAACTCCTCGCCACTCCCGAACCTCCCGAGGAGGCTCGTCCCAGCAAGGTCTCTTACCAAGCCCTGGGCACGCTCGACAACCCTCAGCTCATCCAATTCACCACGCCCCCATTTGAAACGGAAACTGAGATTACGGGTCACGTCGTGGCCCACCTGAACGTGTCAATGAGTGCCAACCCCGGTCAGCCCACTCCTCAGGATATGGATCTGTTCGTAACTCTCCGACATATATCCCCCGCCGGAAAGGAGGTCTTCTACACTGGCACGGCGGGAGACCCAGTTCCTTTGTGCAAGGGATGGCTACGCGTGAGCATGCGCCAAATCAACCACGAGCACCCGCGAAACCGGCCCTGGTTGCCTCACCGGGACTACTACTCGACTGATGCGCGGCCCGTGATCCCTGGTGAAGTGTATGCAGTGGATGTAGAAGTGTGGCCGACAAACGTGGTTGTCGAGAAGGGTGGTAAGATAGTTCTGGAGGTCGCAAGCGGCGATACTCAAGGCTGTGGGATCTTCCAACACCACTCACCCATTGATCGGTAAGTTCAAATCCCCCCATATCTTAGTTGAATGCCTCTGAACATCTACTAGGGCTCCCGAGCGTTTCCAAGGTCAAAATCATATCCATTTCGGTCTCGGCGACAATTATTTGACTCTGCCTGTTATTCCCGCCGCCAGTCGGTGAGATGGAAAGGACATAGATCATAGACTACTGAATGCTAGTAATTTGGCAAAGTCCCGCAAGATATGTGTACATTTGTCAGCCTTTTACCCCGATTGTAACTAAGTCCTTCCGAGGCCGAGGAATTGATGCTATCTCCCCACTTCCGATGTGGTCGAAAGTGGTCCCGATGAGGGGGTCTGGAGGTTTCATCACATAGTGGCCGGAAATATAGATCGCCAATCTCCGTGTCGGGCTATTTACACTTGCTCAAAGTCATCCTAAAACAGTCCCATTCATTTTCTTGAAGGAGAACGTCCACCATGGCTTCTACCAGACCCTCCAAAACTATCCGCCCGCTCAATCGCTTCATCACCACCCACAATAGTGATGGCAAAGCGGTATTTTCTAATACCCTGTCCGATACCATGCCTGTGCAGCCCATTGCTGATAGCGCCGATTTCAGTCTGGCCTATACCTCCGATCACTTTCCTGCACAGTTGAACAAAGACGCCGACATTGCAGAGTACAAGAACTACTTGGTCAATCCGCCGGGCATTACGATTTCTGGTGGCTCTGTCTGTCGGATTGTGGATATGCAGCCCCATGCGTTAAGCCCCATGCATCGGACCGTCTCTTTGGACTATGGTGTTGTCCTGGAGGGGGAGGTCGAGCTTGTGCTGGATTCGGGTGAGACGAGACTGATGAAGCGTGGGGACGTCGCTGTGCAGCGTGGGACAAACCATGCCTGGAGGAATGTTACTCCCGATGTGATAGATCCGGTCACAAGCGAGAAGAAGGGACAGTGGGCACGGATGCTATATGTGCTGATGCCGTGTGAAGAGGTTGAGGTTGACGGGAAAAGGCTGGGTGAGGTGGTGGATGGCATTGGTGTTAGGAGCAGTACTTAGGCTTTACTTTGTACATACACTTGAATGAGCACAATATCGCGACACAGATTTGAGTAATCATTTTGTATGTATATATGGAGCTGCAATCAGATTACCACTCCCCGCCTACTTCATAGTGGAATAGTTTATCACTGATCCTCCCGCCGGTAAATCGCCATAACCGTGCCACCGACTAGGCACCTTTCGTCAATAGAAGGTCAATGCAATAAGTTCGATAGAAAAACGTACCGCATTGAGCCACACTCCATGCAGCATCACCTGAATGAACACAAACTCGGCCCCATTTGATCCAGCGGGACGCTCGGTGAGATCCAAATTGCGGTTGGCTGGACGATACGCTGGCATGCGACGGTGATGCGAGGGCCAGTTGGCCGGCTGGGTGGAAGATGGCGCGGGATTCACGGTGGTATAATGTTGTTCGACATCGCTGTGATGGACCTCGTAGTCAGCGAGGATGGATAGTGACTGCGTAGTTGTCGTTGTTGCGGTGGTAGACATGATCGCATGAGAGAATGCTCCATTGCAGACCTCGCTCGGTCATATTCAATGAGGGCTGGGCCCGCGTCCGCGCATCTCCCCCACATCCCGAGATCCTGAATGTCGGACATAGGCTATACGCGACGGAGGATGTGGGAGCTCCGAGACCGTAATTTCGGGGAGCTTGGTAAAGTGGGCGTGCTTGCTTCAAGTATCGCGAGGCAATCCACAGTCCCCATCACCGTCGCCCACACTCGACATGGATTTCTCTCGTATTCTTGCGGCTAATATTGACGGCCGGACCCAAAACATTCGGTATCGCCAGACACAATTCTACCGACTGCAGACAATTCTTGCTCAACATGTTTCTGAAATTCAAGACGCCATCCGCGCCGACTCCGGGCATACGCGCCAGGAGGTTCGCGCGGAGGTAGTCTTGGCTCTGCAGGAGATTCGTACGCATTTTTTGTCATTAAGTCTGGAGAAAGATCTTGAGAAAGAATATCGCATTGCCAATGGCAAGGACAGCCAAGATTCTTCGCGCGGCACAGGCATTGTCTATATTGAGCCTTGCACGCATACCTTGTTCTTCTCAGTCATATCTGCACTGAGTGCAGCTCTTGCAGCAGGCAACTGTGTGATTGTCGAAGTGAGTTATTGAGACCCCAACAATGGCTTTGTCTCCTAGAGAGATCAGTTTATATAACAATATTTGACAGCTTCCTCAAAATACTATGGCTCTGCCGGCCCTCTTGCGCAGACTTCTCCCGGACGCATTGGACCACGACACGTTTGCCATAACAGGACAACGACCTGATGCCGCAGTTCTGAGCAAAGTCCTTATGGTCGTGCAAAATTTCTCTGCCGATGCTACAAACGGTCTTATCTCGCCCGCAGGGGCCAGGACGGTCGCTGTCGTTGACCGTACGGGCAATATTTCCGAAGCTGCGGAGGCTCTGGTAGCTGCCCGTTTTGCTCTGGGTGGGCGCTCACCGTACTCTCCGGATGTGGTTCTTGTGCACGAGTTCGCCATGAAGCCTTTCATGGGCGCCGTAATCCAGCACGCTTCGAAATATCTGGCTGGGGAGAATGGAGATGCCAGACAAACTCCCGGCTCTCCGAGACGATCAACCTCTAGTACTTTGTTGAACTCAGTTCACAAAGATAGGGGTTCTCGAGTGCTGGTTTCGGGAGATAGCTGGGGGGTGGTCGAAGTGCAGGACCGGTAAGTAGCTTTGGACAGTTGGAGAATTATTCTGATTGATGGACAGGAAATCGCCTTTGCTCCAGCGCAAGATTGATGAGAAAGTCTTGCTGGTTCACGCGGTCACCAGCTTAGATGATGCCATCGATATCAATTTGTATGTTTTTCTCCTAATGCTTCCCCGTATCAGGCTAATCAGACCAGCAACGAAACGCTGGCTGCGACCTACGCATTTGCCTCTCCAGCCTCAGCGAAGTACTTGACCCAGTTTATCGACGCCCACATCTCGTGGGTGAACCATGTGCCAAGCCACATGCTCAGTATGTTCCCTATTTGTTCAATTTCTTTTTGTAAATGCTAACCATGAATGCAGTCGGTCCTGCTCTTCCAGCAGACAAGCCTGCTGATACCCAAACCCGATATTCCCAATCACACTTTGAGCTTTCGAGGCCTCAATTGATAGTCCCATCCGCAAACTCGAATGCTATTGAGACCATTTTGCGTGACAGCGACCTGACGAAAGCAAATGCCTTGTGGCAGGAAGCTCTTGCCCCGCTTCCATCAACGAAGCAACGGCAAGGATTCAAGATTGGATTCTTTGAACAAGGAATTATTACAGGAGGGCTGATCACCTTAGCATCGCTCGTGGCGACTGTATCGACCCTGGGGTACTATACATTTGTTTACGTGCGGACCCGGGGGTAGGAATACTTGGTTTTGATCGGTAGTCAATTATACTGTCTCTTATTTTGATTTGAAGTAAAAAGTAAGCATGGAAGGAGCAAGGATCTGGAGTCATAAGACACATGATACCGGGTCTCATCGTATATTTAGTTCCCTTGAAAACCGGATCTCCACTGTCTAGTAAATCTTTCTGTTGGAAGATCAGAACCGACCCCGTCTGGGGGAAACTAGAAATGCCTGGCTGCGTCTTCGAAACTGGGCAAGAATGACGTTGCGCCACTTAGCAGTTTGCCTTTGGGTTGGTATTTGTCTGTCCCTTGTCCTGGGCCCTGAGTACTTCGTAGAAGTCCTGGTCTCCCTCGTCGTTGAAATACAGGTGGATGGTGTAGTACGAGATGTCACCTTCCGGCGAGACTTAGCGGCCCGTTGTATCTAAACAAAATCACCTAACGCTCATCTCTTGCAGTTACAAGGCACACTGGCCACTGTTTCAAAAGCTAAATTATTGCCGGCAACGGATAACTATGTTTGCTTTTCTTCCGATTGAAAAATGTGTTCAGTGATTTGATCCGATCAACAAAAACGAATAATATAAGTATGGGTTCCAGATCTAAAGTAAATTACCCATATTGTTTGTCACATCAGAAAGCAATTTCCTTCGGCCATCGGCCAAGTGTAAACTGCGAGTTGCACATATTGGTCAGCTCCCAGTCCTCTGCGCCCATAATTGCCGGGGTATTCTGGTCCTCCGGGTCTCCTGCGGCGCCCGCAACAAACAAAGCTGCCATGAAATGGTCGTCTGTGGCATGCGCATCTCGAAAGCGCGGGTGCTTCATCAGTCGTGTCATCGCACGGCGCAACTGCGGCCCTGAGGTCTTAGTGATGACATCCTCGACTGCCTGTCGGAACTCCATGGCCCAGTCTTCTGGGGGTGTTTCCAGCGCAAAGTTGTCCCGGTATCGAAGCATCGGTGCCCAGCGATTCCGATATAGATTGTGAACTGCACCTCCAGTGCCAATAATAAGGTAGTTCTCCCGGCGCAGTGGTCTTAGCGTGGCGCCGATTTTCATATGGAAATGAGGGTCATAGCGAGCATTGGCCGATACCAATGTGGTCGGTGGGCAGCCACTGGGGAACATGCGGATGAGAATGAGATAAACGTCATGAATCCATTCGAAAGTTGGATTGCCGCCGACGTTGAAGCCCTCGCGGGCAAGCATCTCAATACAGCGCTCGGTGGTCTGTAGATCAGGGTTGAGCTTGTAACTGACGTATTTGTCGGGATTCACATATGCAACAGGGCTTTTCCCAGGGCTAGGATTTGTTGACAGCTCAATTCGGTCCCCCATACAGTCCCAGTGGGCACCCTGCCAGTAGTAAGTCTCCGTAAACGCTAGATAATCACACAAGCAGACCTACCATGATCACAACGCCCTTGATGTTGCGTGCCAGTGCTTCATCTCCACATTTCTTCCAGTAATTGGCACTGTCGGACTCCTCGCCCAGCATCATGGTTGAGCCATGGGAAAGGAAGTGTACCGGAGTGAGCCCTACATACTTGGATGAGCGGAAGATCTCCACAAACAGGAAAACAAAACTGACCCATTGTAATGATGCAGATAAAGCGTTTGCGACCGCCAGACTGGAGGTCCCTCCTATCCCCATTATATTGAATGCGATACTATTTTTCGACCTTGATGTGGATCTCGGACGTGGTCCCCCACATCCCGACCGGTCGCCTCCCCTGCCCCCCTTCTGTCGCCAGAAAAGCCGTAACGAGTCATACTACTGCCGAGCACTGCATTGCTATTGGAGTGAATCTGATCACCTGTCCTAATTTACCCCTCATGTGCATTACGAGTCCCTTGTCAATTGTGATTCCGGGGATGGAGGTTCCCCGGTCATCCTGCAGCCTGGCCCAACGAAAAGACCTATGGGCAAATCAGCTTCCCACCAATTGAGCTGCTACGCAAGCCCAAAAACTGAAATCCGGGGAATCCGTTGACCCAAAACGGCCTGGGGCAGGCCAGTGGAGCTCTACAGGCTTCCCGCAACAACCGGGATTCTCGGATCATCTCTCGCTGAACCTCTCGACCAGGGGAAAAAGGCGAAACTGAAGAGTGGCTGACCCTCTGATTGATTGTCCGCCCGTCTGAATCGCGGGATGGCCGTTTGAGTCTTCCCCGACATCCAACAAACCTTCCAATTTGCCCCTCCGGACTGCTTTCTCCTTTTCCCCTCCCCATCCTCTCCTAAGGCAAATGCCTTCCCACAATGCTAAAGGATTTATCTGTCAAAGGCGACCATCCGGACGCGTCACAGTCACCCGCAAAGTCCAAGGAGGGAGGGTATTTTCAGTGCGGTTTCTGTAAACGTCACTATAATCGCGCAGACCATTTGATCCGCCACGTACGATCACACACGCGCGAAAAGCCCTATGTCTGTGATGTGTGCGACAAAGGCTTCGCCCGACCGTAGGTTTTCTTACCATCGCTTGACTCACCCTGATTCTAATACGTTCCCTAAAGAGACCTGTTAAAACGACATGCCGCTGGCCATGTGCATGACCGCGATCGCAAGCGCAAGCGAAGCTCTTCAATTACCAAGCAAAGCCGGGTATCACAGGCCTGTAAGGCGTGTGCCTCCTCGAAGCTGAAATGCGATGAGGACAAGCCCTGCCGCCGGTGTCGCGAGCGAAACTTGCAGTGCGATTGGCAAGACGTCTTGCAGGATTCGTCCCCGGAGCCACTTCAGCAAAGCCTGCTCGCGGATGACCAACCGCACAATCTAGCAACGCCTGTAGCAACAACCTTTTCGCCCAATTCAACCCCAATAGATGAATTCCCGCCCACAAATATACTAGCAACGCCACGCGGAGCCCCGGAGATGGCCATTTCTCCGAACCAAATGCCTCCCGGTGACGAGCAGGTTTCATTGGAATATGAAGGTAGGACCGTCATGGTTCAGCAACTCAAGAGCGTGCTGACAGAAGGCAGTGTCTCCCAATGACCACGAGAGTGGGATTTTCAGTGTCGATGGCACATTCTTCCCCAATTTTATCCCCGACTCTTTAATTCCCTCATTGGCTCGGTATAATGATCCCGATCCGTCCAGCATGATTCCAGAATATACTCAGTACGGCGCACTAGACAATGTGCAGTTTGATTTTGACCTGAATGATGGCGACTTCGGTCTGATTGATTTTTATAATACACGAAATCTGCTTCCTGGGTTACATGAGCATCTCACAGAACAAAACAATGTCCAGTTCGATGCCGACAGTGGTATCGCAATGGGTGCCGAGGCCTATCACCGCTCCTCCCTGTCAGCGTGGAAGCCTAACCACGGGGACTATGCGTGCAACGACCATGAGAATCTGTCTGTCCCCCAGACAATCGATAGCCCAGAGGCCAGCGTGATGTCCGACCGCCAGATTCTCTGTGAGCGGCTGTCGCCCTACGGCCGTGACCTGATCTTCGGCATGGTTCTCGAGACCAGTCGCAAGGCCCACCTGAGACGCATTATGCGATCATTCCCCAGTACTGACTTGTTGGACGGATTGATCCAACAATATTTTGAGATTCAAAAACATGGAGTGGACTCTTGGGTCCATGGACCAACTTTCCAGCCGAATGAGCAAGATCCCGCCATCCTTGGTGCGCTGGCGGCCGCTGCGGCCGTTCGCTCTACGGTTCCAACAATCAGAAAGCTTGGATATGCCCTGGTCGAGATTGTGCGGCTATATATGGCTGGGAGGGTAATTATCACTCCCCAAATAACAGAGAAGAAAGCTTACACCACACAGTATGAAAGTGACAATAGTATCACCCGCGATCTCCGGATTTCCCAGGCTTATTCCTTGACCATCGACGCCGGTATCTGGAGTGGTAATCGACGCAAGACGGAAATAGCAGAGAGTTTTACGCAGCCATTAGTAACAATGCTTCGACGTGCTCTGAGATTTCGTCGCTCGGTATATACTATGATTGTGCCTCTTGTTGAGGACACCGGCGAGGCTTTGGAACGCAGGTGGCGAGAATGGGTTGAGCAAGAATCCTTCAAGAGGTAAGACTGGACTAGATTATCTTTCCGAAAGTTGCTAATTTCACAGACTTGTATACCATGTATTTTTGCATGATGCACAGACAGCCATGGCCCTCAACGTCAATCCCCTCATTTCATATGCCGACCTGGAACTCCCACTGCCGGCGAAGCGCCAATTATGGGAAGCTAAATCAGCTGCTGAGTGGAAAGGGCTCTATCTTGAGTCGATGACTACGGAACGCATTCCGTCACTCGCCGACTTACTTCGTGACATGTCTCAGTTATCTGTCTTCCAAGATCGCATTGATATCCAATTCACGGCTTTGGTCCTTCTTCATGGCATGTCCGCAATGATCAATGAATATCATCGACTGAGATTTATTTCGACTGGAGACTCGAAGCATTGGCATGCCCTAGTGACCAATTCCCGTCAGCAAGAATTGGACCGAGCGCTTCAACACTTCCGCATGGTGTGCTCCGAATTGTGCGTTCAATCCCGCCCGGAGATTGTGCTCGTTTGCGAGGTTGTTTCAATGCTCCTCCATATGTCCCTTGAAGAACTACAGCTTTTCGCTGGGAAGGAAGACAAACAAGAAGCACGCCGCGTATACCATTCCGCGCTGGAGTGGATTACAAGCCCAGATTCTCGGCGAGCTGTCTGGCATGCAGGTCAGACTATTCGTGCGGCTCGCGAGATGGCGCCTGGCTCCCTGACTGGATTTTTGGCTATTGGCGTATATTATGCCAGTCTGGCCTTTTGGTCCTATAGCGTTGTATCCAAGGCTAAGAATGTTCAGCTTCTTGGAAGCCCGGCAGCTCACCTCGCTAGTCGTGGACCCACTGTGTTCTTAGATGGCGAGGAGGTGGCCGACGTATCTAAATTTGTCACGTTGGGTTGCGGTCTTCCGGCCCTACAAAGTCCAAGTGGACCGGCTTTTCTGGCAGACCCTGCGACGGTGATGCAGGTGGTCCAAGACGTGCTCCGGGGACAGATGCCCAACGATACAATTCCACCTCTGGTGCAGAGTCTCGCTCAATTGATGGGCGATTTGGGACACTGTGCCCGTGGGGAGGATAATGATACCGGGACTAATTCCTCAAAATCCATTATGTACTAGTACGAATATGTCAACATGATACCCAGCGTATGACTCGATGAGCATGCTGCGTCACTTATGATTTTTCCTTGTAAGGTTTTTGTCAAATATAAAACTCGACGTTATGACCTTGTGCCACTATTGTATTATGAACTTACAATTTCTTTGTGTTTTATACAGGTCAAGATTTCCAATGATTGCCTCGGTTGTCTAACCTCCTCTTGTTTAAATCTAGAAGGACCTTCAACACTTTCGCACTGATCGTACTCTGTATGACTGCTTGTGCTGTTGACCTGAGTTACAATCTTCATGTGTTCGCTCTTTACGCTTTGGCAGGACTTGGCCGCAGAGCACTGCAGACTTGCCACTTTGTCAGTACACGACGAACCCCATGATATTTTCAGGCCAAATATCGCGCATCTGGAACTCGAATGAAATGCAGTTTCTTGACACCACTGAAATGGTGGTACACTGTGAATTTCCCCCACGTTCCGGTTATCAGATCGGATGCCCACGTTCCCATTACATACTGAGGGAGCGGGGTTTGCACCGGGATCGGAGCCGAAGCCGAATTTATCCCTAAGCTTTCCATGGCGAATTATTTAGGAGAGAATACCTCTGCATTTGAGTAACACCATATGATAATCTCGCTGTTCACTGCTCTCTCGTGTCTCTGCTTTCAACAATACTATCCGGCAATATGGTTCTGAGATTGAAAGAACCAAACCGCTCGAGCGGACCTGGACCGGCTCCAGTGACGGATGTGCCTGCCATCGTTCGCTCCGTCATCGACGACATTCGCACTAGAGGCGATGACGCCGTGAGAGCTTATTCCGAGAAATTCGATAAATGGAGTCCCAGCAGCTTCAAACTTTCTCAGGATGAGATACAACAAGTCATTTCCACTGTGCCTCAGCAGATCATCGATGATATCAAGAAGGCCCAGGAGAATGTCCGCGTCTTTGCCCTGGCTCAGAAAGCGTCGCTCAAGGACTTTGAAATGGAGATCCGTCCCGGCGTACATCTAGGACAGAAAAATATTCCCATCAGCTCTGTTGGCGCGTGAGTTTCGGTTCCCATTGGCTTATTTTGAATGATTACTGATGAGCGACAGTTATATTCCCGGCGGTCGATATCCTCTTCTAGCATCGGCGCATATGACGATTCTTACAGCTAAATGCGCTGGGGTGCCTCACGTGGTCGCCTGTACGCCACCGATTGCCGGAAAGATCCCCGCGAACACAGTTGCGGCAATGCACTATGCAGGGGCGGACGAGATTTACCTTCTGGGTGGTGTGCAGGCTATCGCTGCCATGGCTATAGGGACATCAACAATGAAGAAGGTTGATTTCATTGCCGGTCCGGGTAATGCTTTTGTTGCGGAGGCGAAACGTCAGCTGTTTGGGGTGGAAATAGGCATTGACCTCCCTGCCGGTCCAACAGAGATTCTAATTGTGGCCGATGAGCACGCGGATCCATTTGTAGTTGCGACCGACCTCTTGTCGCAAGCCGAGCATGGCCTTGATTCTCCCGCGGTGCTGATCACCAATTCTCAGAGCGTGGGTGAGAAGACGATTCAGGAAGTCGATCGTCTTCTCAAGATTCTACCCACGGCTGACGTTGCTGGGGTGTCCTGGGACCGACTAGGAGAGGTCATTGTCGTCGAAGACTTGGGTCAAGCCTACAAGCTCGCAGACGAATTCGCGTTTGAGCACGTTCAGATCCTGACACAGATGCCACGGGAAGCACTGGATAAGATGTCCAACTACGGGGCCCTTTTCCTAGGTGAGAAGACGTGCGTTTCATACGGCGACAAATGCATCGGCACGAATCACGTCCTTCCAACTCGAGGCGCGGCGCGGTTTACGGGGGGTCTGTGGGTTGGAAAGTACTTGAAGACGGTTACCTATCAGGAAGTGACATCGTCTGAGGAGAGTGGCGAGCTGGGGCGTCTCTGTGGCCGGGCAGCTCGTGCAGAAAACTTCGAGGGCCATGCGCGTTCCGGAGACGTTCGCGCTCATCAGTATTTAAATGACAAGTTCGAGTGGATATAAGGCAAAAACATAGCCTATGTGAACCAGCCACGAAGAATGAGGGGCAATAGTGTGGGTAATCTTATCTAACTACGTGTAGTCCTAAATATACTTTCTACATAGTCGGAATCTATTTTCCGTGGTTGGCGGGTATTTCAGCCAAATGCTTCAACCGTCCTACAAATGACGTTCGGTCTCCACTGCCAGTCACATTTTGCTTCTTTCTTTTAGCACAGAGCGCGAGGGAAAATTTCTTCCACCTAAATATTTTGTTGTCTTTTGGAAAACGCGATCTGCTTCTTTATTGATGGCCAGGTTTTCTCTCTGACTGCACTAAATGCAAAGCCTCACGGGGTTTTAATCTACGCTTCCGACAACAGAATGACACCCCGCCTAGACAGAGACGGTGCCAGCACCAAGACTGGCACCCATGTCTACCAGGATGACTTGGGGTCAACTCACTCGCGTCGCTCTCCCTCTCCATCGAACAGCCTGGACACAACTAGCAGCAGAATGTCTGACGACTTCTCTCACCTGACCAATTCTCACGATGTGGCTACAACTGAGCTACATACAGTCCCCACGTCAAGGACTCGGCGAGACTCCCATATGGGTGAAGTGCTAGAAACATTTTCTAGAACGTTGTCCAATGTCGACCGGGCTCCTGAAGACCATTTCGAGCTTCAAGCCATGCCATCCCGGCGCAGTGAGCGGAGCACAACTCGCCGTTCTGTGAAGCATCATTCTCCGACCCGGATGCCAGATCTGGCAGAGGAAGCAGGCTTGCCGCCCCAAATGAAATCCCAGGGCGTCCCACCGGAACTGGGCAGCTTGACCTCTGAAGTGATCTTTGTTCTCGTGTGCTCGGCCGGACTTCTATTTTTTGCCTTTCTTCTTGGAGATATCACCGTCAATCAGGAAGAGTTTAGAAGGGCTTTGGACATCCGCAACAGCGAGCTTCCCTGGCTAGTTGGATCTTTCAGCACGGCCAATGGCCTTTCTGTTGTGGTGGCAGGCTCTCTTACTGATTTGGCACCGCCTAAGATACTGATGGTAGGGGCCTTTGGCTGGATGACGTTGTGGAATGTGATTGGCGCCTTCTCAGTCAAGCCTTCTACTGCAATTCTCTTTTATATCGTCCGTGCAATGCAAGGCCTATCCATTGGAATCCTTGTCTCCGGATCCATGAGCATCCTCGGTCGGGTGTACAACCCAGGGCTTCGGAAAAACCGGGTCTTCTCAGCCATGTCGGCTACTGCGCCTTTTGGTTTCTGGCTCGGGGCAATTCAGGGCGGTGCTCTGAAGGCACACCTGCCTTGGATTTTCGGCTCAAATGCCATCTTATCTGGCCTGTGTCTGGTCGCTGCCTATCGCACGATCCCTCCCCTGCGTCCAGTGGCCGATATTGCCGGCACTGAGGCTCCGACCCTCCGTGAGTTCGATTATATCGGGGCCGCCTTCGCGGTGTCTGGCTGCGTTTGCTTGCTGTTCGGTCTTACCCAAGGATCAGTCACGATGTGGACTCCCTATACATATGCCTTGACTGTCGTCGGCATTCTTCTCCTTGTCGGCTTTTTCTTTGTCGAACACTGGGTTACGCGTCCTTTGATTCCTAACCGACTATGGAAGACTCCCGGCTTCACTCCCCTTATGGTGGCATACTTCATCGGGTATGGGGCGTTTTCTGGCGCGTGGCAATTCTACGCTGTCCAGTTCTGGCTCCGCATTCAGCATGCCAGCCCTCTGACAGTAGCACTCTTCCTCCTTCCCAACGCAATTGTAGGGGTTTTGGCAACTTGGGTCGTGAGCCGTACCCTTCACGTCGTCCCAGGCCATTACATCTATCTGGCTTCTATGCTGGCCTTTGCGCTTGGTCCGGCATTTTTCTTGCCGCAGAGCGCAGGTACCACTTATTGGGCCTTGTCCCTCCCTGGAGTGGCTCTTGTTACCTTCGGCCCTGACCTATCATTCGCCGCCGCATCAATCTACATTACGAGTAATGTCCGTCGGTCCTACCAAGGTAGTGCCGGGAGTCTGCTAGTGACCGTGCAGAATCTCAGTTCGGCAATCATGACATCGGTTGCGGGCGCCATTGGGACCAAAGTTGATCAGGGGGCTGATGGTGATATTGGACTGAAGGGACTACATGCAATCTGGTGGTTTGCACTGGCGGCTGAGATCGTTGGAGCACTGATCACACTGTTCTGGGTTCGGATTCCCAAAGAAGAGGAGAAGGAGCACGTCACTTGAAGAAGAAAGACAGTGCTATGTCTGAGATGAGACATGTTTTTGGATAGTATAGGCTTCATAGAACAAGACTGCATTTCGGGTTGAGACTCGCTGGACTACATGTAGTACAATGTTGTTGGTTTCTCTGGAGTAAGGCCAAGGAATAGTAATTTATCAGTAATTACTATACAGAACACCGACAACTGGGATTGCTGTCATATCATTGGCTTAAACTAAAGGGCCAAAGACTGGACAAATTTAGGCTCAGTTAGCGCGTCAGCAGCATGCATTAGCGGCGGATCTAGCAGTGGCAGATGTGGTATCGCCGGCATTTCCGACTAAGTTTCGTGTTCAAGAATCATCAACAATTATTATTATTCTTCTTTGGGGTGATGCATCATTAGAGATAGCGGAAAATCAGCTTCTCTCCCCGCCGCGCACGCCATGCATTGGTCGAGTTCATCAGCTCGGGACACCCGCGCACAACCCACTGCCACTTCTTCAAGAACCACTCTGTCATCTCCCAATTACGCACATCCCACGGCTCTCCCCAGACTATTAGCCCGGAATCATTGTCCGGTTCGTTCCAGAATCCCATGATGTCCTTGCACAGCTGCTCGTCGTCCCAGTCGTCCCCAGCGGCGATCAGGTTGTCGCGCATTCTAGGAAGAGGAAAGAAATCCAACCATGGATGGTGTATCACGCTTTTCTGAAGTCGAGTAGGCTGCAGTGTGGAAGGGATCTGATCCGGTATAGAGT